GTGCCTACTCCGGAGTGGAATAATATAATGCAGCATAGATTCGGCGGTATTAACATAGTCAGCGCCTTAATAATAGCCTCTCTCTCCCTTAAGAGTATGGCCGCTATCCTCTGCGGGGTCTAGCCTTTGCCGGTTAATAACTTCGAAGAGTCCGAGGCGTAGAGCTACTAGCCTTGTATACCCTAGATCCTAAACCTCTTTAACTAACTTAAGGAGAATAGGTCGACGGATAACTTCTTAGAGTAGTAATAGCTCTCTATATTCTTCTAATCTATGACTAATAGGTATGACTAATAGGATAAATTCAATAGCAAGATTAGCTTCGACTATATCGTTACTAGGAAGCGGCTTAAGCAGGACGCTAAAGGCAGCGCTATCTTAGAGAAGATTAACTACTTTAGATATCCCGAGACGATGCTAAGACCTTATATTCGCGATTATATCGAGAAAGCATAGGAATAACGCAGGCGCATGTTCTTCTCCTACTTTACTAGCACTACCTATTACCCCTAGGGAGTGCCGAGGGCCTTCTAGTCTACGGGGTATATTAATACGCACGGGACGATAGCATAGCACGGCGATTTTAATAGCTATCTAAACGCCATGCGATTCACCGATAAGTGGCTAGGCGAGCTACTATAGACCTTTAATAATTATAGTATCGCTAACGAGACGCTATTTATATTCGTCAGAGACCACGGCTAAGCATTTAGGGAAAATATCACCTCTAAGACGGGGACCTACTAGAATAGCCATATTAGCAACTTCCGCGTGCCTATTACCTTCAGATACCCCTATATTCCCCGGGTGCAATATAATACCCTCGCTACCTCTCTATCTATCCTCCCGACTATTCTTAACCTCCTGGTCAGTACTGGCTCGCTTAATGGTAGAGATGCGGCCGTAGCATCCGACCTTATCCAGGATTACGAGGGCTAATTATTCATCCGACTATATAAGGATACTCATAACGGCCGGCGCGCTTAGAACTTTAGCATCATTAACAGCGGGGCTAGTATACTCTCCGTAATATCTATAGATACCCCTTGGAGGCTTATGATGCCTCTGGACCAGGGTTCCCGATACCGATTCACCGACTTAAACAGCGACCCGCTCGAGCTCAAGCCTCTTAAGAAGTGGTCTATAGACGAGCTGATATCCAAAGCAGGATTAAGGCACGGCATAAATACATCGCGATAGGCCATCGAGGTAGAGGCTATGGCTCGTTAGTAGGCTACAGAGCGCAAGCATCTCTAGGGCTATAAGCCTAGAGAGTAATAGAGGAGGAAAGGGGGGAGGGGGGGGGAGAGAGAGGGGAAGGATAGGGTTCCACGAAATAAGAAGATAGAGGTAAGCGAGGTGAACGAGGTAGCATCGTTAGTACCTATGTATATAAGGAGTGCTAATAATATGTAGTCCCGCTAAGCGCGGCTGCGAGCTAGACTCCTAAACATGCATAATAGAGTAAAAAGGTAGAAATGCTTAAAAAGTCTAGACGTCTCGAGCTTAAGTCTACGTAGTAGCTTACGTGGCAATTAATATGCGAGCGAGGCGATCTATAGCGGTGAAAATGCCGCTGATTTAGCGGGCCTGCTAGTCCTATCTAATTAACAATATTCTAACGGGAAAGAAATTCTCCCTCGTTATAGCATATTAATTAGCTAACGGCGATTAGGGCCGACTCCCTAGCTATTAACTATCTAAAGCGTAGGGTAGTTATGGGGTTAATATATTAAGATAGTAAAGTTTAAATAAATCTATGAGGCTAGTTGTTTATAGAGTTAATTACTTCCGAGGGCCTATGTTCAGGCATGCCTTATTCTCTTTATTAAGTATTCTAGGGTTATCGCTATGTATGATATGGCGGAGCCTGCGGGAAGATAGGTTGCGTTCCCGGAGTAGAGCGGCGAACCTATTCTTCCGCCGGTTTCCTGATGCATCTAAGCATAGTCTTATTAGAACGACGGGACGCATTTAAAAAGGCGAACTACCCGTCTTATTCGTAAATAATAAAGTTAATCCTCTTTATCTCTTATCTTACGGATCTATTACTTTTTCCCCTCTATCTTTTTATAAATTATTTAATTAACCTATTTATTTAAGATAATTAGGTATCTATCTAGTCTAGATCTACTTCTATCTACTCTCTAGATAGATCCGAAAATAACATATATAGCTCGTCGTAACCTAAGTCGCAGATATCTAAAATAAATCTATTAGCTCGAACTAAAGGTAAGAAAAATAGTCCTAGTAGCCCTAAAAGACGGCTTAGGGGTCTAAGGGGTCGCAGAAGCCGAATTTATAAGAGAAGAAGGCCAAAGGCCCCGCGGTACTAGGCTGCAGGCTCGAGGCATTATGCTACATCGAGCTATAGAATATCTAATACCGCCGAAGAGGCGTCATTAGAGGCAGAGATAGAGATCCCAGATTCGGAATTAGATACATCAACGGATATTATTCCATGCACTTAAGATATACCTTCCTTAGTCTCTATTAACCGCGAGAAGCATTATAAAGAGGCATCGAATCTAGGACGACTAGTTAATATCTATAGCACCGTAGAGGTATACTCGAATGATTATATTAATAAAAAAAAATAGATAAAAGCTAACTGCATTTCAACCTATTAGGTAATACTTTACGTCGACGAGCAGACTAGGGTACAGATAACGATAATACTATTAGCCTGCGGCAGATTTTATATTAGATATAAAACCCTAGGGCGCAAGTAATAAAATAAGAATAGCGGGTTTCTTATAAACGAAAAACAGGTTAACCTCGTTAGCCGGAAAGAAGCACAACCTACTTATATATAAGATAGCAAAGCACTTAACTCCCTTTAATAATAATAATAGACTCTCGTTTATTATCTTAATCCGCATTAGCGTGAAGTAAGAACTATAATATGCCGATCCTTAGAGGAGCAGTTATAGGGGGTTAGTAGAATAGTACTAGGATAGTATTAGTAGTTTATTTATTTATTTATTTTTATTTAGTTATTTATTATTTATTTATTTATTTATTTTTATTTTTATTTTTAATTTTTTTTATTTCTATTAACTATTTATTTTCTAACTTCTAACGGCCCATTACTTCAAGGCTGCTAGCTATTAATAGCATGCCGCGTTGCTTAAGCTCCTATATAAGCAGCATAGCATTATCGGGCATATACTTAAGGAAGTTATCTCTTACCGATTATCTTAACTGAGCTAAGGAGGATAGAAGGTAGGAGTATATAAAGTCAAAGTAATACAATAGTCCGCGGTATCGACATAAGTACCGCACTTTATCCTTATTAAAAATCGGCGAGTTTAATATTTCTAATAGCTAGGAAAAGACTCTACTATAGATCTTAGTACCCTTCCTTAGAAGTAATATAGTAAGATATTTATTCGTATAGTTAATCGAAAGGACTATCTATAGAAGAGCATCGAGAAAGCAAGCTGGTTGCCTAGCGGAATAGATAGAGCTACTGCAGTCCTAGGGCCTAGTCTTATTAAGCAATTCTAAGAATCTTTCTAGCGCAAAGACTTACTAGTTTTTATAGACTAGCGATACTCGTTGCGTAGTAATTAGAGCGGCGAGCTTAAGAATATCGTCGATACTTAGGGTCTCGCTTATAAGTATAGAACCAGAGTTAAGTATCTATAGAATAGAGATAAAGGCATAGTTTCAGCAGAACTACCTCATCGCTGGCATCGCCTGGGCTCCCATGCTCAGCAGAGCGCGGATTATTTATTCCCTTTTATAGCAAATAGCTAGAACTAATAGCATATATTTATGGCTAACCTTAGCGTTAATATCTAGATCCTCCCGTTTAATAATAACTCTCACGAGATATACTAGGTCTCCTTATATTACCGCCTTAAAGGCTTCGAGGTTTAGAGGGCGGAGACCTATGGAGGCACCGCGCCGGACAAGCAGAATCGCTATTAACTCTTAGTAGCTTATAATCGCTTCTATAAGCAGTGTTTTCTTAGAGGTATCTATATCCCCCAGGCCGTTAGGCAGAAGGCCGTGATCGAGGAGAAAAGATATAATATCGTTGCGTCCCCTCCTGGCTGCTAAGCGCAGAGGGGAGTAGAGGGTCGCATCGAGATAATATAGGGATAGAGGGTAATATTTGCGGGCATCCTAGTAGCGTTTGAAGTCTACCCTATTCGCCTTAGCGGCCGCTAAGATTGCTAGGGTATTACGCTTATCGCGGCTATGAATAATAGCATAGAAGACGGAGGAAGATTAATAGTTCTTAATGTCGTTTCGGTAGAGGATAGGGATACAGATTTCGCAAAGGCGGCGGTATAAGCGGGAAAGCGAGGCTTAGCCACCGAGCGAGCATAGCTCTATAATTATATAGATAAGTTCTTGCGGTAATAAGAGGATCATAGGAAGGTATAATATCTAGGGCCCTTATATTATTTATCGCGATGACGGAGTTAATAAGAATATATAGAAACTTTAAAATCGCCGCGAGTAAGAGGTAGCTATTTTATATATAACGAGGTATAGATTAAAGGTATAGAAGAGAGATATTAGCTAGCTAATAGGATCACTTGGTATTTTTAATATGGGATCTATTAGTGCTTAGCTTAATTAAGGTAAAGGCGTATAACTTTAGACGTGGCGATAATATGGCGAAAAAGGGGGGTTTATTAATCGACTACGCGGTAATAGCGTAGCCCGAATAGGACGGTATCTTATCGGTGGTCTATAAGCATTATATTAGCCGTTTATGCGGGGATCTAGTGCTATGCTAGCACCTAACTGATGGCATCTTTTGGGCGGTCTATGTGCTGCCTGGGGTGTCGCCGCTGCTATGTTGATTCCTGGCTTAACCAAATGCCTCCCATGGCTAGGCTTTAGCAGAGGGTCAATGCTTTCAGAGACACGAGGAGAGGGAGGCCGTGGGATACTCAGAGACACACAACTACACTCAGCCGATCTTTTCAGGTGCGATTGAACTACATGGTCTGGACTCTTCTTACAACCTTCTGACCCTCTCAGTAGTCGTCCTCCGCTCTTTTAAGAATCACTGTGAAGTGCCTCAGAGTATCCGCCTCTTTCACAATTCGGAGACCGCGACTGATGGTGAATCGCCGTCCGTAGATGTCGATGAGAGCTTTAGCCACAACGTCCAGCTGATCGTTCCCGTAAACTCTTCTCGGGATTGCAAGGCGCATGAACTCGGCCCTCGCGTAACGGTTGTGTCCCGTGATTGGGTCTCGGTCATTCATCAGGGTGCCGATCTCCACGCCTCGCACACCAGCCTCGAGATAAAGCTCCACCGCCAGCATCTGCGCCACGAACTCTTCCCTAGGGACAAGAGGCAGAAAGGCGGCCGCGTCGATGACGATCGCGTGGCCGCCCACTGGCTGCTGGATCGGGATTCCGGCGTCAATGAGCTTGCGGCCGAGCTGCTGGACTTGTCCAACACGGGAGCGTAGATGATCGGCACAGGTGGCTTCGCCGAGGCCTACGGCCAATGCCTCCATGTCTCGGCCAGCCATTCCGCCATACTTTGTGTAGCCCTCAAACAGGATGACGTTGTCAGAGGCACGCTCGAACCAATCCTGGTCTCTCATCGCCAGGAAGCCCCCAATATTCACCATCCCGTCCTTTTTCCCGCTCATGATCATCGCATCTGCATACTGGTACATTTGCGCGATGATTTCTTCGATGGTTTTCTCCGCGTAACCGGGCTCGCGTTGTTGAATGAACCATGCGTTCTCGGAAAACCGTGCGGAGTCGAAAACTACGGGAACGCCGTACTCGCGAGCTAGAGCCTTGACGCGGCGCATGTTGTCGATCGAGACCGGCTGCCCGCCGGTCTTGTTGCAGGTGACCGTGACGAGGACGAAAGGGACGTTGTTGGGCTCGGCCGCGAGGATATGCTCGAGCTTCTGGATGTCAAGATTGCCCTTGAAGGGATGGGGTTGGTCGATGCAGAATGCCTCATCAAGGGGACAGTCGATGGCGGTGGCTTGCTGGCATTCGATGTGGGCTCGCGTGGTGTCGAAGTGGGAGTTTCCGGGCACGACGTTGTTTCTCTCGACGATCCGGGAGAACAAAACGTGCTCTGCAGCACGGCCCTGGTGGACGGGAAGGACGTATTCGAATCCAAACAGCTGCTCGACTTTGTCTCTGAGCCTGGAAAACGACAAGGACCCTGCATACGTCTCATCGCCAGTCATCAATGCCGCCCATTGGCGGTCGCTCATGGCGCCGGTACCGCTGTCTGTGAGGAGGTCAATGAAGACTTGGTCGCTTTCGAGACCGAAGAGGTTGTAGCCAGCTTCGCGGATCCAATCCTCGCGCTGTTTTCTCGTGCTACGCCGAATTCGCTCGACCACCTTGGCACGCCAGATTGCTGGCGGCAGCTCATTCTGAGACATGTTTGCGGCGGGCTGAGTGGATGCTTGCGACTCTCGCTTCGTATTGTTGATGGCAGAAGTTAGGTTGGTCCGTGGATGGTTTATATCATGCTTGGGAAATAAAAGTCGGAAGAAGATGATGCGGCCTCATTGCGCCCTGCGTATATGTAGGTGGTCTTTCGTTTTGGAACGCGGAAATAGTCTGCGGCTGTCCTTGATGCATAAGGGGTGGGAACAGGACATTGATTTCCTCTCAGAGGGAGTCGATATAACAGCAAAGGCCAATTCATGACGCGAAGAGGGCCGCCTATTTTGTCCGGCGACAGTCCAGACGAGTGGGTCGAGCCGTTACCTGGGTCGTTTCCTAATCTAATCCAATACTAGACCATTTTGAATGGAGATCTTGCATTTTTTAACTACGTTTGAATTTCACAAACCGTTTCTCGCGCCTATCACTACAGCAGATGCGTTTACCATTGCTATTACAAGATAAGGAATTGGATGTGGCGCCTCGCAAACACGTACCTACGTCAGACCGGCTCTGACGCTCCGCCACCACCATCTTCGAAAGCCAATAATACGCGCGACATTTACTCTACAGATGTAAAGGGAGTATCGGTACGGTAAATAGCGTATTAAAATACCAGTCTTATTATGAATCTGATGAGATTCGTTGGCAACTCATCAACGTTGGGGGCCTTGTGCCATTATGGATGAAGCTGGTGAATGAAAGCTCGCCAAAACACTGGAAACCGATAGCTTAGGCGATGAGGGCTTGAGTCTCACTGGCACTCCAAGACCATTTTGCGAAGCGGCTATTTCTCAGCTGCTCAGGCTGTAGACACCTCGCGTGTGTTAAACAAACTTGATATGGCTTTCGTAGAATCTAAGCATGCCTTGAGGAACGAAAGGTCTATGCCCCGCCCCCGACTGCCCTTAAAAGAGCCCCTCTCATTGGTCGGTTGAAGTTCTAAAAGCTCTACTCTCATTTGTCAGATGTGTCTCCACTCAACGCGGACTGGTCAGATGTGTGCCTTGTGTGAGGAACGAAAGGACGCGAAAAAGGCCAACGTCACCCCGCAAACTTAAAAGAACCCCTCTCCTTTGGCAGAATTGGCCGTCGGCACTTCGCCTTCATTCACAAGCTTCACAGAAAAAGACACTACTCCATCCCTACAGTCACATCTCATTTCTGACATTTGACATACATCACTTTCGATGACGCCTGTGCCGCCAGATCGACCTTGCTCATGATCCAAACCCCGCATTATTCATCTATTTGAAACCTGAAGCTTTCCCGGACCGTCGTCTGGGCTCTGATCTGCCGAACCCCGCACTCCAGATGCTGCGGCCCGCGAGAACTACCCCTGCATCCATATCCATATAGAGACCAAGCCATCGTCACCTCACTCACTTCCTACCTACTCTTCCCTACCGCGTGCATCTACCATCCTATTACCTTCAATGTTCGTATCAGATATTCCTGGATCGTTTCCGACAGCCACTGCTCCAGTGTATTATGTCTACTTGAGGGGGCTTATAGTCCGGCCTATTCCCGTGACTCGGTCTTCCGCAACTCCGTTGTGCTCGGAAGACCAAGCACGGGGGGTACATTGACTAAGGAAATGGTCGGTTGATTAGGGAAACTAAGAAAGATACTTCTATTTCCATAGAGATTCTTAATAAAAATAAGTACCTAAGTTAATTAAGAAAACTTACAAAGTCTAAAATTATCTAAGTAACTTAAGATAAAAAAGATATAATTACTTATTAAAAGATATTAGATAATAAAGTCTTGAGTTATTTAAGAAGATATATTTTATGTAGTAAAAAGTGACTTCTTTCTCTATATAAAAATATATAGAAAAAGAAGTATCTTTTTCCTCAATCAACCGGCCATTTCCTGAGTCAACGTACCCCCCGTGCTTGGTCTTCCAAGTGCAACCGAAACCAAGCACGGGGGACCGGGCCGGTCTCTAGGCCCCCTCAAGTACCCCCGCACCCCTCCCCAATGGCCCCTCGAACCCTCGCAAACCTCTCGGGAGCCAGACAAAACACGGGCAGTGATATGTCCATGATGCTTTTCGTCCAGCCAGACTGCCCGTCCAGATTTGCCTATCAGGACCAGCATCGCATCAAGGGGCCCAACGAAGAGGCATTGGCGAGGGTGCTTTAACCGGGGCTACGTTTTCATCTCCGTCCTTTCCCACACATACCTTACAGAGCATGTTTTCCATCATTTGCATGCTAGATGCATGATTCTGCAGATGCAAGATTGCGTCTCCATTGCACGGCATTTCACTCTTGCATTTTCATGACCCCTCACTTCCTACACCACCTCGAGGATGCTGCCGGGATTACCCCTGAGAGGGTTCTGGTCTCCCCGCGTGTATATTTATGGCCAACACCACTCAAAACCAAGATTTGCACTTGGCTTTTCCGTTTTCAACATATCTCATCTCAATTGCCGAGCAAACTGCCACAGCCATCTTCGTTCCTCAAGGCCTTTGCGCAACCCGTGGTCGGGTTGCCTCTCCTGTCTGTCATCAGGGTGTCAGATTACGGTTTTTGATTTGTTGGGATGTTTTCTGAGCTAACCTGTTGAGGACACCTTCTATAGACCTCCTCTCTATCATGTTCGGAAACTTGGCCATTTGGCCACTTGAGGAAGACATAGTACTTGTTTATCGACTCGTCAAACTCCATATGGTCGATCTCTGAGCAATCCCATTCAACACGATGCTCGTTCGATGAATTGTCGACTTCGTGAGCCGAAGAAAGCTGGTTTGGAAACTGTTTTTGCGATCGGGTTCTCATGTTTCTGGATTGCTTAATGGCGATGCAGGCCGGGTTTGCAAATTTTGATTTTGGGAGGGGAGGGTTTGGGCGTAAATGTTGCCGGGTTTCTCCTCGTTCGAACCCCTTAGGCAAGCAGTAAAAGGTCCATGATTGGCTCTTGGGGGCTAATTTCGACCTCGGATTTCATTCCTTGATTTGGCGACAAATATGGACGAAGACGGCGTGTCGAGTATTGACACAACCCAACCTAGACTTGCGAGGTAGAGTCTTTCGTACGGTCAACCCTGCTTAGCGTAGCTTCATACCATCGGACTTTATGATTTAAACTCTCAAGGAATTAAATCATTAATACATACACTTATGACTATACACATATTGCTGAGCGGACACGAAAAATAAGCTTTATAAGCCCACTAGTGGCTTGTACTACATGAACATGGCCGGGCAAGACGAGAATGATAGCATGTAGGGCGATATAGGCTGCATGTCGCAGATTATCTTCTACCGATACTCAGACTGACTCGCAGCAGATATGCAGTCGATTCCATTCAGGATCATTTTGTTGATGAATATGTGAGACTTCGCCATTTTCTTCCTCATTTCCGCACTTCCTACGTCAGACCCGCCTCCAAAGTTGAGACAGGTCTGTTCCGCGGCCACAATACCCTCGCAAGAAAAGGGGAAAAAAAAAAAAAAAAAAAAAAACTTCTATCCGGACCAACAAAATTTCCAACATGACCTGTCTGTGCAGAACTGACATGTTCAAGGGCAAAACGCATTTCCAAGTGAAATGGCAAGGCCATCAGAGTAAGAAGGAATGGACGTGGGAACCTGAAGAAAACCTCAGGCAAGTTTCCTGCCGTCCATGACTAGGTTACGTTCGACTGATGATGGAACTCACCCAATAGAGTTGCAGGTGACACACTTATTCGGACTTATTTCAAGGGCCTTGCTCAAAGATCTAAAGGAGTTCAAAAATCTGCGAAAACTGTTCGTACTCCACGCAGCCGGAACAAATACGTTCGTGGCCCTGCAGGCCAAGGTCCACGCCACCATTCTCTCCCGAATCACGTTCCGAGCCAGAAATGGAGACCTCCTGCCGGGGACTGGGAAGACCATATCCTTACAATTGATGGCTGCGATGAAGACGACACTGGAACCCTGGTTGTTTACATCACTTGGTGCGGAGGTCAGAAGACCAAGCACACAGCTAGCGTGCTTTACAGGAAATGCCCACAAAAGGTTCTACAGCCCCAACTGGTCCTGATCAGCATACCATCGCAGTTCTAACAGAGTCAGATGCTTCGTTTCTTTGAACAATTCGTCGAAATGTCATGAAACATATCCGGACGCGCGCTGTTCTCGCCTTTTCTTCATCCATGAATGGTCGGCACTGAAGAGGGATTTGCTTCCATCTTGCTTTGGACAAGTTGTGCCTAGTCTAGGCGATGGGGCTTTGCCCAGAGCTTCTGGATTTGTGTCTGATCAACATGCTGGGACGTATGGCAGTGTATTGACATCGCACGTTGGTAGGGAGCACCCTAGTATCCCACAATCGATAGCTGTAGAAATCAATTAAACATGATTTGATTGGCCAAAACGTACATTGTCTTGATCATGATGATAGTGATAAAGACAGTATTGGGTGTCAGTAGTGCTGTAGTGGTAGGTAATTCACGACTGGCTCCCTGCCTTGGGTTGAAAAATAGGTGGGTACTCAGCAAAGTTGAAATGGCCTTTTTTTTTTTTTTTTTGGATCAAGTCCATTAATGCCTTTATGATTATGTTTCGTAACGGGGGCCTGGAGTCGGTGTAGAGCTTAAACTATAAAATGGTGTACCCGAGAAAGCCGAGATAGATTTTATTATCTTTGTTAGTCGTTATTGTTGACTATCTCATTTGCAGCCTTTTATTTCGTTGAATAACCCCGCTCTAGGTACGCACCTGACTACATCATTACACTATCGCCTCTGATGGAACCGGTTGAGCTTAGTCACCACCATTCAACGAGCTGGGTGATGGACCTGGCCCCTCACCACGAGCTGCATAATCATCGCAGTTCTTCAGATGATACGTCTCCCGCTCAGTCTTATCAGGTGGTTCGCCCGCTTCCTGAAAGCCAAGAGCCTAACTCGGCTTCGAACAGAATCAGGTCAGAGGCTAAAAGCGCAATGGAGTGTGGTCCATGCAGCCTGAGCCTAAGCATGCAAGACAAAATGGCCAGAATGGGCCAAGACCTGGACGCCTTGAAGAGCACCATTTATCATATGCAAGGTGTACAGGACGCACAGAACAAGATCATAGGAAGACTCTTGTTGGTGCAAAGACGAGCCTCAAAAGCTAAGGGGTCACTTAAGGACGAAACCGGAGGGTAACAAAGACGTGTGATTGCAGGTGGTGGACTATTGGGTAGCTTTATCCCTGGCTGGGACGCAAGAAGGGATCGGTTTCTGCCTCATTACCGTAGAGCCTTTATCGGTTGGCCGGGGGGGGAGGATCTTCGCATGTTCAGAATTGGCCGTCTGCTCTGGCGGAATCAAGACTCTAAGAGCTAGGCGGTATCTCGCAAAAGACCTAGCTAAAGTCAAATATCCTAAGCATGACATTGCTTGATCCCTTGTTCCCGTTCCTATCGTGAATCTATATGATCTATACAACAGCAACCACAGAACACTGAGTTAAAACAGATCCAAAGTGAAAGAAAGAAAGACACCTAGGTTACAGAAGAAAGAGAGAAACACGGAAAGGCAGCCCCATGATACCATTCCTCCCCATGGAAGGAAGCAATAGGCCAATGTACAGACAGCATGGACGAAATGCGTCTCCTCACGAGCTGCGGGGAGAAGCTCGCGGCGCATATTGGTAAGCAGAGAACCTCCAGAACATGGAATATTCACGCCAATAGGACCAAGAACAGAGAACCGGGATTAAGACAGAACCCGCCGAGGTTCGCCTAGTAACGATGCAGAGTGATGCATATACTTGGATCCACACAACTGAAGTTGCACACCTATTTTCCAAGGATTTGGCCGACCACGGAGTCACAGCGTATCGACGACTCTATCAGGAGGTGGGGCAGAGTTTTCACGCAGTGACATTTACGAACAAGGCCACTGTCGTTGGCCAAGCCAGCTCAGCTCCCTATGTCTCGTCGTGCGGCCCGCCAACTCACAATATTTCGACGGCCCAGTTGGAGAAAATGAGGCGCAAAGACCTGATTCAATACGTCTCATGCATGGGTCAACAGCTATCCCAGATGGAGGAGAAGGCCGCTGTCGAAGCTGCCGCGATGGTGCGCATGCAGCAAGATGCGGAAACACTGCAGCACGACAACGAACGTCTCGCCCAGGAAGTCAGACAACAGTCGGAAGATGCAAGATACCACCGCAACTTCTACTACAAGCTTCTAGAGAGTACATGCCAGTTGAATTCATCAGTAGAGGAGATTCAACAGGACTACATGAGAACCATCGACATCAGCATGTTCCCCAAAGATGAGTTCTTGATTTTCTAGAGCTCTTTGTCCTACAAGATTGCATCGGCCTCACGATACCACGGCAACAAAGTACCTACCCTGATCACGGCTGACGGAGCGCCGAGAGTCTATCGGGACCCAACATGGTTTAGGGGGCCCAGACAGCTTAAGGGGTCTGCACGTGAGGCCGGGAAGACACGCAAAGCTCACACTCAGAAATAATTTCCCTCATGGTTTTGTACAGTAAAGAGCACAGATATCTTCCTCTTTCCTAATAGTTTGCGATTTGAAAGGCAGGGTCCGCAAAGTGTTAATATTAAGGTTATCAATACAGTATACATTTAAGAGCGGCTTCGACGACTTTTAGAGTAATACTTTGCCGTAAGCAAGGGGGGGTACTTCGGCGACTCGGGCAAGGTACTGTGATTACTTACTCACACACTGTCTACGGGCACGAATTTGATAGGACGCTGGCTATACTTCCTAGTACCAAAGAGTACCTCTGCCATCCAGCCTGTAATGGACCTCACGCCTGATATCGCTGACCTTTTAGTCTCTTTTTGTCGCTATGACCTCTTACAAAGTAGATCTCTGTACCCGAAAGTCTTGACGCGCGACTTTTATAGACACTTTTAGTGCAAAGAGGAAGATGCCTGTGCTCTCAACTGTAAGGGGGAGCATGATGTCTACGGTTATGAGGATAGTGCACTCGTCTATTGGAATCGACTTTTTTTTTATATGTCCCTAGCAGTGCCATCATGCTCTGAAAAAGAAGACTGAGGCATCACCCATTGATTATGTCGAGGTCACACTAGCCTATTCCCAGCCATATTTTATTCTTGCCCGTTCTCTTAAGAGGGAAGCCATACAGCAGACAACGAACCCCGACCGATCTATTAGACACCCCGTGACCTATCATCTGAGGGGTAAAACGGAGGCTTGTAAGCTAACCACCTGCCCAAAGCGATACTTGACATCAACAAAATGTGTAGTCTAGATACCTAGAGTGGCGATGACATACACGTGTGTCCTAGACTGGCTGTGCACACTGCCTACACCTTACGGACTTACAATAACAGCATTCGAAGAAGAGACCGCGCTCTGTAGTCTTACAGGCAGGACAGATCCACTCAGCTAAGCATCCGTTGGCCTTGATCATCCATGAATGCTCCGTTTCCTGTCTGGCAGAGCAATCGTTGTGCGACCGTCCTGTAGTCGTAGTCAAAGCAGCTTGGCTCGGCTCCGGTTGATATGGAATGTATGGATCATTTTCTGGTTTATCTTCTGCATTATCGTGGTGTTCGCAACAACTATGTATCTTGTACTGTATTGTGTTCATGACCCCTGGACCGAAGAGTCGTACATGTACTTGGACTCGTCAACGTGGCAAGACAACAGGCCACACAAGCGGCGACAGAGAAGTAAAAGTAGAATTTCTATCGAATATTTATAGATTAAAGAGGGCGCTTATTACGGCTACGACGTACGCACTTTTGTGATTCACAACAAAATATCACCTCATCCTATATAGGGCGGTCCGGTGTTCCCAGAACAAGTCAAGGTTTGAATAGCGCCATGGTACCAGTTTTGCTGTTACACTGTTCAATCTCAGCTGCAAATGAAAGAACTCCGTGTCTTACTCACGCAAAACCCTCTCTTTGGAGCTGTTCCCTGCCAGTGGTTGGCGACCGCTGTGCATACAGCCGTTGTAGGACGACATGAGTAGGTCCATGTACGAGCTGGGCTTTGTAGACACGGCGAGTAGAGGAGAGTCATTTTTGTACACAAGTCCAGTTCAGTCTGTGGCTATCTCGGTCCTGGGGAATGCCAATCCGATCTTGATTCGGCTCTGTATCTCGCGCAGCGGCCAAAATAGAGATACAGGACATGGGGCCAAGCTGGCCGCGTAGTGCTCAAAATCGGGTTTAGCTTAGGCCACTCCTCATTACAGTCAACGAATAAGGTATAGACCCCCCCAACGTCTACGGCCTTTTTTAGTCACCTTGTCAGTGTTGGAGGCAGCGGGGCGGCATGGTGCGTGACTAGGTTTGTGTGAGATGCGGGACCAACCACTGAGCTATAGAGATGAGGGCTGGGTGTACACCTACGGATGGCCGACGTCCATTTCCAGACGTTTACCTAGTGGGTAGCCAAACATATCATGAGCCAACGGATAACGGCAAAAAAGAAACGTCTCTCTAGTTTTCTGGATGACCGGGTACTTCGGACGCTCTTCTAGCCTGCTTATAAATAGCTATTCAAAACTCGTGCTGGATCCTAGGACAGAGCTCGTTTCATCTCTTTAATAATTGGTCGCTGAAAGAAAGTGGTCGAAATCTTTTCCACGCCACGGTTGCAAAAAGCTCCGAATCTTGTGCTACCGGCGAGAAGGCTCAACAGCATGTTTCACTCCAAGGCAATTCTTGGCCAAGAGATCTGGAACAGCCACCACGACATTTTGGCCCCTGCATCCGAAAAAGAGATCGCTCTGCATTATGCGAGAGCAAGGTCGCTGTGTCGCCACAGCGGTGCGTACAAGATCTTCATGACGTGCTCTACCCACCTACGTACTAACCCAGTCATCTAACAGGCTTGTCGTTGCACGACATCAAGAATTTGACGCAGAAGTTCTGGGATTTTCATTTTGATCGTGAGTCTTGGATTCCATGGCCCGGTTTGCATTCTAGCCTAACGATGCCGTCAAGTGGTTGCCGCCCGCGACATGACGGCGTTCATCATCGCCACGATCCACGTAAATCTTTGCATTGGAACGCTCGGTTCTTTTTCCGAAGAGCGCCCCGACCTACATAACCTGCTCGACAAGCTTTTGAATTTTGACGTGTGCGGCGAATTCATGCTTACTGAGGTCGGGCACGGCCTGGATGCTCGCAACTTGGAAACGACCGCGACCCTGCGGGCTGATGGCTCCTTCGATCTCCACACCCCTCACGCAGCAGCGTCAAAGGCAATGCCTCCGACGACACCATGCTGCGGCATCCCCCGAGTCGCCGTGGTCTTTGCTCGCCTGATGGTGGGCGGGAAAAGCCACGGTGTCAAGCCTTTCATCGTGTTTCTCAGCGACGCGGGGACGATGCGGCCCGGAATCACGTCGCGGATCCTACCTACGAGACCAGGTACCAAGCCACTGGATCATTCCATCACAACCTTTGATCATGTTCGTCTACCCCCGGATGCGCTGCTCGGTTCTCTCTCCAAGCCAAAGGGTGAGCGCACCGAGTTCTTGCGTCAGATTTGGCGCGTCTCGGTCGGTACTTTGTCACTCTCCATCATGGGTATCTCTGCCATCAGGGTGGGAACGCGCATAGCTGCCGTCTACAGCGAGCGAAGGACGATCACGGCTGCTGATGGACGCTCCACTACGCCAATCATGGGTTTCAGCACTCAGCAGCGCCCTATCGTCGAGGGGTGGGTCCAGGGCAAAGTCCTGACCGCGTTTGCTCGCTGGGCCGTGGATATGTGCCCTGACCCCACTGATGCGACGCAGCATGCGCTGGCAACGATTTTCAAAGCGACGGTCATCAAAGCTGCACGGCTTCTGGGTGATCTCGCCGAGAGGTGTGGCTGGCAAGGCCTGTTTGCGTACAATCAAATAAGTGAGCTGGCGCTGACCTTCCAGGGCAACTCTATTGCCGAGGGGGATACATTGGTTTTATGTATACGTATGCACTTGGGCATAACTCAGTTCTTCATCCCAGGTCCTAGCTAATCTCTCTTCTAGGTTTAGTATCCGAGCTTCTTGGAGGGAAGTTCAGGTTACCACGACCGCGAAATGAACTGACGCCTTTGGCACAATACGAACAAGAGCTGATGGAAGGCCTTCGTGCAAGACTGGTTGAGATTGGAGGATATGGAGAGCATCGCGGTCCAGCTTTCGACCGGCACATCCTCCCTCGATGTCGGCCGCTGGTTGAGGCGATCGGTCACCGCATGGCGTACGAGGCTGCCGAGCGCTCCGGAGTTGCCCCGGACGTGCTCGAACTGTACGGGCGCATGTGTGTCGACAGAGATCTGAGCTACTCGCTGGGAGAAAAGCTTTGGAGCGGGCCTAGTAAAAATTTAGCGCCATCTGATGATCCATACGATACTGTGTTGGCCCAGATCAGAGCGGAGTCGGCATGTGGATCCGAGTTGGACGACTACATCACGGCGCCCATCGTGTCAGACGAGGCGTGGGCCAATTTTGTCGAAAGTCTGCGTGTATTCAGCCATCCAAAGGATACTAGAAGTAACTGGTCCAAGCTGTAGATTACCTTGTAGAGACCTGTACTTTGAACGGCCGTGAAGGAGCATTAGGTAGAGAATAGAAAGGAATATTGGCCGCAGAATATTGTTGGCGTTCAACGAAGCACGTAGAAACACTGTTGGAAGAACTGAGAGTTCCCCCTAAGCTTCAGGATCAAGATTAAAGTTTGAAGTCCTACGATTAAGGTTTAAAGTCCTAGATGGGATCATTCAAAGATATAAGGCCCCAAAGGGCCTCTCATTGAGATTATGAAAACATAACTAAGAATAATCACAATCACGACAACAAGAACTACCTTTTGTCAAGTGCACTCAGCATCCCTGCGCGACACAACAACAAACACTACATAGTATGTGTCACATCAAAGATACTAGCAACAACCTCGTTCAGCAACAATGGAGCCCAAAGCGAGGTCGGGTCGATGTAACAACAATACTGGCACTGAGATCAGAGCTCTGAGAGAGCCAGGCTGGCCTAGGGCTCTGGCTTGTCTGGGCTTGGCTTGGGTCTGCTCGATACCTTACGAGACCTACCGGTACTAAAGCTGCTGCAAGCAGTGGGCAGACCGTCCGTTGCGAGTTCCACAGTGTGCCAGTATCTTTTGGGGGAAAAGCCTGCCTTTTAGAGTCAGAATCTGGGCTTGTGCTAGTGGACTGCACTGCCAAGCGTGTCGATATCGCGAAGCTGGTCGACGCCACTCGGCTATATTGAAGATTACGAGTACATCCGAGAGTGTATTGAGAATCATTTCTACTACCATGGGCATCTACCTATTCCTTAACGCCTGCTCCTCCTTGGTGGTGATCTCGCCTCGACGTTTGCCTACTCCCGTGACCTATGTGTGTTCTTCTGAATATTGTCTGTTACTCACCTACTCCTGCACGTATCCTGTATTCAAGACATCCAGCTTGGAAAATCCCTCCCACACCGTCGTTAAAATCTTTGCCTAGAGATATGTGAGCTTTTTTCCGTTGTGCAATAGGATGGTGAACATACAGCGCGCCCAGATAGTCTGATAAAAGACAGTTGCGCATGACGGGCCCTGGGATCCAAACGGACTCCTCATCTCTTGTGGGTCACCAACGCAATCTTTCACCCAACAGATAGAATACTCATACTCGACATCCCACAGATCCTTTTCCAAGCTCAAGAGGCACTCGTCACCAGCTTTCATGAGTCCTTTGGTGGCTGACCTGCCACACCAAGCCTCTGCAGTCATGCTGACTCGCGTGCCATAGACCTTAGCGTTGCCGGCCAAGACCTTGGTATCGTAACAGACGATATCTGACGGGCTGGTTTGAGCGGCCGAGGTTGTCGTTATCGTCTTTGTCTGGCCTCTTGTCAATGATGACGTCAGTAATGTTGTTTTAGTGTCTGTAGAGAACGTTGTGGATGCTTTTGTGGTATACTGAGTGTATAGAGCAGTGCTCGAGGCGGCAGTCGTTTCCACGACAGAAGACGCGAGCGACGTCATCCCAGTTTGCGTGCCCGATACCACATCCGTCGTATCTGGCTTGGATGCGAGATTGCTCCTTGTAGCGGATTCTGCCGTAGAAGTTTCTCGACCTGTTGGTTTCTGAGTTGCGGATGCAACCGACACCGTAGTTGAAGTTGTGACTGAAGTTGCCGAGTACGTGGCTGTCTCCATCGTACCTGTCCCCATCGTGTCAGTGTTTGATGCAGTTCCTGACGGTACTGTCGCATGTTTGGCCGTAGAGGAATCGCACGACCGATCCATGCTCCGGTCTGATGTTTCTTCTGACGCTTTCGAGACTGATGTTGTCGGTGGGGCTGTATTTAGCGTGGTCTCGCCACTGATGCTGGCCGAAGTCACCGGCGACGTGGCCGTTGTTCCCGTCTTTTTGGAATCTTTAACCGATGTTGTACCCGAGGTAGAGATAAACGAGGTTGATGTCGTCTTTCCTTGTCGACTTTCCAACGTGGAAGTCGGTGAATCTGTCACAGAAGAGTGATCAGACTTTGTGCTCGTGCCGACATACGCTGACGTTTCCATCGACGCTGTCGAAGCCGCAGCAGATCCCTCACCATCTGTAGTGGAGACTCTCGTGGGCAGACCAGTGGACCCTTGACTTCTATTAGCTATTGGTGCAGTTGTCTTTCCGGTTTCAATAGTGTCAGTTCCCGAAGTCTCTACGTCGTCTGATGCCGGCGCCTGTGAAGATCCTGCGGTACCGCCTGTTGGAAGCGAGCCTTGGGCTTGGCTTGATGCTTGGGTGGTTGGTCGCGCTGCGGATGTAACGCCTGATTCAGCGATCGACTCATCCGACGATCCGGCCGTCGGTTTGCCCGTTGGGTCAGGGCGTATTTCCGACTCCGACACTGATTCTCGCATCGAGCTATGTGAGGCGGAGTCGATGGCTGTAGGAATTGGTTGTCTTGACAAGCTCGAGCCCAGGCCGGATGGGAGCTAAGACGCGTAGGATGCGCCAGTCTCGGTCTTAGTTTTTTCTTTGTCCTTCACTATACTGGTTGATAGATGCTAGGACTCGGAATACTGCGAGGTGGATGGGAATGCGGTGCTAACCAAACGATCAATTGTAGAGGCGGTCGCGCTATCTGGAGCTTGTTCGATCTCGAGCAAAGGTGGGCAGTCGTTTGTCCATGCACCAGAAAACCGCGGTACCCTATATGGCACGTTGTAGGGTACATGAGGATAGATGTCGTCAATGTCTACAGCCGGATTGAGAACCTCGATCTCTGGGCGAGTTACTCCCAGCTCTCTCATTACAATAGCAAACTCCTGGCCCTCTTCGGGCTCCCATATTCCATTATCCCAGTTGCATAAGGCATAGGCCATTGGGACCCAGCAGATGAGAATGTAAAATTTCATTGCCTAGTTTATCTCAAGGCGACACGGCGATTGCGCCCTGAGGTAGAAGTGTTTGGCCCGGTTTATAGAGTATTTCTAGAGATGCCAAACCTATATTGGACTCTGTGAAGGACTGATTGGGCCTCTTCTAGCCCCGATACCCTGTGAACCTTTTCTAGAGTGCCCTGGGAAGGAGGTTGGATTTACCCTGGGTTAACAAGGCGGATTTAGGCAAGCCATTGCATCATGTACTCTAGCAGCCGCCTAGAGGTTGGTTAGTTCTTACCAAACGTCTCTTTTTTGCTCAAAAGATTACGTCACAGAGAAAAGTCTAATATCGTCTTCAGGTTCTAGGTTCATTTTGTTGTTCATTTTGACATGCACATGCAGTTTTTATGCAGATGCAATATTTGACTCTGACGTCCAACTCTAGATCGGTTTCCAAAGACACTAGCCATTATATACGCCGCGATTACAGTGAGCCGCGTGCTGAGGTGGATCCTCAGAGACGCTGATGCGTTAGGAAGAATAGCAGACGTGGAGCGATCTTCATCAAGTGCAACTTTACAATGAGCCTGGCCTTGCACAGTAACAAAGCCCACAGAGGTGCCAGTTGTACTTGAAAGTTTTGAATATATTACACTAGCCGGTCTTGTTTTTATCAAACTTAGCAGAACAAATGTCTTCGTACCAGCATGTTACCCATTCTTATGCTTTATCTTGTCCTGGAAACCAACCCCTGGCTCTAGGGCCTGGGCAGGACACAAAGATACAGACAGACCCCATCACCTTCTTTTGTGTTTTCACCCAATCCAGCATCCATGAATTACCAATTTTACATTGATGTGGTCAATACAATGCCCAAATAAATCGCCCGGTGGCTATAATGCCGGTTAGACTGCGTGACGCAGCTCAGAAGGATTCGTATAGATGCTAGACGTTATCTAAAGGCGGAACGAGCTACTACACGGCTACCTCAATGCAGATTCAGGCGATGAATTGACCATAAGTGGCAACCAGGCCTTCCGACTCCTATATCAGTTCATCAAAATGTCCCTTGGGAGCTGGTTTTGCCTGTTGGCGGCATAGTGACGGAGCTGGCGATGGCGCTGGAGACCGTTTGAAACGATCTGACCACAACTTGGAGAAATAGTGGAGCACTCCTGAGCGGAATCCAAAGCTGCGCCGGACACACTCGGGACCACCCTCGATAGATGGCATGATACTAGATTTTCCACCCTTTTTTCGGTCAATTCCGCTGCCGTGAGATATTCTGATGCAACGGTAATTGTTAGAGACCATCTTGCCTCAAGATCAAAATGCGCGACCGTGGACGTCGTCTTGTTCGAGGAATATGGGGTTCTAAATACCTACGTTGTAATAAACAGTGAGACCCTGATTTGGCCGTGTTGGTCCCACCACTCAGATACTGCTGTACAGTAGATAACCGAGGACAGGGGGGGTTCGGAGAAAAGCGGACGGCTGTCCAATGTGTTGGCTCACAATCTAGTTTTAGAGACCCTGATAATCTCACAATGGCACACTATACTTATGGTAGCCATGTCAGCAGCCCAGCTTGGCTCAGTTGTTGTATGTAGCTTGGTGTAGTTTTCGTCTTTACATGTCGACAGGGGAGGTCACGCTAGAACGCCGTAAATGGGTCTCAACTCTTGATGCGACAGACCTACTAAATGGAATTCACAGACAATGACCGAGCTAAAATTACCTATTTTGTGCCTATGGTGAGATCTTTCTTATTCAACTTAACCTGATCAGTTGCGACGTGATAAAAAGCCGGTTTGGTTAGTTACTGGCAAGGTGATTTACGGCCCTTCTTATTTTAGCCTGCCATTGGCCGACGACAAAAATGGCCGGGCGATGGTCGTAGGTCCACGCAAGTAAACAGAAAGGTATTTGCAAAGTCCTGTTTTGGAAGTATGGGCTCAGCAGACCTTCAATTCCGTGCCCTTGGCCAAAGGCCGAAATAGCTCTATCCGGCCAACAAGGGGTAGAGGTTGCGAGTATATAAGAGCCAAGGGAGAAGTCAAGTCTTTCCAATCCCAACACACAAGCATCTCTACCAAGCAACTTCAGAATGGCCTCTAGCCAAGCTACAGACAAGCAAACTGCAGTGGTTGAGCCAAAGCAAGAGCCGGTGGGTGGCGATGGAATGGACGGAATCCAAACAGGTGGGGGGCAAAATGAAACTACTCCTGCCGAAGACAAAGGCTCGTCAAGCGGGGAGAAACAGCCACCCCCAAGCCAATCGTCCACCAGCGAACCACCTGCTGAGCAGGGTCCTCCTAGTGGAGGAGGAGGAGGAAGCGACACTTCTAAGTCGAATGGGGAAAACAAATCACCTCCAGACAAAGATTCCAACCCCGGAACAGACCCTAATCAAGGTGGCTCGGGGAAAACGGCTCCCCCCTTGAGTGCAGAGAGTATAAATTGGCTTGCGCACGACTATAAGGAGGGTTCTCAAGGAAAAAAGAGGCCCCGCCCAGATTCGGCCAAGATCGACAATTCCGAGCAAGGCAAGCCCCTTTTCAAAACAGATAATGGTTCTTTCAACTACCGTGTTCCGTCCGGACTTTCTACCGAGAATAGAGAGTATGATGAAGACCTTCACGGGGATCTAATAGGGAGAGACGAGGTCCCCAATAATATGAAAACTTTGGCACTGGTGAGCGATGGCAAGGTGCCGAGGTATCTCAACCAGTTCATCCAAGGTAACGCACTCATATTACGGATTCAGACGACTAAGGACAAAGAATTCATCAAAGGAAGCGGGAAGCCCCTTACTTCTGACAAGCTCCAAACCCAATTCAACGATAGACGTTGGGGTGACGTATACGACATACTGGGCGTAGCAATACCTGGCGACGAAGACAAGCCAAGGGAAACGCTGGCAAAGATTGACCCGGAGAATTTGTATGCATTCCAGAGTCGAATGAGCCTGTTCATTCTCATTCAGTGGACGGACAAGACGACCTCATTTGTGAATCGTCAATGGTGGCGTGATAATTACGTGCCAAAGCACATGTCACCGGCAGATAAGCAAAAGATCTACACCATCCGATACCAGGAAGCGTCGCCCGCTGGTTCCACCAGCTTTGTTGATAGATATCGACAGAACAACAACGGATTCAAGGACTACAGGCTCCTGAAGTGGGCTGTGAAGTACGAAAAAATGTACTGGGAAGCCAAGCATCCGGAGACACCATTCCACAGTGGCCGAGAAAAGTCGCCGTCTCCGATTAATGACGATATTGCCGGACTTCGAGAAGCAACAATGCCGCCTGGAACAGTGCCTCCCAATCCGAATGTCGACGTCCGAGACACAATCGAGTCGTCTTCCGACCGCGAGGCCACTGGACGGCAGCAACGACAAATCTCTGCACCGCCGCAGGCTTCCTACCAGCAGTCCCCACCACCCCAGTCACAACCCACGCCACTAGGCTATCCCCACCCCTATCTACCGTTTGCGATGCCACCGTGGCAAGCCTACAACGGCTCCCCTGCATCGGGCGAGCCCCTACCATCGCAGAACTACGCCCCCCAGCAATATCCCCCACCTCATGGACTTCCAGCGCACTACCCTCAGCTGCCTTACCCTCAGCCGCCCTACTACCAACCCCAGCCCCATTCATTTTATGCACAGCCACCTCAAGCTGTTCCTGCGCTGTAAAGGTTGGAGAAAGCTGACGGACAATCGCCATCGTCAACATCACTAGCACAACGGCGGGGCCCGACAGACATCGGCCGGACAATTATTCCCGTAAACCAGTCGGAGGACCGGGAAACAAGTAAATATGCAGGTTTGTTTTGTACGTTGTGTTACCAGCCAGCGCTTGGAAAGCGCGTGGATGGTTGGGTTACTTTTCATTTCCATTTTGTTTGATTTTTCCCTCGCAAGCACTCCTTAGAACACTACGTGGCTACTCGCTATCACGCATGTAAATATTCGAGCTTTTCCATTACTATCTGTGCCACTTTCAAATCTAGACTGGTGTATATCCTGAAGATAATTCATGCTGTGATGTTGACTTCTCACTTGCCACTTGTGCAGAATCCTCACTTATCAATGCTGCATCTGCCATGAAATAGCTGTAAGCCGCAGGAGTTGGAGATTACGGGGTACCAAGTCTAAGCATCAATGTTGCCTGATAGTAAGAATTCCATATGGTAGCAATATGCTTGCTCCCGAGCTAGATGGCATCCATAACACCAATCGCACGATGACTTTGGATACCTTTGTAGCATCGTCTAAGCTACTATAGATCGAAGCTTCTTGATAGGGTATGGTTTCGGTATCCTCATGTACCTATCTGCTAGGCTTCGCGTTTCTGCGCTATGGGTCGCCAAGGAGCAGCCTAATGAGCTTACCTCGACGCCGCACCGACGTTGCAAACATATTTGATGTAAATTTTATAATCTCGATTCAATCTGGCCCATCGGCAATACCTCCCGCAAAGGCGCATGGTGGTATTCTCCGTGTCCCGCTCCTGCGCGTTTGACAGCCATGTTTCGCGATTGTGGTTTACTGAGTCGAATCTCACGCAAGCTGATGGATGGAAATTGCCTTCAAGCAAGGGCCAAAATTTGACGATTTCAGTGTTCAGTCTCCGTAATGTGGGCTAAGCCATTACTGAATCCTCGTCGTTGGGTCAAAGTGGAGGTTTGTCTGGCCAATTTGGCCGTTTACATCCAGTACTTTAGCGCAGGACAGTCCCTCCACAGCCATCCGTTTCTGGCTCTCGAAAGGCTCGAGAAGTGATGCAGGCCAATACAATCCAACATTGTCATGTACAATGCGTACAACAAACATATATGCATGCACTAGCGGTCTGTAAATATAAGTATTCCAGACATCGTCGCGACTGTTTGATGAGGCAATTATTCTTCCTCCAACCTCGCCACCCCAGAGCCACCGCCCAGATTTTGCTCTTCTTTCGCTAGACCTTATCATCGATAAGCGGGGATCTGGAGACAGCTGGGATTTTGCCAAATTTACATGTCCCATTGTCGTGCCGCTGGGCGCCGTGCATCCTATGGAGGAAAGAGGCGCCACCGGTTGGCTGTCCAGAGCCAGCTGGAACCATCCTCAGCTGGAACCACAGACTCAATACCTTCTGATTTGTTCAGTCTACCTCTTGATCTTTGCCTATCATACGCGCCGCAGTCTTCCGGTTTATCGCGTCAATTCATGCCAGAAAAGGTCTATGGCGTTGGCCCTGCATATACTGGCAGGAGCATTCGAGCTTACACGATACTACGCCCGAGCAGTAAAAGGGCCGGTCCTGCCAGATCTTGCGGACACTGCTGCCTGTTTCGCCCACTCTTTCACCACCCTCACCCTCGCAAGGACACTGTTACGAGGCGATAAGACAACAAGGGCATCGTACCAGGCCCCTGCGCTAATGCGACCGTTGCTCGCGCTGATTGCCATCGGCTACGAGAACGCCTTCATCCATGAGGCTTCAGTCAAGCTCCTACATGCCTTTCTCTACACCCGGTTGATCATTTTCCTAGCCAAAAGGATTGGGATGAACAAGGTCCAGTCATACGCCACAGTGTACGCTCATGCGGTTTCTCTAGGCGCTATTGTGGCCATTCATTACTCAGGTCTTCCGGGGGGCGTCCCGGTATACATCGGCGCGGTTGGCGTCGTGATGGTCTTCAATCATCGCATGTCTGCTGCTCTGTCCAAGTCAGCGGAGTCTGGGCGATATACACAAGACACTACAAGTCAATCAATCAGCAGACACATTGGGCCGGAAGGGATCAAGTCAGCGTTCGGACAAGCTCTCATGCGGATGTCCTTGTGGATAGGGCTGGTCAATATTGAGACTATCAAAGCACAGGATCGTTCTTCCATTGCATCTGCATGGACGGGCGATGAGTACGTTGAATGGAAAAACTAGTGGACAAGGATATGGGGTTCAGGCAAAGGCTAAATAGTATAGTTGCAGACAAATGAGGTTGTAAAGCAACTGGACGTTGGGGCACGGAGCCGCCGCCTAGAGGGCAAAGGTGCATACTACCCGGAACCAGAAGAGGCGCTGGGGGTGAAGCGCGCCCATTCATTCGTCTCTATTAGCCCGTACTACGACTGGCTGACCTTGCTGGAATGAGGATGGAAATAAGGCAAGAATCACGATGTTTGTAAACGACCACAGCTAGCATCAGGCAGTAGCCTGCTGCCTGTGTTATTGGAAGACTGAACATAGGTACAAGAGGCCGACCTTCGTCGCTCCCTTAGATAGAATCAAGCAGCGCAATGAAATCTCTTCTGATCACACCTTCTGTTGCACAACTAGTGCTTTGAAAGACCTGCCCGAACACCGAATCCTTCCCATTCCTCACATGGTAATGTCGCCACCTATTATCTAGCGTAGCTCACGACACAAGAACCCGCCATGCTATACGTCGAGATATCACCATATTGAACAGGCTGATAAATAAACTAAGGAAGAAACGTCCATACTGCTGGCATTGACACGGCGTAAAAGAAGTCGTGGAACTCCCAAAGATGGACTAGATAGTGATACTGCGCCTAAAGGATCCTACCTACCGCAGGTACGACGACGTCAATAGATGTTCGAAGGCGCATTGACATAACGTGTTGTACCTGAGGCAGTCCCTACCTAGCCTTAACGCTTACGAGTCACCTGATGGCTTCTGCCTTTGATTGAGCTCGTTGTGTTGCGCGGAGCCAAATGAGGACAACGTTTTCATGCAAGTAACCTGCAAGTACCCCTGTCAATTCCAGTGTTCTTTGATAAGTATGAGAATTCCTGTAGTTACCTCATGGCGGCTATGGTGCATTTTGTGGAGGTATTGGCGCCCAATTCCATCACTCGAAATGGCCGGCTCTTGATCACTATAGCCGCCCCACCCACTGCATCTTATTATGGCAAAATCGCCGATAAAAGCTGCCAGCAATGTCAGACCTCGCTGTAGCCCCTGCCTTGGACGGAAATTCCATTGTTATTTACTGTTCCAATTAGGCTTTCGGATCCCATGCTATTCAAAACGGTAGGAATCCAAGGCCGGACGGCGAAATAGTCAAAGTAGGCTGCAGCGCCGTGGGAGGCACAGACGGTGTAGTAATGAGGCTTGATACTCAGAGTTACCCTCGAATTATCCCCGTATTTCACTAGTAGTGATTCTTTTAACTCTGTAGTAAAATTTTCCTTTTTCTTCCCGCCCTCCCAGAGGTTTCCTCACAGCTAGGTCATCATCATCTCAACGGTAGCCAGCACTCATGGGTTACGGACTGAACCAACAATGCAACACTCAAAGTCGTCAAGGTCGTGACCAGATCCCAATTGAAAGCAGTGATCATGAGCGGCAGACGATCATCTCCAGTAAACTATCGCTCCAGACAGAAAGTCTTTATCTCGAAGAGATCATTCAACACCTAGAATACATGCAGGTATGTACCTGGGTGAAAGGGACCGTTCACTTTTACCGTAGCTGACTAGGGCTAGGATATAACTCTACCAGATGATGCCATGATTGATACACAGAAGGAAATCACGTGGTCTATGCGATCATGCCTCGTTGACTTTCTTGTCGAAGCCCATGGCCACTTCGGCCTCGCGCCTCAGGCCCTGTTCCTCTCCATCAACCTCGTTGACCGGTACTGCTCAAGGAGAGAGGTTCGTAGGGATCATTATTGGCTACTAGCCAGTGCCGCCCTACTAATTGCTTCGAAATACGGCGACAAGACATGCGGTGACACGAAACGGAATCATCCGTCGATCCGAGAAATAAGTGGGTTATGCTGCGGCGTCTTCAATGCGGCAACGATCATCCAGATGGAAATGTCCGTCCTCAACACTCTCGATTGGGTCATTGGCCACCCCACGATCGATTGCTTTGTGGAAATGCTGCTGTCGGTGGGAGAGCACGACGATGAATTCAGGAATATGGTAGCCTACATTTGCGAAATGGCTCTCTATCACCGCGACCTTATCTCCACCAAGCCCTCCATCATAGCTGAGGCTTCTTTCCTGCTCGCGCAGGAGATTCTGTGGCAGGATGCGACATCGCATGTGGGCACAAGTGACCACGTGCGCGGGACGCTGCAGACTTTGTCAGCTCACCTTCGCCATGCCCGGCCTGTTCTCGCTAACAAGTTTTCGACACCCAAGCGATCCAGAGTAGCGCAGCGGCTTCTTAACTTTTGTCACCAGCATACATGATAAGGACCGCGAAGGGATGGATTGTGTGTTGTACTTGACTAGGTAGAGCCGCACAAAAAAACCTATGGCATTGTTCTCAAGCTTGCCTTTTCTTCTTGCATCAGAACTTGACGGTAGACTCATATCAGATTGTCCGACGCCAGACTGCTGGTCTACGGGTGGCTATCGTAGCAAACCTAGAGCGGTCCACGTGAGATAATAGAGTGCTCACTCGTAGCCTTGGCACCTTGCCTTTACCTTGGCATGGGTATCGATCTACGCTAGAGTAACGTGGGAAGAGCAGAGACGCAAGTAGGCCAGATGATCGCACTCAGGAGGCACCTATCAGCCTCTACTATCCCCTACCAATTATTCGAGACCGCAGTGGCAATGAAGACCGGACATGTGGTTCCAAAAAGACGTGAAAAATGAGGTGCGCGGCCTGGTAGAGGCTGGCCCAAAATGTCTAGCCAATCTCGGACCATTCTACCAATCCTAACTAGAATCGCTTGAGACTCGAGCCTCTGGCAGCGGGTGGTGTGATATGGACGCTTAAAGTACTACAATCGAGAATGTCATATTTTGGGCTTTTTCAAAGCGGCCACGCAGGGAGAGTCCCCTGAGCTGCACCCTCTTTTGTCGCCTTTTACGGAGTAGATGGCCGGCGAGAGTCGTAGATTTGAGCAAGCTTTGAGCCGAGGGCGCATTGTAAGCCAAGTCCGTTTTGGCCACAGGCCGATCACCTTATAACCACGGGCTACCCGCTTTTCCAAGCTCAAACACCTCAGCTACTAAACACACTCGTATCGAAATGCATGTGGAGTCGCAGCGTGTGAATGGTCTTGTGAACCTGGATGCAATCTACCGGCGTGTAATCCCATTGCTATCTTCACTTGCACCTCAAAACCATGACACGAGCGAAATTGACCAGGACTCACGGCTGGGGCTATACTACGTGCTAAGATCATTAAGAGAAAAAGAGGCATACTGGTTCATTGTTGGTCAAGCCCGGCCTTATGGGAGCATGGTGGCCGCCATAATACTACACGATTCTCCCGCCGAGATACGACTAGCGATTTTGGAAAGAATGGGGGAAGCCAAGTCGGAAATGATTGAGTTGCTCGCTTGGATGGAAAGGCAGAGAAAGCTGAACAACCCACACAGTATTTTCCCCTCAGTCATTACAAGAAGTCTTCTGAATGGATTGCTAGCGACGGGTTGGCAAGATATCTGTCATCTGTGTAAGGGAAAGTTTGACAAGGAAGGTGACGATGTTGTGTGGAAAAAGTGCAAGGCACATCTGATGCATGTTGAATGTTTTCGACTCGAGGTTGAAAGGGGCGGCATGCCATTGTTCGGGCCTTGTGGCTGTGCTGGGGCGGCTTCGTAAGGCTACCACGGTTTTACTAACTAGCAATCGGATCGGCAAAATTAGCGCCGACAGTCTTTTGTACCAGATTGTTTTCAGAGGTCGGGGGCATCTAGAAGACAGAATTTATTAAAAGTGCTGACTCTGGGGCACTCTTTCCCTGCCGTGTCAACTGAAGTGCAGTGAATGTCAAAGAGGACAGGTATCGTTGTGCAGATCGAAAATGGTACTCAATAGCTCACGAATCCCGAAACGCACACGTGGAAAAACCTCACATGCCAAAGTATCTGGCTGTCATTCCGGTGACAGTTTTTCATGTTTGTAGACATTTCTGTTGCCTCTCTAACCGTTGGAGTAGCTGAGGCTTCCCCCTTTGCTTTAGGACCAAGCTTCAAAGCCCCAAATTGAATCGTATGATATAAACCCTTAATGAACTATCATCGCAACAATGATAATAATGACCTTAGTGTTTGTCAAGTGCACCTAAACAACTGCGTAATCGTACTACACTGACCACATAAAAAGAAAAAAAATATGTAGAATTCATCAGCTTACCCTGGAAGTCGACGTCTACGTCCGCTTCCTTGCTCTCACGCAATACAATCTACAAGATCAAGGTCTAACTCAATCGCCCATTTCCCACCAGGAGGATCACAGATACCGGCGAGAAAGTTTGGGCTCAGGCTGTTCATGCGATGTTGAATTCCATCCTGCGCTCTACTTGTAGTTGAACAGGAGGTGATGTTGAAGGTGACAGGGTGTCACGTGTGAGCCAAGGATCCTAAGATTCAAGCTAGGTCCTTCAGGGGCAGACATGAACACTACACGAATACACTGAATTTTTGACCAATGGACCAAACACACATACCAACAGGCTATCATCCAGGCGATTCGGTGGTGTTTTGCCCAGAACTATGCTTCGTTGAAGCGCCCCGAACCAAGAGAACGGCCTCTATCATGGCTCCATACCTACGTACTCCGCAGGCTGCACCTGTCAGCAGGTGAGCCAAGGTGTATGTCTGGATGTCCAGAGTCAAGGACCTTAAGACCGAAAGCAGGTCCTTCAAGAACATACACTTGACGAGAACACGACACGAATACACTGGTTTCTGATCAATGAGTTGACTACGCTTCATACTTGACAAGAGGAGTAGATCTTTCTTCACCATGAGAAAAAAGGGAAGACGGGATCCATTACAAGCAGTGTGCGATTGATCTAACCGGAAGAATACAGCAAAACACCGAACCTATGCCCATGCGATTGCTACCGTCACAAAATCGAATATTAGACCTGCGGCTGACATTAGAAAGATTCTGGTTTCATTATGCACGACTACGGAGGCCCGCGGCGAAGAACGACGCAGCCGTATCCGTCACATTATGTTCAACCGCCAGATTACCTAGGCATATGCATAATAGTCCCTGTGTGCGGGTCAACATATACTATTTCGTTATTTACATAGAATAACAGCCATATACTTACTTTTTGTGGCTCTGGTACGTCTTCGGTAATGAAAAACCTCAAATCACACCCCCTCACGGCGACGACGTTTGATTTAAGCCACACCTGCATACCCACGCCCCTGCAACAGACGGGTAGATGGCGAGAATAGAGCGTCTCTTATTGGCCTCCAATCCGCTTAAGATCGTCCTGGTGAGCATTACGAGGCCTAATATGGTTCCTTCAGATGTTTCAATGCATAGGAAGAAATGGTAGAAAGCCCAAATTAGGCCTACTTGCCGCTTTTCGTGGGATACGTATATAAATACAGGCAGCACCATGGATTACCGGTAAGCCATCTACCACGGTGAAGCCATTTCGGAATACCATGGCTCCAAAACGAAGGTTAAGTTCAGACGATGATGCCGGAGGCTTGCCTCTACAAAAAAGGCGGATAACTGAGCTTCTCGCTGCCCTCTCAGATCGAGGGGAAACAAATGGCTCCAAAGTCAATCACGCCGATCTTGTAGAACACCATGAACCTCAGGCTAATGGTACGGTCAACTCTTCGCGCCATAAGCGACCCGCCCCAGACATGGAAGAAAGCTCTCTGCCAGAGCGTAACGCTAAGCGACCAGCACTTAATACGACCCACGGGAAGTCTGCCGAGTACGAGAGTAGACTGAAGATATATCAGATGCTCCATGAATGCACGCACTGGGACGCTTTTTGCTACATCTTGAATACGGCTCATGAGCTTGGCGACATGACGTTAGCCCTGACCCTTCATGACTCTCCTTCAGCCATGCGTCTCAAGGCCCTAAAACAGCTAAGACCAGAATGGAGGGAAAGATTGATTGAGTTGGTTAGCGACATTGAACATGAAAAAGAGCTTTTCGATCCTAGATCTCTCTTTCCTACAGTCGTTACCGATTCATTCCTCGACTTTCTATCCATTTCAAATGCCAACATGCGAGGGAAGGCCATCGTGTGCGTCATATGCGAAAGAGGTTTCTGCGGAAAAAATGTAGAAGGAGCGATCGATATCGAAGAAGTCATTTGGAAGGACTGTGGAAATCATCTGATGCATACGAAATGTTACAGGAGCAAAGTCCTTGAAGGCGATATGCCTCACGTTGGCCCATGCCCATGCGTTCCGGCGTCTGATCTGACTTAGATGACGCCTCCCTAGAACGTGGGAGAGAGTTTGGCAGACGATAGACGGCTCAGGTGCTCTTTAGCACCATTCGACGGTTTGGAAAGGGAGCGGATGAAATGATGTCAGAGGCTAGCTAGGTACCGGTATCTACCAAGTAGTCCCAGTTCTTATAGTAGTTAATAAAAGATCGTTCCAGCTTTATGCCTACGAAAAAACGCTCTGGGGGTATTCAAGTGGCATTATAATCTGATACAAATCGTATCGGTTACATCTTGGTATTGTCTTCAAGCTCTATAGTAACTTGGTGGTAGTTGTGTTAGATGTAACTATGCTTCAATGTATTCTTATATGGTCATCTTATGCGGTCTACGACTTGAAAACATGCTCATCGATTCGGCGGTCATGTCTTTATATTTTTCTAGCAATGCATCTAAACCTATAAATCCTGCGCCGTCGCTTTCAAATATATAACTATGAGCACAAGCCAGAGACAGCCCTTTCCGGATTATCCGATAACGCATTTCAAAGGCCGCGCAGCGAACGCTTAAGACGGTCTCCTGCCAAGCCGCGCCCCACGGTATCATTAGCCTTCGATGACTCGATAGGACTACACAGTCTAGTAGCTCTGGAAGCCTCGCTTCAACGGATCACTCACTGCTATATGGCATGTTCCACACGTCCCTAATCGATTCCTTGGTCCACTAGCTGGCCGACGTTGGATAGGTATTTCTTTTCTCAGCGAAGGCTGCACGCCCCCGTTACCCAGAGTGTCAAACGACACTCATAATCAATGCTTTAAGTCAAGCGCGTGGCAATTCGGAACCCTCGTTCGCCGGCAGAATGGTACCGTACGCCAAATCCAGCTATGGGCAAGAATAACCCGATGTTTCTTTGCTGCCCCGGCCGTTTACGGGCTACCCCATCAATGAGGCCCCGTAATAAAGGGCCACTCCGGTATCATTCTAGTGTCCGTTGCAGTCTCTGTCATAAGAACGGACAACTTTGGTGATTCTCGCGTCTCAATTCTATGCAATGATGCCCTGTAACGCAACAGTTTACACCGGTCAATTGGGAAAATGTCGTTAAAGACTACTCGACAGAGGCGACGAGAAATGGACTCGAGTAACACAAGTCATTATAAATTACTAGGCAAGGTTAATTTTAAGCTTGGACTGCAAATGAGCCTTCAATGCCTGCTTGCTAGAGATCATCCGTTCATAACAGACTAGAGTAGCGCGGCCCAAAAGCGCCTCTGGCCGATCCCGCATGTAAAAGTATTTCGATCGTTTTAGACACTTAGCCAAGGCGTCCCAACACGAATCCCAACATGATCTCGCGTTCTATTTAATCTCTACTCCTTGTCCTTTCTCTCCTCTTGCTCTTTCTTCCTCTCTAACGCGCTCTTACTAGGCAATGACTTTAGTGAGAGGTACTGGTAGTTGAGACAACGATGTCCGAATAGCCCAAGTTACCGACCCATTCCGAGGGAAGACATGAACAAAATCGAGATCCATCCAGTGTTAAGGAAGGAGCAGCATGGCAATAGTCAATGAAAACTGGCGCTGCCAATAATTGACAAACTCGGTACTAGATGGGTGAGGCGGGAGGGCGACCGTATACTCATCGACCACGCGATACACCCAACAGGCTGCCGATCTGTAAAGAAGCCAGTCGTAGTTCAGCAACAGCAACAGCTTCCGCAACACCATAGAAAGTACATTCGAAATTGACCACCCGCTCCCATAGTAATTCATCCATTCGAATACGATAAGCCATCAACTCTTGTGGTGGCAACAAAAGGCAGAGACTAGACGTCCTGCAATTGCTCAAGCTGATAGAGCCGCTAGGTCCTCAAATATTGTTTTATTCTTTATATTTCACTTCTTCTCTCCTTTTCTCTTTGTTTCTTCCTGTTTTACCCTTCTTCAGCTTCTTTTTATGTCTCATTTACTATATTTTCTTATTTGTTTCATTCCGATTGGTTCCACTCCTATTCGACTTTGCGCAAGTGAAGGGTATCCATTGCTTCTTTTCTTATTTTCTATCTTCTCTCTCTTACCTCTCACTCTTCCTGTAGTTGGCACACAGTTGGTATCCTTGGAGATTTTCTTGTTTTGCCAAGCGCTGTGCACTAATCCACATCTCGGATCGTGACGTACGATTGTAGATCCCCTTGTTTTGCGTGGTTGTGTTGGACTGCGGGATCGGCTTACGACTCAATTCGTAACGTAGAAACCTCTTCACCCCACCAGCAAATACCTGCTCTATTCTCTTCTTCGGCCAAATCTAACTTCTCAGGCTTCCCGCGACGGCTCAAACCGGCGTACTTCCGCTCGTCCAATTTTTGCCTCTGCGTTGTGTGTGTAGCTGGCCTCTGATTTCGGTATTGGGACGCCAATATGGACAGTGTCCTGTACTGACCGTCAAATAGAACTAGTGAAAAACGGTAGCATACACTCGAATTCATTCCGAGTGGCTATGGTTCGGCCTATCTGCCTTCGGAGCTGCCTTCCGTATACCGGCTCATAAAGGGCTGTTCGAGAGCATCTAATACCTAACACTTAATGGGACCTAGGGTGGCCGAATCGGTCGTTCGGTTCACTATGAGTATATATGTTTCAAAATGGCCTATGATAGCTCTGCAGGGATAGTATTGCTTGAAAGTCGATTTTTGTCTTCCCACGCCCTACCTCGACCGTTGGCGACGCCTTATTTTAGCCTTGATGACGTCTTGTTTGGGGCGTTTACCACATCTTATTTTGGCCATTGACAACGCCCTGTTTTAGGCGTTCACCACGCCTTGCTTCGGCCGTTGACCATGCTCCCGGTAATGGATCTTCTTTCATACGTACACCCCTTCAATCTCACCCCATCCCCTGCCTGACTTCCCAACGGCCTTCTTCAGTCACTTACCGCTGGGTGTCTATTGAAGACTTGAGACTACCCCAATTTTGGACTCCCTGTGACTTAGATAGGTCATAAGTTCACATGACTCATCTGCTACACAAGTATAAAATCTCGGTTCATGACCTCAACACCATCTAAAACTGCAAAGTCTCGTCATGAGAACAGCCCCAGTGCCAACCTTACAGATCAAAGCGAGCCGGGCCACTTGGATTGGGAAACCCGCAATAGAGCTAAGTTAATCTCATCCACCTAATTTAGCATGGAACAAATCTCTAATAAAGGAGCAGAAAAAAATTTCCCCAGGTCGCCACTTCCGTCTTACACCTGCGCGTTTTGACGACCGGTACCAAGGAGCCCGCCCAAGAACACGCCAAACGACCGGCAAGCGACAAAACATCAGATCACGGGGCCATATGGTCGGGGTTCCATTTCCACCGGGGATAAAGCCCCTCGAGGTATCAGCCACGACGCGTGAGAACGGCTCCTTCAGGGCAGCCATCATGACGTCGGCGAAGACACCGTCGCGTCGCGTGGATGAAGGCCGCGCGACTCGCCGCACGCAGCCCTTAGAAGGACTTCAATCGACAAGCTAGTTCAGCTAATAGCACTATCATATTTGCAGTCAACCCGCCAGGGCTCGAGACCTCGCGACATAACCCAGCCACCGACGTGCAGACAGCCATATAAGGCATCGCCAAGAAAAGCCGCACCACCCTCGAAGACAAGATCAAGGCCGCCGAACAACTTTGCCGTCCGTTCGACAACACTGCCGCCCAGTTCACCAGAGGGCTCTCAGCCCAACACGTTCCTGCGCTGCAAAGACAACCCAACAAAGGCCAGACAACACATGCATTGGTGGTTCAAGTAACGGCATCCGAGTCTTTGCCAGACACGAGGAAAAACCCCCAGTGCGCGCCAGTACAGAAGTGGCGCAATACGTCAACTCGAACGCCTACCGCAGGATGCAGCTGCTAGGCCCCAGTGTTGAGATCCGTTGTTTTGACGGATCAATGACTATTCCGATCCATTGGTGGCTGGGATGTGGATGTCTTCTTGTCTATAGCTTACGCTGGTTAGCGCTATTCTTTCTTCTTCTTCAATGCAACACAACATGCTCATTTCAACACCCAGGGCCGAGAGCGTTGACACCACCAGCCAGACCTGACTCGAGGGGAAGTCATGACCCAAACCGGCCTTGAACCGATCGGCATACGAACCTCACGACATGACAGACCGGATGAACCAACAAAAACAGTTCTGGCCCCTTTCCTCAAACGACCACAATAACATTCCCAGCTCTTTGGCACTGGCCGATGTGCCCGTCTCATCGAGAGACACGTGCCGATCCCATAATGTGAAAGATGCTCGGACTTCACCCACGCGACACGACGATGCCAACACGAAGCGAGATGCAAAGGATACAAGAAGCCCCGTCACGAGGAAGAGTGCAACTCAATTCAATGTGCAAGCCATTGCAGTCCACACGCAGCAGTGTACGAAGAGCGCCCTGCGCGTCCAGACGGGTGAACGTTGTCCTACAACGCTTCTCTAGGAACGAGAAGGGTGAGATCGGACAAGCTGGAGCCCGTTGGGAAGGAGAATGCTCAGCGACAATCCATATCGACCTCACAGCCTCGTACGAATAGGCAGAGGACGCAACAGCATGCATGTGAAACACCTCACCCGAGCCACATAGCAACACAGTCGACCTCCTGAAGACCGCTCGACCCGTGGTCGATGGGCTCATGCAGCAACTGCACGGCCAATGTCTTCAGATGGGACACCATCCGAAACCTTTCAAGAACGCAGAGGTTGTTATGATCCCGAAGCTATGGAAAAGAGACGTCTCATCACCTAGGTCGTGGAGATCGATCTCCCTCCTATCGTGCCTCGGCAAGGGGCTTGAAAGACTCATTGCTCGGCGGAACGCGTATGTCGCAGCCACCTACGGCTTCTTACACCTCATACGTGTGGTCGGATATGCCGTGATGGCCGGGAAGGTCGTGACGATGGCCACCACGGACGTACAGGGGAGCCCTCGATGCGGTTACGAGGAATAAGATGACACCCCGACTATAGGAAACACTCACGAAGAACACGCCGCTAAACCGCGGGCTTACCTAGGGGTTCTCCGTGTCACCAGCCTTCTTTCTCCTCTACATCCAACTGATCTGCTTCGTCGGAGACACACAGAGGGAGTCCCGAACTCATAGGCGGCCAAGTCAAGATACATCCCCCCAGCCGTACAGTTTGGCTACGCAGGCGATACGATGATGCTGCGGATCAAAGACACACTCAAGAGAACGGCGGCGCTCGCTACAGTGGGCCTAGAGAAGCTCATCCAGTGGGGTGCGGAAAACGGCATCATATTTCACCACGCAAAGACGGAGGCAATGTATTTGTCGAGACAGTAGGAGAAGGCGAGCCCCCCCGTCTTCCACTAGGGCATCCCCGAGACCGCGAAGCCATCCATGAGGTGGCTTGGTTTCTAATTCCGCCGGAAACTAAGTTTCAAGGCACATGTCGGCTGATGGACTGCGAAAGCTACGATGGTCTCAAACCTCTTGCGCTAGATTGCCCACACGCAAAGTAGCTCTCGGCCAGGTGCTATTAGGAGGACGGTGAAAGCCTGTGCTGAGCCGGTCCTCCTGTACAGATCCGAGGTTTAGTACCCGAACGCACGAACCACGGCCGGAAACCGACACACTTGCGTAAACACAGCTGCTGCGACCATACGGCTAGATGAGCTGGATTCTCTATGGGCGGCCGGTCTGCCCGTGTTAGAGACAGAGACACCGTCACATCGTCCACCTCTCAGTTGCTGTTGGATTGCACAGGAATGCTGAGTGCACTTGATAACAAATTGTTATTATTGTTGTTGTTAACTCCTTGTAGTCGAAGGACCTTTGAGGCCTTATATCTTCGACTGGTCCCTTCTAGCACTTGAGTCCTAGAAAGTTCTATATGAAAGTCCTACGATCTAAGTTCAGGACTTCAAACCTTAACTTTAATCCTGAAGTTGAGGGGGAACCCTATGGCGCCGAGACGTGCTACCCGGCCACAGGTGGAATCAACCAGGCCGGCGATCAATTCAACTCAACCGCACGCCCGGCGGGCAAAAGATCAACTAGCGAACCGTACGAGCGGCGTGCAAGTGCCATAGAAAGGATCATGCCACCCATACTTCAACTCAGTTGGGTAGTGGCCCGGATTCGGTTGATGGCCACCCTGAGCACGGTGAACTGCCGGTCTTGGCTCCGTCATCCAGGCCCCTTGCGTCCAGGTTGACTCTTCAGTAGACCCATGCGGGCGATCTGGGGACGCCTGCATTTTGCGTTGTGGTTATGATGTTGGCGTGGAGCACTGCCTAAGGTCTGGGCAGCCAGTACCAGTAGTTGCAACTCGTTTCCCACCAAGTTCGGTCACGAGCCTCGCCCGGGCTGCTGAGGGGAGAACAAGTGACGGCAAATTATAGTCGCGAGATTCTTCACAGAACTGACTCGTTTTGTCGTCGCCTTTACCATCTATCTGCTTTGTCCGTCAGGCTGTCTTCCGGAAGCCATGGATGTATTAGCTACGGCAATCTTCTGAGGAATGGAACTTGTCTCCATCCTTTAGTGATGCCTTTGAAGCCGAGTCCCAGAAACGCCCGTGCACCACAGGCGCGAGCCGGGAGAGACGTCGGCTGGACGCTCTACTTCTTGATTTACATTCCCCTAGACGACATCCTGAGCCGTCAACTCGACCCCCTCGTTCTCTTCGTGGACGGTGGTTTGATATTCCCAAAGTCCCTTGTCGTTTAAATCTGTGTTTGGCGTTCGGTCGCCTCCTCTTTGGGCCCTTTTTGAGCAAGCACCATGTAAGTGAAAATACGCATTTTGTATGGGGAGATTTTCTTGGGGGCTGTGGATGCGTACGGCAGGTGGGTACTGCATGATACTTCGCGCCAGTTCTTCTGCTAAGCTCGCCGTTGAGTTGACTGCAGCGAACGCTGCACGTACTTTCTTCACAGCTGTGGCATATCGACGTCGCAGACGCAAAGTACTCATTAACAGCATCGCAAGATCAAGCAGTACAAAGCCATAAGAAATGGTCTAGCTCGTTAGTATCCGTTCCACAACGTTCGTCAGGTGGACTCACGAGTATTTCCGTATAGATAGAGGCCCACCATGGCCTAGCCAGACGGATCCCGAACGCTACGCAGGTGGCCCCGAGAACGGTGGCTTGCATCATCATACAGAGAAGAGGCTCCGATTCCGCCATCGTATCCCTTAGGACCTTTCCCCATTCCCATGTGAGCTAGGCACGATAAGCGCCGGCGGAAACGACGATGAAGAAGATTCCCACTTGGGGAAACCGGATGCTCAATATAGCGCCAAAAATCAAACCGCTGGCGGTGCAAGAAAGCACAATTCGGAGCAACCTGGAGAACGCATCTTGCTGAGGGCTTCCCGAGCTAATCAGCCATAAGCACTGTCTGCCTCTCAGTATACCAACTGCACACGTTTGGGGGGTGATTTGACGCACTTCTCTCAGCATACTCAAGAGAGCCGGCGTGGTACCAAAAGCAATCGCCCAGCAGCCCCCTCGAATGAAAGTCAGAACCGACCATGCAGTCATCACGCAAATTCCCAGAACGATGAACGCGAGTGTAAGGCTCATGAAGCGTCGCGGGTGTTTCTGGAAAAAGGTTGCGGACACATCGGGTAGCCGACCCAGCTTGACAAGTTGAGATTGTTTGGGCGAGTGACCATGCCGGGGCGAATGGTCATACTTGGGCAGACGAGACGTCAAATACAGAAGCCAGACGTAGTAGGAAATTGTGCCAAGAGTGACAGCGAGTGGACCAAGGAGGATATACATTGCGATCAGATGGCTTCTTGTTGGGTTCATGATGCGTTTTTTCGAGAACATGGAATCGTTCGTGCTGAACACAAAGTTTTGTTGGCACTTGGGGGTTTTATATAAGCCTTCCTCACTGTCCAGGCTGTTATACCGGCCCGCCCACGGCATTCCGTGAGAAAACCGGACGTCTGCCGACCCCCACGACCTTCCCACTTGTGCGTGGATCTTTCCTTACGCATATCGCGTGACGCGACTACTAAGGATCGCTGGGCTCCCCGGTCGGAGCAACCTCACGAGTCTAGTCCAGAAAGATCGGCCGGGTGGGTCGTTTCAGGAAAGCAGATCGAGTCTTTACTCAAGGCCATGATGCAAACAAGCGCAGTGTGTGTTGGAGCTGTGTACATTGGACTACAGCGAACTTACACGAGCTAAATTGTTAACAGTGCTGGGAGTGCAAGTTCTAGGAAATACTGATCTGACCTAGAGCATAAGCACCACGGGTCATCTCCCTGTCATGCACCATAAACCAGAGTTGCGTGATGCGGCAATGCGAAGGCCTCACTCTTTACTTGGCAAAATAACTTCATTTTCTGACAAGTATGGATGACCGACGTGCCGTCACTTTGGCAAAATTGGCTCTTAACTTGAAAGTTGTCGGTTCCCTAGAGTGGCTCAGTGTTTGGAAAGAAACTTCACCGATAAACTTAGCCACAGGATTAGCATCTTATGCGTCCCTTGTTCTGGTGGGCGGTGGAGCTGTAGCTGGCTGCTCTCTTCGAATAGGGGCTATCTGAGCATGAGACCGAGGTGAGCGGGTTGAATAACCGAACCCGGTGGAAGAAGACGTCGGTCGTTTCCTCTTTCGATTCTGACTGCAGCGGTGGCATCTGTTTTGATGAAAGTGTTACTAAGCAAGCTTCGGTCGTGTGCAGGGCCAGGGAAGCTCACCAGCATGACAAAGGCGGGCCCTGAAGCTGCTCTCCGTAAGTGTCTGATATCTTCGTTTGGTGAGATCGTGGTAAACAGGTTCAAGTGATTTTAGCCGTGTAGAGAACCGGAGCTGCCGTGCTTCGAGAAACTGGGTGATTTGGTCATTCATTCTCTCCAAGATATCGACGGCTTGATGGTAGGTCTTTGGGTGGTTGATTCTAGGGTGGTCATCGATTGAATCTGACCCATTGGTTGAACTTAAGCATGAGTGGCACCGTCTTTTCCACGACACTTTCACGCCGCTCACACGATTAACTAGTTGATGTTTTGTCCACCAGATGTGCGATTGGATTGAATTGATCGCTAGTCTGCGCCGACTTTTCATGGTGCGATGGCTATATCTGATGTTTGTTCGGGCCCTATTGTTGATTCTCTATCATCTTCCAAGTACAGCGCAAGGCGCTCTCTACCCATTGCCCTGGCAAGCTCCACATAAGTCCATCCTTCAGTACCGAATGCCAGGTCAGATCTCGCACCCTTGTCTCGAAGGAGGTCAATTATTTCTATAGCCTGCTCCAACGGTAGGGCCAAGGCGTAAATAGTTGGCGTGGCTCCTTCAGTGTCTTCGACGTCCGGCTCAACATGATACTCATCAATTATTCTGGTGGTTTCCCTGATCAAGCCTCTCCCTGCCGCAGCGTGAAGAGCGTTGACGCCGCTGCAGCTGCTGGGGTGCGCCCCCTGTCTGAATAGGACATCTGCCATTTCAAGATGGCGAAACCATAGCGAGAGGAATAGGGCCGTCAGGCCGGAGTATTCGGGAAGTTCGTCGACGTCTGAAAATTTGAGGAGGATGGCGAGGAGATCGATGCGACCATAGACGGCGGCGAGCTGAAGCGGCCTAACAAAGATGGCCTTTCCAGATTCGGCCCTGTCTCTATCAAAGACGAGCCCATTCGAGAAGTTCTGAAGAGGCAGCACAGGAATTCGCATTGTGATGGCTCTTTCAACGCTAGCCCAGTTCCTGAGCTCCTCCTCTGGTCGTCCAGTGATGGCGGCCAGTGTTCCAGGCTCCTTGTATAGACCATTCATGATGACTGAGAAAAGAAAACGATTAGAACCCGTCCCATCCGATTGTTCCGACTCAGACGGATTTGGTTTGGTTGACGGAGTAGGAGGCATGTTGCTGAGAATGGAGGGGGAGAAAAAGATGGCCATGGCGAGATTTTGAAGAGAACCCTATTTGAATATTTATGCGCCATGTAACTAAGCCCATCGATAGGCCTGTAATTATTCTGCCTTGAGGCCCTGGACTTACACAGCCCTACCCTCATTTGGTGACTGACCCTGCTGGTTTTTACAGATCATGGTTGGCTTTCAGTCGTGACATTCCTTGTCTTCCTTCTCGACCACCAACGAGAATTCCAGAAATTAGCCTCTGGTTGGGTCATAGGCGTTCTAGATAACCCCACGGCTGATCCTGCACTCATCTTTCCGTCGACCACCGACATCAAAGGTAAATCGAGGCGGATACGTAGGCGTTCTGATCCAAGCCAAATGACTGAGGGGAGTGAGCTTTGTTATTGCTCATCTTATTGGCTGGCTACTGACACTCTGCGAAACAAATGATAGTGTTCGGCCTGCTCGCTTGTTCTCCTTCGACGTCTGTATCTTCTACCTTGCCTAAGACCGTGGGGGTGGTAGTGCCCACAAGCACCAGCAAGACCTCGGACGGCTGCGGGAACGTGTATCTTTGGTCTTCTATCAGGCCCCAGGAGCCAAGGCAGGGGAAGCAGGCCTCAGGTGCCGATGAGTAAGAGCACTATCAATAAGTTGTCTTACCCCACCTTAACCAGGTCGTCCCAGGCCAGGAGACACAGCTGGACTACGACGTTGCATGGGACTGTATTGTGATCAAAGTCGATGGTGTGTGCCAATGAAAGTTTAGCAGTTTTCCAACATGTTCATCAAAACTGGCTACCCCAGCCTTCCGCCCATCAATTGACTCATTTTATCACCTTATCAGCCAGAAACCTCCGCTTTCCTCCCAACCCCAGTAACATGCCAGACGTGCGAAATGATGTAATGATGTTTTGAGTCTCGGTGCCGGAGCCCCGCATAGATGGCCGCGCGTTCGGTGCATTTGGCGACAACCTGGTTTGTATCCATCCATCGGGTATGCTCGGTACCAAATGTTCAACTGATCTATCACGAAAGGCCCTTAGCAGTTGCCTTCCTAAGATTATACCATTTATTGGGGGAGCACCTAGCTGAAGGTTACGAAGGAGAAAAGTGAAAGATAACGCTAATGGAGAGTCAAATTGGTCGTTGGTCCTGGACCATGTTGTAGGGACGTGACGCTAGCTGCTAGAAGACGATTCGAGACATGCAATCCGGGCTATTCTCCGGGAGCTGACATGAAACCTCCGACTTTGGCATTTGAAAGCAGGGCCCTGGCCTCCGTGGAAGGCAGGAAAAGGCGTACTGATGACTAGCCAGCAGTCTAGTGGGGAGAAATAGAGATAAGAAGCGACGTCGGGTCACACTGCAGGTGAGAGTAGATTACCAAATAGCAAAGAGAGTCCTACACTTATCCCTCTTGTATCCGCATAAAAGGTACAATCAGCGGCCATTCCTTGATATCAGGAGCAGTAGCTTCTTGACCATCCCGCCCATACCTGAAACTTCAGGTCGCTATGATGAGAGAAACCCTCGATATCATGAAGTTCCCCCCTGAAATACGCTGCATGATATGGGGATTGACGCTCCCCGGCGCTCGAGCCATCACTATACGCATGAGATCCAGGGATTCATTCCTCTGCAGTGTCCCGATACCTCTTGCGATGCACATCTGCCAAGAATCTCGCCGAGAGGCACGCAAGACCTTGACGCTCTTTTCTCCCGCCGCGTCCAGTGGATTCAAGCCCATGTACCTGGACCCGAGGCACGACATCATCCACCTCGACATGCATGATCGTTTCGCGGTTGTCAGCAAACTCTTCCCTCAGCTCAATGACATGCACACAATCGCCTTTCCTCTCGACGCCATGGATACCTGGCCTTGGCGTAAAGGCCCTCTGGAGCCTTGCTTCCAAGGCATGAGAAGGCTGCTTTTGTTTGAACGCAAGACGGCCACTGCTCTAAAAGAAGAGCGCTGCCACATCGATATCAAGCTATTGCCGGTGGACCGGGACTTTGGACTATGGAGGTCCGCGTGGAGGATCTTTATTGAGAAACACCGGCCATTTGGTGATTGCGTTCCAGAGATTCGGTTCGTTGTTGTCAAACGTATCTGAGGACGCGCCCAGCCAAAGCGGCACCTATTTGCCGTCTTCTGCTATGTGAGCCTAATTGACGAAGCACATAATACACTATTCCGTCCTCATTTGCACAGAACTCTTTACTCTGTTGTCTTTTTTTTTTTTTTTTTTTCGTGCTTTTTCTCCTCCCCCTCCTCCCCCCCCAAAATCTAGGCTTGCCCATGCTGAACCGACTCTCGTGCTCAATACCTGTCCTAACCTTATGGTCCCTGATCCTCGACACATCCACTTATTGGCGATATGTATTGATAAGCTAATCTCCGAGGAGACCTTGACAGAGTTGAGGCCTCGTGGCGAAAGCGGCCAGGGGGGAGCAGGCGTTATATGAATTTGAAAATCGTTATGTGCTGAAGAATCAGCAGGCATATGTATGCCATCGTCTCGTCGCCGGGAGCCTCCATGTGGCAACGGACAGCCCTCAAATAGTGGACGTATCAAGACTGTCTAGCGGTATATCGAAGCTCTGAGGAAAGCAGCACGGCATGCCGTACATGTCTGTTGCCAGACTGAAAGGCGATACAGAAAGAGGGTGAAAAGGCTGACTCGATTCCAGGCCGTAGAAATGCGTCGGCTCAAAAGACCAAGGGTCGCTGAGAGTTGTTGGCGGAATTGCGGCCGCTGCGGGCGTGGCGATGGTCAATAGAGAACCAGGTGCCGTCGTCGAATCAGACCCCGAGGGGCTCCATAGGGAGGACTCCCGACCACCCGGCTGCATGACCTGTACGAAGGTATTCACCCCATCGTCATAGGCCACCCCCTCCATTCGCGCGCTTTCGTTACACGTAAACTCATCAAACTCCTCAGCATAACCGGGTGGACTGCGCAAGGGTTAGCTCTTACTCAACAGCATTAGATGATCCTATACAGACAGAGTGATGCAACTGCCTGGCACAACATCGCTGTTGACCACATAGCTCGGCTTGTCTACAAACCACGGCTGAGGACCGTTGGAGATCGGAATAGAATCTGCGCCAGATGTGGTTGACCGATAAGGCGTAGACTCTCCCAGTTCGTCTGATGGATTGCTGCAGCCAAGAAGAGTAGGTTTCATGCTAGCATCAAGAACTTCGGCAACCGCCGAATCATTTACTGCTGCTGCTCCTGCCAGAATCTCCCAAAGAGTAGAAGGGGACTGGCCAGGAGACTGCTGTATTTCATGCGGCATGGTTTGTGTAAGCGGTGTAAAAAGCTGATCAGCGACCTTTGGAGTTGTCGACCGGCTATCAACAATACTCATGCTAGATGAGTTCTGACGGTGTGATGGGTAATAGCATGGCCTTCCTGATTTGCTGCATCCGCTGCAAATTGGACGCGCTCCGTTACACTAAAAGATAGCTCGAGTCAGAAGATGCCATCGGGAACATAGTCAACAAAGAAGACGGGCTCTGCTCACCTTTTTCTTTTGTCTTCTGCATTCGGAGCAAGCCCTGAGGTTACGGTTACGGCGTCTTGTTCTTCGTAGCGAATAGGAGCATGCTCGCCCCAGCTGGTCACTTCGCCTGCAAGTCGGGCGCACCATATCGCACTAGCGGTAGGAAATGTTAGAAGCCACATCCGAGAAATCGTGAAGAAGGGTAATATTGCGAGAATTCTGTAGCCTTACTTTGACTTTATGTTCTCTGCAGTGGGCGCAGCTTTTATAATCTCGTAGCAGCCCAGTTTGCTTTTTTCCGCATAACAGCTCTGGTCCATCACGCTAGAATAGGGGAGATGATTGTAAGCTGGCGTTTGGGATTGATCACTGGGGAAAATACTGCGTTTGCTTACATTGGCTTGTTCATCCCCATTCGAACTCTGCTTCGGATGCGTGTCGGGCGCTCCGCCAGTACTCAGTGACGTTGTATCCAGTTCCGGCAAACCAAGGGTGTCGATTGTTGTCGGTCCGGACCGACCAGTTGCTGCGTTGGCGTACCAAGGTCCCGAAACCAACTCGAGAGTTCCTGGACATCCACCTCTGGCTCCCACGACCTTTGATTCTGGCCAGACGTGCTCTTCGACTGGTTCTCCACGGGTGTTTGCCATGAATTCACCAAGTCGTCTATAGTAAAGCTTTAATTTCAAGGGCTCAGGAGCGGAGGTGAAGGTCATCTTGTCGGTTGAAAGATTGTTTGTAAAGGTTGACTGTGCACTCGAGACTGTCCATCGTCGTGCAATGAGGCCCTTTATATACTTGATTAACCGAATCCCTTCCCCTCTCCCCTCTCCCCCTCTCCTCTTCTCCCCACCCCCCTAACAGGTCCGGGCACAGAGGCCTCACCAGATATGCGCGTGTCCCCCGCCAACATTCCCACCGGCGCTGAATGTTCTAGGGGGATATCGTTTCGTCAATGCTGAGTGAGGCTGTATGTGTAGCGCCCCTCGGAAAAGCAAGCCTTGATGGTGACTGGCGAATGCTTAGAGTGACTCAATGGTAAGCCAGGCCTACCAAATACTCTTTCCCCGCTATGACAATAATATTATGCTCGCTCCATCTATTCTGCCTTCCCACGCAGCAGACTGACGCTCTTATCCTTTCCTAAACCCCCAATTACACGTTCCGATACACATGAATGATGGATGTGACGAGGTTTTGCACAGGATCAGCATCACCTCACCTGCGGGGGGGGCAGGCACACTTTCTGGTGATACCGGTAATGGAACCCAACGACATAGCCACCTTGCTGGGGAGCTTTACCCCCCAGGCAGAGAGGCCAACTGCTTGGAGCTAGGCGATCCCTCTTAGGACTCTAGCTCACCATTAGCACGCGCTCATACCGCATAGAGATTGTTAGGAAAGCAGCGGTGAAATCTAATGGGATGCGAGCGTCGAGTCGAAAACAGACTATCAAAGTGATAGCACTTTGTGAGAAATCAGAAACTGGTCAATCAATCAGTATTATTGCCAACAGGAGACAAAGGAGTGCTGTTGCGGTTCAGGATCGCTCCCCTGAACGCGGAGCCGCAAAAACTACAACGAGATATTACTTATGCATGCATCGTCCTTACACCAGATGGAGGAAACCCCTTGTATCTGGTCTCCATCTCGTTTAGTACTTTCACCCCCAGGCCCCATCGAATTGCAATGTACCCAGGATGAATGAAGATAAACGTGCGAGTTCGCAACTGTGTTCCCTTGAGTAAAGCGGAATTCTCCTTTGCAAATGCTCGTTGCAGCGCTCTCGCCTGCGTCCTACCGGTACCACTCTCCTCTCGGCTAAGTTTACTCAACGCAAGCTTATGATATAGTTCTCCCATGTCCGCTCCAGTTCAAAGCTTTTCGTCGTCAGAGCCTTTATCTCCATTAAGCAGCGTCTTCAGAAAAGTCCGTGCCAAGCTAACTGTGGCAGGCGATTGGCCAGCTATGGTTACTGTCAACACTACGGCTGCTGCGGTCTGCCCGAATCGAAGATGTCGTTGGCTGTCAAGGAAGTGATATGGGGCTTGATTGATGCCACAATGAAAAGCAGAATTGAATGAAATGAGGGTGGCACGATGAGAATCAGGCCAGTTGCAGTTGGCATTTGGCGGCTGATAGAAAGTCAAAATGAGGCGGGTACATCAGCGTAGTCAATGGAAGCATGCCCTGTCCAATCAGCACCCTCCGCTGACGACCCAGAAGGCCGGCAAATCCTTAAATGATTGGCTGGCGTTATGTCCTTTGTGACGAAGACCGAGGTGTGGCAGTAGCGAACCCCCGGAAGGAACCAGAGGCTGTCGCACGGCCCGCCTTGAGGAAGAAATGCTTCGCCACCCCCTAACTTTAGGACCAAGTCCCAGGTACGAGTTTAAAAATTTTGGATAGAATCGCAAACCCTTATGCCCACGATAATAGTAGGAATCAACTCGATTTTATCGAGTGCATCCAGCAACTCTGCATGATTCTACAACACGTCGCGGCTCAGGTAGAAACACCCAAGCACTACTGGTCCGCGTACGGCCCGGTCACCTGAGTGCCGCCACAACACACAACACAGCCTCAGTTGTTGACTCATCGCACTTTGAGACACGTCACGATCATTATCAAAGCAATCCGAGTTTTAGCGACACCGTGAAAAAGAGGTGTGTGATAAGGCAGGGCGCACATGCAACTATGTTACTGCAACAGAAGAAGCCTGAAGATGTGGTCGATAGCATTCTCAGACGCGCCGAGTTAGTTAAGGTAAGTCAACTCGGCCCCCCACCCAACCCCATCCACTTGGTCTGGGTCTGGTGATGGGCTTGAAGAAATCTTGCTGACTCGTCTCTGTCTCTGCGAAAAGATTGCTCGCCGGCTGCAGAATCTTCTCGCCCTTGCCCAGTTTAAAACCGACCATGGATGCGAAGACCTTTCCTTCGGCGTCATAGAATTAGCATACAAGGAGGAGATACGGCGAAGGCCTCTGACCGAACACGACCTCCTTTCCCACTCTGCTGCGTTCACTGCCCAGCTTCCGCGCCCTTCTGCTCTCCCAAGCTTGTCCCACGAAGCGGGCCCGTGCTTGCAGGCCAGTGGGCACGCCAATGCACGCAAGCGTGCTCTTTGCCCATCGTTGCTCGAAGATAGCCCAAGTAATCCCAGCAAAGGACCCTGCCCATCTCGCGCTGCTGTCACAACTTTCAACGACCAGTCACGGGAGCACAGTGAAGCAGGTGTTCGGTCATCGAATATCAGCCAAGCCTATTGCCGACGCATTGCCTCAGTGGCCCAATGTATCGGTAACCCCCCTCCATCAAGCGCAGCCGTTCCTGAAAGCGACGATGACATATCAACTGCCTGGCTTTTCCACGCCACTAGTCTTCAGCCATCACTTCTGCCAAGGTTCCCGCCCACGCCCTTGTAGGAAACAGACAATCTAGACCCGGTTCCGTCAAGCATCCCACTCGGCAACGGCAACACCGTCTCCACCACTCCAGCATCACACTTTGACTGGGCAGATTTCATCAATGCCGCACCTAATAGTCCAGCTCAGAATGATGGGAAGACCATGTCGTCTATCCTCTCAAAGCTGCCTCCTGTAACCGTCAGGAAGCCCTAAAAGGCCGAGGTCACGATAGCTGGATTTGCCCAGCTATCCTTCACAAGGGAAAAAAAGAATGAAAAAAAAAAAAAAAAAAAAAAAAGATGGCGGAGGATCGATACGCTTTACGATCCTTCGCCATTCATCAAGCAAGATCCGCGGGCGCTGTACGGGAGCTCATACTTGGAGGTTCAATATGCTGAAATGAACATCAGGCGGCTGATGCCAGCCATGGTCAACATCGTCAGCGGTCGAACTAGCGGCACAGGAACATTGCCACGAAGGGCTCTGACAGGAGGCAATAATTAGAGAAGCACATAGAATACCGAGCACGCAAAGAGTCGAAGGCTGATGAAGAAGATGAGTACATTGACAAAGCTGGTTGCTGGGTAATATGACAGGTGTCACGGTCGCTGTCAAGATCAGGTCGCTCATTCAATAGTGTGACACCGATAGGGCCTATCCGAGCCGGATAGAGACTATCCGAAGGATCAAACACACAGAAGTCTCAGTTCTGGCAACAGACTTTAATTATAAAAGACTAGCATTTAGACCCTCATTAGAGAGAAAATAAAGAGTCATCCCCAAATTCGATCTTGGCAAGAACTTCAACTACGGAAGCAGAATACTCAGCTCTTTTGTCTTGTTTCATTCTTCCCTTCTTTCTTCCCTTCTTTCTTCCCCTTTGCGCCGTAAATACGAGGAACGGAACGGAAAAGGTGCCGGGGGGCCAAAATAGTTTCTCCAAGATTGGGACGAAACCGTCTGCGGAGAACATTGGCGTACTAAGGCCGTCGTAAAATCAAGAGCCTGATGTGTCTCCCAAGAAAATATATAGATCAACAACTTCCCAACGCGATGACAGCTAGACAATACGGTTTTTGAGTTTACGAACCCCTAACCCCATCTTCCTTGCCGATCGACCATGATGAAATCTAAAGGGCATTCAGCGCATGGTGCTACAAATAGCAGCAAATCTAGGCCATCTAAAGGCTCTTCGTCCAATGCAGCACGGGTTGGAATTATTATCGCCGCAGTCATCTTTAGTCTGCTGTTAATCACATTCTGCTATTATGCGGTCAAAGGTTAGTCGACAACCCGTCGGAAGGTTTTTGAATTCCGATATAACATGGCAATTCGGTGCTGAGACAATAGCATAGAGCGGCGCCGTGCACGTAACGAACAAGACACCTTCAGTTGGCACAAAGTGATTCGTAAGACGTTACGTGCTGCCATCTGTCTTTGGGTGTTTCTCCCGGTTTATGCCGCGCAGAAACGACGCAAAGCAGCCAAGATTGGGTCATGACAAAGTAAGCTCTGAAAGAAGTCCGAGTGCTCTCATTTCCCACGCTTTCCCATGCAATTGTCTAAATAGAGGGAAAACAAAAAAGAGTCTGGGGAGAGGGCTTTCTAAGTTGCTCTTGAGAGTATCTTCATCCAACGCCTGGCTTTTATGGAATCGATTATAACTGTAGTACTGTCCATAGTTGGTAAATAAGTGACAACTACACCACTCAAATCCTACCATGAAGCACGTGGGAACAAAATGCACCATCTAATACAATATTATACAATTCGTTGCACGATGGGTAGATGGAATCCCTCCGGGTCTGGATGCGTACGCCTCAAGCTTCGTTTGATCTCTGTGGTGACCGATTATCATTAATCTTTTGTTCGGCAGGTCTTCAGGGCTGGAATGGAGTTGACCCTTGTTGTGGTCCACATAGGTATGTCGGACCCGAACTTCACGCTGATAGTGTGGCTATGTGTTGTTTCATTCCCAGATACTCTACTGTACAAGCCTCATTCCAAACAGACTATCTAGAGATAAGCGCGCCGAATATCATTCGGAAGGGAGATCGGACGGCTCAGAAATACCGATTTTTACGGCCAAATAGCGGCCTTGCGATCTCGGATTCTGCTTATATTGTCCAATTCCCGCCTATTCCACGTCCAAAGTATGATAAAATCCTAAATAGTGGCCCGCCTGGAGAATAAAAGAACCCAGAGAGCTGCCATTGGCAAGTGGTCAGGTCTGCACAGTAAATCCTTGTGAATCTGCCATTGCTCGACATGTCAACACTTGCTGATTCCTCTGAGCCATCCGCGCCACGCCTGCTTAGCGTTCAAGGCCGACTTAGGACTCTGCAAGAGTCGCTCAGCTCGCTTAGCAACGATTGGGAAAATGCTCGATCGGTAAACGACTTTATGTTGATTACATGCTCACGAAACAAAGCCGCAACTCGTCTCGTATCGGAATCGGTGCTACTTGAGCGAAGAGACACGATAGCAGAAACCATAGCCTTTATGGAGGATCTTGGTTTTCGTTTGTTCTGCGTTCAGCAACAGGCGTATGATCTGGAATGGGAGGGGGAAAGCGAAGATCAAACCACTCAGAAGCTTGGCAGCCAATTCGATGAAATATCGGACATGATGGCGCAAGTGGAAAGAAACACCGAATCGCTGCATATTGAAACAAATCCCATGATCGAAAAAACAGCCAAGTGGATGATGCCATAGCAGTATTACATCCTTTCTTAGGCATCGAACTGGAAAGTACTGAAGCAGATGGATGGAAGTATTTCAACATCAGCGGTCCAAGGCAGGGCAGGGCGTTTCGTGCCAAAGTGGTTGTAATCACACCTTGCGGATGATTATTACGTGTAATAGAGATCTTGGATTATTTTGTAATAGATCTAGGAGTCAAGTATCTCATCCAGACCTAGTATGCTATATAATTGCTCCATTGTGAATTTGTGGGAGAAAGCTCCCATTTCTCAAATAGCCCGAGGGAAATAACCAGCCCCTGATCCAGCTGCTTGTGCAATCGAGGTTCAGTAATTTTAGGACAAGGTGATGCAGCGGGCGTCTTGCATAGCTGGTCGAGCAACGACATATTGGAAAGCCTACCCCGAAGGACAACCAGAGACACCGCTTGTGATCAAGGACTTGTGGCAGTGTCCAGAACGAGATGAAGAAGGTGAACTACTGTGTGAGGTGGCTGCCAAAGGTGTCGTTAACACAACAGATAGCCTGGGATGGAATTTGACTGTGAAATATGCTAAAGAAAGTAGGATGCAATACGCAAACGAGCATCAAAATGACATTGATGCATATCAGCAGATTCCCCACGCGTTAGCCTACCCTTAGGCCTTATTTTATCCGCATCCTCTACTATCGTCGATTTTGGACGCATTTTGATTGCCATTTTTTGGCCAGCATTGAGATTTGACGGACATTTACGGCCATCCTAGCCCCGTCCATACTTTCATAACGGATCTTCAAACCTCATTATAAATCTTCTTTTGTGCTCTAACCTCCTACATGTTTTCATTTTGTCTTAGGCACTGGATTCCTAAATATCAGAGATCTATCATAACTGCTCGCCGCGGATAAATGCCGACGCCGCCAGCCACCCTGAATCGCCACAGCGCATTCTGGCTTTCAAAACCGGCCCAACACAGAGCCTGATTCCTGTTCTCCTGTCATTGCTTGGGCTGCCAAAAGACACGAGGAGTCTTACCTGAACCGAAAAGAAGATGTCAGACATAATCTCGCAACTGCCAAACGAGATTCTACGAATCATTATGGAAAATGTTGGGTACTCCCCCAATTCATATCCCTCTGCTGGTGCATCGTCACCGGTACTAGCGGGACGGAAGGTTATCTAGCAATGGTCCACTGATACAGAACTTAGGTCACCTCGATCAGAGACCTAAAGTCAGCGACTAAAGTCTCGAAAAGAATCCGGAGCGTTTCTTTACCAATTTTTTGGCAGTCCGTCGAGATTAGACCCAAAAGAATCTCACACAATACAGATCTCCACGCCTTACCACTACTCTATCTATCCCCAGTATCCTCGAAATACATCAAACACCTACATTTCCGAAACAGTCTAGAAGGCCGTTTGCTGTGGTATCGATGTCCTCATTCCAATGGGCCCCGCAAGGCAGATCTGGTGGTATACGATTTGGATGATGATGACTTATACGATCTGGATGATAGCGACTCAGAGGATGACGAACTAGACTGTCTCGATGGAATAGATTGGGGCACGCACTCTCGAGATTTCGATTACCTCGGTTTTGCCAGCGGGATTATTGTCAACGGACTCTCTCATAGACAACTGCGAAGCTTCAGGTACGTCCGACAGAAACCCACCAATCCGAAGAGAAATCCCAACGAACGTTCCTTAGTTGGGACTTAGGGACCTGCATCCCAGAAACAATCCTAGGGCCGAGCGGGATCATCACTTTGCGGCAGGATTCAGTCGAGAACATATCTCTCACGACCGATCGCCATTGCTTCATCGATGACGACAGCACAATTACATGGTGCCCCCACGCTTACAATCAAGGATCTACCATCCATCTGGATAATTTCAAAAGCCTCAAATCCTTTCGCTGGAGACGCCCACGCCGCGAAGACATCGACACCCTATCCAGCGCCATCAAGAACAATCGGACAAACCTGATAAAGCTCGAGCTTGACTTCGTGGGTTAGGATGACGAGCATCGTGACTGGTTTCCATCCACTGAGCAATCGCATGAATGTCCATTGTTGGCGCGAATATTGGGTACGCCTCCGTATCCTCCATCACCTGTTTTCTCGAAGTTGCAGGAACTGTCTATCTCCTACGCCCCGATTGGACCCGCATTCGCTTCTGCACTAGACATGCATTCACTTGTATCGCTCAAGCTGCACTACTGCGGCGGATGGATCAGATTTGTGGAAAAAATGGCCTCGTCAAGTATCACGCTGAAGCTGAAAACATTCGAGGTCTGCAGCTACAAATCCAACGACCGATCCGAACAGCAGAAGGCCATTAGGGACCTCTTGGAGTCTTTCGGCGGATTAGAGAAGCTCCACGTGTTTCTTGGTCCCCCAGGGCTTACATCATGGATTCCCACCCGAGACTTCTGGGCAAGCGTTCTGAGACACCGTGCTACCTTGAAGAGCTGCATTCTCGATCCGCTCTGGGGCGATAGAACAGAACATATAAGGTCTGCCTTTGGAGAACAACAGGGTTCAGTTCGCCAGCAAGGGGCCTTGTCCCCACAACGACAGAATGTTTTCCTACAGCGGTTATTGGGCTATTTTGAGACGGAACCCAGGGCTAACGTCCTGAGCCAGTTGGATGTTGAGTGCCTTGGTCTGATTAATGAGCCGACATGTCTTGTAAGCTTCGAGCGTCTTCTGCGACACCGCCGTCAGTGATCACGCCCTGGATGTTACTCGCTGACTACTTCACAGAGACGCACACTTCTTCCCTTTGCTGAAAAAGACTGCTTGAGGATCATACATATCCGCACCGGAGATGGTACGGGCAGCTCGTGGGAATGGAACTGGGTCTGGAAATGCCTCGTAGAATCGGAGGGCAGGATGAAAAGTTGGAGTGGGAGTTATAGTGGCGCAGACCTCACAGCATTGTGGCCCCATGTGACTGACAAAGAAGCAAGATATCGGCTCCAGGATAAGTTCTGTGCCTTCGTTGAGTGGGCATTCGGCGCTGGGGGCATCGCCTCCCTGCGAGCTATCGTAGTAGGCGACTTCTCGATCAATTGCGAGGATCAACTCACCCGCTTCAGTATTTGCCGGAATGAAGATGGGATCTTCACGTTCCTTGACGGGCGAGACGGACGACGGGACCGGGCGCTGGATGGTTACCAGGACTTCTTAGCATCCTGCCGATAGCATTCTCGAACCATTGATGTGTCATAATGCGATGCCGCGGGCCAGCTTCATCTGGAGACCCGTAGGGGTTGAGACTCGTTGCGATAACGTTTATTTTGTGATTTTCAACTTTCACAAGGATTTCAAGTTGGGAACGTCAACTTGATTGGGACCAGTGGTCAGCTCGTGACACCTTCACACCGGCTCGCCAGGAGGCGACGGATGATGGGAATTATGGTAGAGGAGGCATAGCTTAAATATATTCATCGAAAGAGAATATTCGGTATTCGTATGCGGTTGAGATGAGCGGAAACTTCAATCTCCTGGCTTTCATGATTGTACGACGGAGCCACCCGAAGCATCAGGACAAGCCGGGGCCTTGACGGCACTTAAGTTCTATAGATGCCGACACCTAACCTCGTCAAATTTGTATCTAAATACAAAATGAAGATGGCTATTAGCCAATCGTGTCGGTAAGGAGATTACCCCGGATGGCATTTCGTTGGCAATCATCAGGCTATTCTTGTTGCAGTAGTTTGCCATTAGCTACTCGAGATAGCTGGTCGGGAAAAGGTTCGTGAAGGGCCCGCCGGGAGCATGTTGGCAGAACTGAGGGTTCCCCCTCAACTTCAGGATTAAAGTTAAAGTTTGAAGTCCTGAGCTTAGATCCTAGGACTCTCATCTAGGACTTTCTAGGACTCAAGTCCTGGAAGGGACCAGTCGAAGATATAAGGCCTCAAAGGTCCTTTGACTACAAGGAGTTAAGAACAACAATAAGAACCATTTTTGTTATCAAGCATACCCAGCATCGCTGCGCAATTCAACAACACTTTGTCGTTAGAGAAGATCGCTATCGGGGCCAACCCTAGACCTGGCCGGTCAGTTCGCCCGGTTAGTCTTTGAAAACGGCCATGCGGGGACAGATTTTGCAGCCTCATTTTCCCTTATTGTTGTTACAACACGTCTTGGCAATGATCAGTAGTCTCGAGGCTTTCAAAATGCGGTCACATGGTTGGCCATTCTGCCGCATTCTAGGTAAACTTTCAGCTCTTTTCATCAAAAGAGATTATCTTGTCGTGGTTGTAAACAAGTTACCCTACAATGTTGTTGAACTGCGCAGTGATGCTGGGTGTGATTGATAAAATCAAGGTTATTATTATTATTGTCATGGTGAGAGCTCCCTAGGGGTTTATATCCCATGCGATTCCATCTAGGACTTTCAACTTTCAGTCTAGGACTTTGTGATGTGACCCTGAAGTGAGGGGGAAGCTCCCAATTATTCCAACATACAATACCCTGGCTCGTGGCTCGTACCTTGCGGTCGATATTGGGGGTCGCCTTGGCAAAGTATCTCTACCTACTGACGATGCCAAAACGGAGCAACTCACGCCGCGAATCCATCGTTCTCGGCTGTGAAGACATCTGGATCATCTCGCCCATATGGCACCATCGCAAATCCTTGATTTGCGAAAGAGTAGGTACATAGTGCTCACGGGTATCAAACTCGATCAAGAACGAGTCATTGTCTTCGGTGGAGCGGAAAGTCCATTCCTCTCCGTTGTCAGACGCTGTTATAAACCGAAATCCGCGAGTGACGTATTTTTCTACGGCATCTTCCGCCCTCCGATGGACAGCTTCAGGAACTTGCCAACGAAATGCGCTCCTCCCTGATGCAAGACGGTAATACAGATGTAGAGCGATATGCTTGCTCAGCATGCACTGCACGTGGCTTCCGTAGAAGGACAAAATGCTCCCAAACACCGTCTGCGATAAGCCATCGGTGATGGAGGTCATTCGACGATCGATTGTTCCGACCACTAACTGGACGGACACCGCACTTCCGTTCCGATGGGCCGTGCCAGAGAGAACCTTTGACGCGACGTTCTCAGGATATACATGGGTCATCTCTTCATGCGGCTGCAGGCAAGTTACACGGCCGCCCTCCCGTATGAAGATGGGAATGAGATCCCCCATCCAGCCAACCGAGCCATTCTCGCGAACGTGCATTGTCATATCCCTCAACGCTGGGTACATGTAGCGGACGCTGTTGATCACTATCTGCTGCTCCATGGACCATGAAATTTTGTTAAAGAACGCCTCGTAGGCGATAGAAACGATCTGGTTCTGGTTCAAAATCACTTCCGACTTCTCTCTCAACCTTCGAGCGGCCGACTCGAGGCTGGATTCAAACGTCACACCCGACTTCTCCAGGGCATTCTTGACTGCTATAATCGATGGCAGTATAGGGGGCACATAGAAATCCCAATCGGAATCGTTTGTGGAAGACCCCGGAACAAAGTATTCCAGAGCTCTAGATCCGGAAAGCACGGCACCGTGTCTTGCCATCACCTCCAATAACTCGGGGCTGTCGGCAAAAGGGCCCGTGCTTTGGAGGTATCGAGACGGATCGATGCGTTCAGCCAGAACCGGCAAGAGGTCATGTGTTGCGCGCTTCAGGGATACAACGTCTGCGATTGGCAAGAGGCCAACGAGGTGCAGGATAATCTCGTTCGGTAGCAGCCCGAAGAGCCCCGTTGGTGTCTCTATCATTTTGATTGAACGGCAAAGCGGGACAGGTTGGTTACCGGTACAACAAGGATCGAGAACCGTTGACACCTGGTTGTTCCCTATGACGCTTGTGTCAGGTAATATGGTGTTCCCAAACTCGGAATTGACTGAAATCCAACGAGACTCGGGCTTGTGTAAGCTCCCATGACATGATTTTTCAGGCCTGAGCCCGGTCGCTTTATAGGAGTTGTTCCTCGCTCCGCATAGGGCATCCAGATTTGGCCGGGACTCAAAATGGCAATTACGTATCTCTACTGAAGCGGACTAAGTAGTTTTAGAGTCCAAGATATGCCGTATAACCTTCGACAGACCAGCCCCTAGCAAACCATCCCACCCGCGCAATGCAGGAAAAATGGCTCTAACCGAGAGAGGGCGCGTGATTGACTCGATGGATATTGATGCGCAGGTGACGACCAAGTTGCCGACAAGTGGCGGTCAAGAACGGTCAGCGCGGCCGAGGGCAAGGGAACCTGCCAACAACAATCGTAGATCCATACACCTATGCCTAGCCCTCCCCGAAGCCCTCGTCTCATGACGCCCTTGCCATGATCTCACAGCCGACCGCTTAGCTCGCTATAAAATACTTGATATGGTCAGGATGCAGTCGCAAGGCATCCGTAGATTGAGGCACCAACATAGGTATACTTGACGACCAAGTCAAGGCACGCAAGGAGGCAACGTCGCGCGCAAAATAACTAGACTACAGGTCCCCATCCAAAGGTGATGGATGAGATGCCATTCTGGGTTGTGCCAAAGGACCGGAACAAGACGGCGTCTTATTTGTCCCAGTGTAGGTAGTCTGGACCATGAGAGCGGCCTATTCATGCCTGCATGGCTCCTTTTTAATAATCTCGAAGGCCCTACCCATAGCAACTCATCGTCAAGATCTTTTTGTGGCATGCTATATCTAACGCAGCTTGCTGTTACTTCGCCAAGGGATCGTCTACCAACGGACTGGCAACCATACATTCCCACACAAGGGCCGACACCGACGCAATGAGCCCTCACACTTCTGACGCGCGGGGGGATACTAAGAGAATCTCTTCGCACAGAGGGAAAAGTGGAAGAGACAAAAACGAGCCACCGCAGACGTCAGTCGACCGTATATGGACGAGATTCTCTGAACGGGAGTTCAGTCAAGTCGTTAACGTCATTCCTTCCGACTCGGACCCGGGCGCCCTCAATATTTGTCCGTCGAACAAGTTGCTACACGATGATTATGCCCGAGCCGCCGCCAAATGTCGAAGAAAGGTCGAAAAGATTGTGAACGAATGCAAGCGCGTCAATATGCGGTATCGTGACCTGACTTGGGATCTGGTCAGTTCGCCTTCTCCCCCAGCTCTCCAACGCTGACTGACCTTACTCTAGGACTGGGACTTGAAGCTCGAGAAAGGGGACTGTCTGAATGGTTTATGTGAAGAAAAGTACGACTTGAGCGCCGTGTCTCTGTCAAGCTCGGAGGACAAAGTACCCAAGGCCGTGAAGCGAGTCCACGAGCTATTCGAGCAGCCCACATTCATGGAACGCATCCAGGGTGGCGACATTACACAGGGTAACTTGAGCGACTGCTGGTTGATGACGGGCTTAGTTGCTCTTGCCAACATCCCCGCCGCTGTCAAGCGGACCTGCGTTAGCTACAACACGACGGTCGGCGTCTACGGGTTCGTCTTTTACCGAGACGGGGAGTGGATATACTCCATCATTGATGACAAGCTGTACCTCAAATCACCCTGCTGGGACTCTCCGAGTACGCAGAGAGATCTGTTGGAACAAGTCGGCCAAGACGGCACTGAGAAGCTGTATCGGAAAACGTACCAGACAGGATCCAAATCTCTCTTCTTTGCCCGATGCAGAGATCAAAACGAGACCTGGGTCCCTCTCATCGAGAAGGCGTACGCGAAAGCGCACGGCGACTATTCTTCTCTCGCCGGTGGCTGGACCGGCGAAGGCTTGGAGGACCTGACCGGCGGTGTCTGGCGCAGATACTCCACCGCTACGAGATGTGTACGGAGACCTTCTCCGAACTTGTCGTCCTTCTTCACCAACTATAAGGAAAAGCTACACGCCCCGATCCGGCTCGGCAAACTCTCCCAGCATACCTTGGATGCAACTTTGAGGACATCTCTAGACATCCGGAGTCAGAGAAGGCTTGAGAGAAATTGTTCGATGTCGATGCCGACTTCAATGAAAAGATCAAATATCGACTGCTGACTCCTTACGGCTGGTGAGCAACCAGCACTAGGAATACTTACGAATCCACCTCCCATGTATTCTAATCGATTTGGTGCCCCAGATGTAATTGTGTCAATTTCCTCGTTTTCTTATGATGTATCTACAAAACCGCCCGGTGATTTCCAGACACAACTCTCTCGACGCCGCAGGGATGTATGTGTATGTATCCCTTGAGTTGTGTTGAACCTCCCGGCCGTACCAGGCCCCACATGCCCACCATCTTCTAGGAGGTACATGGGTGGAACCTCGTGATAGAATGGGAACGTGAGCAGTGTGATGTAGCGATTTGTAACTTGAGAGATTGCTGGTACTTCTATCACAGGCTGAAATAGGGGGGCGACAAGTATCTTTTGATTGACGCATTTTAATTGGCTACCTCTCCTTGCCGCGACCTGGCGGGAGGTTCAGCACAACTCAAGGGATAGTTTGACACTTCAAAAATGATTCTGAGACGTTTTGGTCTGGGGTTACTGTCTAGCTGGTCTTGAAGGTAGCGGTTATGAAATGTACGACGAGGAATCCGGCCAAGCCTACTTGGGACGAAACTATGGCAAGTTCCAAGGGTGCCGAGTGGGAATGTCAATCAGAAAACCCTTATCCAACGTCCTAACGCAGATCTGGCCATTATCGGGCAGCTCTCTACCTTGTCCGCAGATGCTCACCCAGTAAAGTGGATTGAGGACGATTCGGCCACTCCTCAACTCGAGTGGCCAGTCACATATAAGGCAGACCCTTGCTCTAAGACATTAACATCGTCGCCGGGCCAGGACACGTCAATTCCCCATGATTCCAGAGGTCGACCCGCATCTAGTCCCGAGCTGGTGCGCATACTGTCTCGAGTGTGATGTTCTCACAAGAGCGCAATGGAAACTTTGGGGTTTTCAAATGCGATACGTTACTGAGTCTGGAGGAGACAACGGTAGACCATCTAAAACATCCACGCGGTGTGATAAATGCGCCTCACGTTCGCGTAGCTCGGCCACACAGTCAGATCTGCTAGATATACGTGAAATTGCGAATTCCCCCCGCCAATCTGAGCGACATTGTACAGATCAAGATCGCTGCAGCCAGGGCAGGGCTCACGGCTTCGACCTCGCGGGTTGTGTCTGTGCTGCCTCGAGGCGGTGAGACAGAAATGTCGAGCCCGGTTGTACTTCAGGCAGCAGCCGTAGCTGCAGAAGATCTCTGGGCAGTGCATAACTGCAGAGGTCGGTCACGCAGCATGAAGCTACGGAAGGCAAAGGGTGATTGAGGCCCTATATATTGAGGGCCTGAGAGGGCCCAAGTGGTCGAGTAGCTGGCGGCTGCTGGTGTTGTCTGGGCAGCCGGGGCTGCCGAGGTCGGTCGTACGGGAAGTCGAAAGCTCGCGAAGCCGGAAAGTCGATGCTCAAAGAAGCCGGAAATACTACATAGAAAAGAGCGCCTAAAGGCGATGCCAAGAGTTCGCGAAGCTCAGTGTCGTTGGGGACAGGCGTCACAGAGAAAGGTCAACTCTGAATCCCTCTCTTTTGGCATCTGGTAGAGTTCCGTTAGTTCTGCAACGGCGCTTGCTGCCATTTTGGCCTGCAAATATTTTCGCCCTAGCAGTACGCTAACAGCGGGTGCCAAGGAAAAATTTTAACAGGAGAGAGTTGGGCAGCAGGTCAGGTGTAGAGTAATCGAACCAGGGGGCAAGAATGACAGAACATTTCCTTAAACTGCTAGCGTTGCTATACTTCAAAACATCAATCGATTCGTACCCACGTTAGTCTCTTTCATCGAATCTGACTTAGCTTCGCAGTCTGTGCTACGGGACCGAATACCTGGCGGAGCGTAAAGCGCGAGCCCCCGTTCTCGTTGATTGATGATATCCTACGTGGTTACAGTCGTGTGTGCAGTTACGCCCGAATACTGAATGGCGGGGCCCCAGCGCAGAGCCGAAGCCTCTCGGATCAATGCTCATCCGCGGCACCCCACCTCGTCAACGATGTCAGGCTAGCTGGCCATCGATTTCCCGCTTTTCTCTTTCTCTAACCTCTCTATGTGCGCTTGTCGACTAGCCTCTATAGACACCAGCAGTTCTCGAAAAGCGCATGCATACCTGGTGTGGCCGGCTTGGAGGTTTGTGTCGCCTTATACGATACGAGCCCTGTCATGGGGATTTGAGATCATATAAGGAAGCCCCGCTTTTGCGCCACCACCTGAATCGATTGTTTATTTGGACTCGATAGCTTCTAGGCTTCAGCCCAGGTATATTCCTAACCGCTGCCAAGTGTTGAAGAGGATGACTCACAATAGGCGAAGCAATCTTGGGTCATCACAGTCAGGAGAGTGGCTCTGCAGTCCAACGGGATGCAGAAACAGAAAAAACAGCGAGCTGGCTCGCGGATCAAGAGAATCACTCAGCAGCGTAAGCGTCGGCTGCAACTAAACAACGAACTCTACAAAGTGGGTGTTCTGAAGGGCACAAGTCAGCCACCGCCCCAAGGCGATCCCAGCAGACATGTTTACATATATTTTGTGAACAGTAGCAGATACTGTCTGCAGGATGGCAACCGAAAGGAAGTTTGTTGGGAGAACGTCGAATTTAGAAAAGGATATGCGGCTAAGAATCTGGGAGAATTGGCGGGCCTGGTGATTGGAAAGATAGTGAACCAGACTGAAAAGGAGTACATTCGGGGCGAAGTATAAGTCATCATCTCCGGCCACCTAGGTAGCGGGTAGATGGAGACAGATATGTTTGTGATTAGCGATAGCCAGCATACGTCCCCAAGCTACGCGGCAAAGCCAGTCCAGTCAGCGCCCGCGTAATATTATGCAAATTATTTCTGGAAACGGATGGCCTTTGACTGGTCACCAGCCAAGGACCTGTTAGCAGAGGAAGTTTTACTACCCAAGGCACAAACTCTAGACTTTCGCCCGTGGGCGGCATGTGGAAGCATGTCTCGCTCGTGGTCTTCCTTCCTATGTCGTTTCATATGTTGGCCGACTTCGAACTAGCTATTGCCGGCCCTGGAAGAGAAGAAGCACTGACATGCGACTCTCGCGATCCACGGTAGTTTGGGAGTAAACTGGACATCCTATCGTTGATGATCCTGCATTGTCTGGGTTGATGAACATCGAGGCCGCACACTTCAGTCAATTCAGCCTTGCTGTAGCAGGGCAAGCACGGGTTCGGTCGTTGGTGGATGCTACTTACTACTATTTCAACCTGGTCTGATTTCGTAGTGCTTTGGGGACTTTCTGTAATATTCGAGCCAACCTGACTCGGCGGTGGCTCAGGATTGGGAACCGGTTACGCGCCATGCATCATTTACCCGACTGTTGGAGAGATCAGTGTGGCTAGTCAAAGCAAATCTATGGCGTCAAAGGAGAAATGGCGATCAGCAGGTTAACAGCGGTCGACATCATCCTTGCATCTCTATACAAACACAAGGCAGTCGCACCGGTCACAGTTCTCACGCATGCCCTCTTCATGAAACGACATCTAGGTGATACTAAATTGGGTAAATTGGCAACTACCTCCGCTTTCCTAACCAAGAGCCCCTTTTCCTAATCAGTGACTCTTCCAGATAGTCATCGCCGGACGGAAGGGCCCCCCCAATAAGCGAGTACCCTTGGCCAAGCCTGAGCTTCAGAGTAAAGTCTCGGGCTCTTGACCTACAATGGCATCACCTTGATGCCGCTCTTTCGCTGCATCTTCCCGTTTGTCACGCTGCTGATCGTCTTGGCTGCCGTCGAAGAGCTGCCAGCCTTGCGGCCGGAGTCAGTACACTTCCGCTTTGCCACTCCACCCGTCCAGTTCTTGCCGATCCGTTTCTTACTCCCCGAACATTGCACGTTACCTTCACAGCTCCCGTCGGACATCCTCGGCCATTTGACTAGCCTGCTGCCAGTCGCCCCGTCTTCCGATACTTGAATCGACAACATCAGCTTCCGCTGTCCTGAGAGAAACAGGCGGTGTGTCGCTCCGAGTTTCAGGTACTGGATTGCCATGCCGTGATTCCCAACGTGGTTGTTCTCATCGAATACCTTCTCGGCGGACAGTTTGTCGATAACTCGGATGAGCTCATGCTTCTTAAGGCTCCTTGCCATGCCATACCAGTTGTCCGAGAGATGAGCCGCATAGGGCGGATACTTCTTCCCCATCAGGATGTCGGCGCATTGCACCGCTGTAATCCGGCCCTGTGCCTGGACGACGCGGATGGCAGCAATCGCGTGCTCGGAAAAGTCCTGCTGCTCAAAGATCAAGCCCGCCTTGCAGTTGTCACACGTCTTGCGACACTGTCCTGCGGTGAATTCCTCGCCGAAATACCGAAGAATTTCAGCGCGCCGGCAATCAGACCTGTTGTCGCAGAATGTTGTGACACGGTTCAGCATAGACATCTGCCGCTCCTTCTGTTCCTCGCTCCCTTCGCCGTCGGCGATCAGCTTCTTCAGAACCCTTATATCCCCCTTGCCGTAGAAGAGAATGCAGTCCGACGGGTTGCCGTCTCGACCTGCGCGACCAGTCTCCTGGTAGTATCCTTCCAAGCTCTTTGGAAGTCCATGATGCATGACGAATCTCACATCTGGCTTGTCTATGCCCATACCGAACGCAACAGTAGCAACGACAACCTTGACCTGACCCCTTTGCCAGCCATCCTGCACCTCTACCTTTTCCCGAGGGTCCACGTGTGCATGGTAATGCCTGGCCATTATCCCCTGTTTCGTCAGGCTCTCCGCAACCTTCTCCGCATTCTTCCGAGAGATGGTGTAAACAATCCCGCTCTGATTCCGGTATTGCAGTCTGATCAGCGAGGCAATGCTGTCTATCGTCTTATTGTTTGTCGTCTTTGGGCGAACTTCGTAATACAGGTTTGGGCGATTGAAGCTCTGCGAAAACGTTTGGCACCTGTCCATCCCGAGATTGTGCCTAATGTCGGCGATGACATTCTGTGTTGCCGTCGCTGTGAGAGCCATGACCGGCACGCCAGGGTATCTCTGGCGGACCTGGCCCAGAGCCTTGTAGTCTGGTCGGAAATCGTGGCCCCATTGACTGATGCAGTGGGCCTCATCAATGACGATGCGCGCAAGCTTGCCTCTGCCATGCAGAGTTTGCATCCCATTGTTGAAAGCAGTGCTCTTGCCGACCATCTCGGGCGTAACATACAGGAGCTCAACATGATGCTCCGGGATTCCCTCCTCGAACGCAGCCATCACTTGCCTCTTGTATTCGGCAGAGCACTCGCCATGGAACGCGACAGCCTGAATGCCCAGCCTTTTCATGTGGTCGACCTGATCCTGCATCAAGCTGAGCAGCGGCGACACCACTATGGTGACACCCTGAGTCTTGCCAGTCTTGACAACAGCCGGTAATTGATAGCACAGGGACTTGCCGCCACCCGTTGGCATCAGCACGAAGGCATCTTTACCCCCCAATGTGGCATTGATCGCCTCAAGCTGGTTATGACGGAACTCTTCCATTCCGAACCGGTCTTTGAGCATCCTTCGGACTTCAGGTGACCATGGGTGATTCATCAGCTCAGCAGGGATTGATCCTGGCGCCACCGAAGGCAGTGGCTTCCCCGACGTGGCTCGAGACTCTGCAGCAGCTCCGCCGCTGGTAAATGTCTCTGACTCCGAGTAGGCTTCTACAAAGTCTTGCGAGACGGGAGCATGGGTCTGACGAACCTCGTAATCTTGTGCAAAAGCAAGCATCTCCTCGTCGTCGTTAAATTCGCCGAATTCAACGCCGTCGGGGAGGTGATGTATCGCCTGAGGCCTCGTCTGACTATCCGGTACCAGGTTGCCGGAAGCTTTGGACACCGGCTGGGGCTGAGGTTCACCCAGATCGAAGAAGCCGTCATCATCAGCATCCAGCCCTCCTGCATCCACAAGCATGGAGTTCACCGCCGAGGGCGTCGTTGCCGGCTCTGGCCGGCATGGTGCACCCGTCTCTCTTGCCGGTATGGCATCCTTCGACGCCACAGGCGCGGGCACGGTGACGCTGTCCTGAAGCATGTGCTGACCGCCCATCACGACCGATGGTGCAGGAGGGGCGCCGGAGGTTGGTTCCCGGAAGGTCTCAAGGAAGCCAGCTACGTCCAGCCCACTACCATCGATTGTTTCGACAAGGCCCTGTTCCACCGCATGGATTTCATCAGTGAGGTCGTCAAGTCGAACCTCGTCCCCATCTGTGTCAAGGCCTTGGACGTAGGCCTGGGTAATGGTTTGGGCAAGCTCTTCACGATTCCTACAAAGCGCCCTGTACTCATCTGCCGTCGCAGCGAGATCCCTGATGGCCTTCTGTTGTCGTAACAATCGCTCCTTTTCCGACTTGACCTGGCTTCTTTTTTCCTTCGGCCAGCGTTCGCTCATCGCTTTCATGAACTTTGCACCGTTTTGCTCAATGAGCTTGTCCATCAACTCATTCCATCTGGTCAGGGCCGCCGGTTCCGAGCTCAGCTGATACAGAAGAGCCGGCACTCGACTCGACTGGGAAGGGGGTTTACGGGGACGCTCGGCGGACGAACCCCCGGAGGTCGCCTCGGTGGTCTGCGAGCTGCTGCTTGTCGCCACGGCGTGCCCTCTGGAAGCCGCATTTGCAGGACATGTTTGGCATTGTGAGGGTGAAGCAACGTCTGCCAGGGCCCGAGGCACGGGTATCGGCGCTATGTGCGTACCCGATTCTGTTGTGCTAGTCGTGGGGATCTCCAAGAGAGCGATCGAGCTATTGTCAGGAGGCGTCATCAAAAACTTGTCGCGGGGCTCGGGAATGAACGGTTCATCCCTGCCATCTGTGAGCTGTGGAAGCGATCGAGTCTGATGAACGGTGTCGGAAGCTTCCGATCTTGTATCAGAGCTTTCCAAAGTGCTTGATGCTTTCTTTGCGGAAGGTCGGGTGCCAGTGATGGGCACCGTCTCCTGCTGGGATTGTCGCTCGCGGGCAAACTGACCGTGCACACGTCTTGACGGCGATGCTATGGCATCTGAGTCCTCCTCGCTGACGGGTAGAATTTCGGCCGAAAGAGGATGTTTGCTCCCATCGCGGGTTCGGTGTGTTTCCGTGCGGCACGATCCGCCGCCTCTTCCACATTTTCCAGATTGACCTCGAGGGCTCGGAGCAGGGGGAGAGGTACCGAGAAGCTGATAGATGTCTGGAAAGTCGCCCGAATCGCTCGATTCTTTCACGCCACTCCCTTTGCCCCGCCCGTCTTTACCGCTCGACGCGGCTGGCTTTGGTCGAGATGCGCAATCTTTGCCCCAGAGTTTCCCATCGCTGCCGAACGATAGCGAGCCGGAGGAGGCAATGGTGTGATGGGGAAGGCCCAGGTACGCCACACCGTCGGCGTTGAGGTCGCCGGACTCGGGGCTTCTCGCGCGAAGCGGTCGGGTCGGGGTCGGGGTCGAGGTCGGGGTCGGGGCCGGAGTCGGGTTCTTGGGTGAGGCGCCTTGCGCATGTGTCTTGCCAAGATCCGGCCTCGATGTGCCTGGACCCTAAGTCAACATGGATTGTCTCTGCAGCACCTGTGCACTTACCGAGATTGGCGCGTTGGGTAGGAGTATCTTGTCGGGCTGAGCGATCAGCGGCGATGGAGATAGGAGCGAGAAACTGATGGGATCTTGAAATAAGACGAGGCTTCCTAGATTTCGAACTCGACACCAGGCGGGTCATGGTGTGTCGCCCTCCGATATCACCTCGTCCGTATCTCGAAAGCCGGCCCCGAGCTGGCCTGGTCCATTGGACGTGGTCGACGCGCCGTCGTTCGAGCACGTTCCGTCGTCGGGTCGATTTTGACAGCCCAGTACGAAAGCCTCGTTGTTCTTAGCAGTATGTACAAACGTGCATGTATGGTTTGTCTCGGCCATCTTCTCGCCACCCAGGCAGCCATCAGGGTGGTGTTGCCTAGCGCGTCACGTGTCAGCTCCTTTGGCAAGTACAGTCACGCCCAGGCTTGACAGGCCGCTTCGCGCACCTCTGCCAGCTCATGCCTCGACCATGTCGAGGGCATTTCCAATAAAAACTATTGTCTCTGATGGTCATTGGCAACCTTTGACTAAAATTTGATCAGATTGATTGGATTGATGCTCTATATCATCATTCCGTGGGTTGTGGCTCAGTAATCGACCTGCGTGCTTCAAGAATACCCGCACTTTCGACACCAGCCAACCAACGAACACACTATTCCTGTTCATTGTTTCTACCTAGTGTTCTTGCCCTTCTGGCACGCTCAGTGCGACCGACCCATCTCAATTCTCCCGAGGGCGTCCAGGACCGGGCGGGCTCTGGGCCGACTTTGTTGTAACTGGTCGAAGGCCCAGAACGAACAAACCCTAAAACGGCTAGCCCCTTAGACGCAAAGCTCAACAAGTGAGGGATTCAGGCGTGAGCCCGATAGGTACCTAGCCTTTTACAATCGTAGCTCGTATAAGCAAAATTATCGTCTTCAACCGTTCCCACTGGGTTGCAAGTCGAGAACCTCCGGACGAAGCTAACGCCCGACAGAGCCCGTCGCGAATTCAAACAGAATAGCACTTACCACGTTAAGCAATGGTTTTTGCCCTCGTTGGTATCCGTGCATGTGTGCCACGACACGACGCGCTTCAGGGGTCCGCGCGGCCCACCGACAGGTTAGGACGGAGCAGCCTCCACCACGACCGTTTTCCCACAACGGCGTCTCTCCCACATCCATCGTGACGACGACCCTAGTATGGGCTCGGAGGCCGCTTCAAGTTATCAGGATGAGCAATCATCCAGCGCGACGATCGAGCAAGCGCCTTATCGGTAGGTGTGGGTAGAACGACGAATTATAGTAGGGATGGCGCGCTGAATGTAATCTAGCAGCTGCCGATTTTGAACAGGACGGTGACTTCCAGTTTACCCGCAATTCAAAGAGGGCCAAGAGGGAGAAGGTAGAGGAGCCACAACCCGTCAAGAAGGTTGAGGGGGTGGGGAGCCGGACGTCAGCGGGACCGCGCGCTACTGGGGGCTTGGTGATCGATGGGAGCATTCCGGAGGAGAAGGGCTTGAGGGCGAATGAAACGGTTGCAGCGGCAAAGCCTGCGACGAGGAAGTCTACGAGGCGAAAGGCAAGCGCCGATGTGTCAAACGAAGAGTCCTCACTCGAAATTGTCGAGGGACGATGCAGGAGGAACGTACGAGTATCGGGAGAAAGGTTGGAAGAGGCAGCTCCCGCGCCAGGGTCAGTTGCTGTTGCGCAGACAAATGGCGCACGTCATAAGCGTGGAGGTCGCGTAAAGGCGCCTCCTCGCGGGTCTCCAGAGCCGAATCAGTCACAGCAGAACGAACCGTCGGTGCAATCAAGCACAGTCGCCCTCGCGATGAGCGACACGCCCGTCATCAACCGGAACAAGGAGATGCGAAAGAAGGGCAACACCAACCGACGTAGCAGCTTGGGCATGAGAGGGCGAAGGGCCAGTTCCTTGATCGAGAGTGGCGGCTGGCCAGGCGGCCATACCACACCGGGAAGTCAACCCGGCCGAGTTCTACAAACACATTGAAGCCGAAGGCCTGACGGAGCCTCGCCGGATGAAGCAGCTATTGATCTGGTGTGGTGAACGTTCTTTGACAGAGAAGCCTCCTCGCGGAACGCCAAGATCAAATGCTATTCTAGGTGGTGAGTAGTCGAGATGTATCTGCCCATCTTTCTGCAGATCCTGTCCCAGGGGCCCAGCTTGCTAACATTGAACAGCCCGTGCTATCCAAGACCAGCTTCGCAAGGACTTCTCGTCTCGGTCCGAGCTCTCGGACTGGTTTAGTAGGGGAGACGACATGCCAAAGGCCCCTGTGGTCCTGCGGGCTAATCCCAGGAACATGGAGCTGGATGAGAAACGGGTTCAACTGGAGATGAACGTTAAAAGGTGTGTATAAGATAACTGGTGCTTTATCCTGAGACTACATGTTCTGATTTTGGATAGACTACAAGAGGAGAAGAAGGCGTGGCAGGCAATAAGAAAGCCGCTACCCGATATACCGCCTCTCTCCCCGAAGGTGAAAATGGGCCTGTTGCTCTGCCCGATTTCGATTTTCTGGATCCCGATGAAGGCAAGATCAGGGGACTGCTGGCAGACGAAGCTGCATCTTTCAACGCAGTTCGGACAAAAACGGAATCCCGATTGGGTACCATACAGTCGTTACTCGAATTCCAGATTGACCATCTCGCCGATGCCGTCCATAAGCTCGAGCAGCGGGTTTTGCTCGCAGGGAAAGAGGCGGACAAGGTTCTCAGCATTAGTGCCCTGCATTTGCGTCAACGAGAAGAGAAGGAGAAGGCTGGCGCAGGGACGAGGGATATGCCCGTTATGGAGGTTCTTCGTGGCTTAGGCAGTATTTTGCCCAAGGGAGGCGGATGAGGGCCTGCTATTTCGGAACCGGACACATGAACTTCGATACTCCGGTCCTCGTCCCTTTCATGCTCGGCCCATGAAATGGATGAGGAGCTGAGAAGGCCCTTTTCTTCAATCGATTCCCTCATCTAGAACTTGTACGTGTGGATAGCTGGATGGCTTTTCGACGGACTTGGGTTGGTTTACTGTGGATTTTCTCTTTCTTGTTCCTAGAGAGCTAGGCATTCTATGTGCCCTGCGGTCCTTCTTTTTTGGAACAACAGAAGGAGCAAAGAAAACTAGGAGCCCAGGGGTTTAATATGCTATGTTGTTTTGTCTAGCATGCATATGAGATGACATGAGTTGCAGCGAACCAGTGAGGTGGGATTCGGACTCCAATCCCCACAATGGCCGAAATGGGGTAGCGGGAGTTGCGAACCTGCTACTATTTCAACCACTTCAAAGAGACAACGAGAACGAGATTTTCCATCTCTGTTCTGCCTTGCCTCCGCCAAGACGGAAAGGGTGGTTAGTATGGGCAAGCTTCCATTCTCTCACTGGCACATGCCGTCGACCAAAACGCACAGTGTTGTCGAGATGAGCTTGGCGACAAGTCTTGGACCATCAGTCGGCCGGTTTTCCGAGCATAGCCTCTACGGATCTTGGGTTTGGCCAACAAGACCCCAGAAACCAGCATCCGATCTGGTAGGATAGTGGAAGTGATTCATGGGAATACTATAGCCCAATGTTGACGAGACATCCGGCACGGGCATATCGGGGTGGCGTTGTCGACGAGAGTCGTCTTCTATCAATAGCTCAGGTGCAGTATCTAGATGGCACAGCCCTATGTGTGGTACCACCTGGACAGGGTTGTGTCGTGAATGAGTTTGGGTAGACGTTGATGGCTGTTCGACTGCAGGAGGAACGTTGGAAGGAAGCGGCCGTCCGTATGCTGGACTGGGTTGAGCAGGCCGTCTTAGTTCCCATAAGGAGAAGCTACCTGTCGAAGCACTGGCAACAGACTCTCCCTGCTTTCCTACGGGGACGCAACGCCAGAGACGACGGTAGGGAGAGGCGCAGACGTCCGAAGCGCCAGATCACGCTGAAGGGACCGAGCAGCCTCGTCGGGGGGGGCGCGTGAAACGGAGCGTCGACGTTGGATCGGACGGAGCTTCCGCGGCGGAGTGCAAGTAACTAGAAATGCCGTCATCGCTGATACCATGCCAGGTTAAAAGGCATCAAAGTTGATGGTTCTCTTCCGAGACTCTTCTGGCCGCTCGCTGAATGTCGCAAGAGGCCTCAATTCCTTGGAGCTCGTGGGCGCCAACTCGCTGCTCGAGCTCCAGAAGATACTCCTTCCTCCGAGCCCGCGACCTCCTCTGATTGTGTCTTATCCGAGCAAGATTGTCATTCTATGGAGACGATGTCAATGTTGGCGAAACACGACAAGTGGTGGTTGGATCAAAGTAGGCGACATACTGCCAGTGTCGACATTGAGCCGTCCAGTGTACTAAAAAGGATGACTGGAAGAGAACGCACAAAGTTGCAGCGTACGTAAATCAGGCTGGGGTTCTTGTGATGGCAGTGGACGTTGGTAAGGACGCAGAGTTGGGAGAGTTTGAAAATGGCGTTGAACGCGTTTGTCCTTTTTACCGGGTAGTTGAAAAATAGAGGTTCTTGGCAACTCACAGGGTTGTCAGCATCGCTGTCACATTGAACCGTTGTGAGGCCTTAAAGGGAGGCTTTCTTGGCAGAGATGTTGGATATGTGGAGGGCAACGATGGTGTAGGATGGGGCGACATCAGCAGATGATGGGCTTTGAAGTGACGCTCTGATTGATGCCTTTCTTTTTTTTTTTTTTTTTTTCTCTTTTTTTCCCCCCCTAGTGCCATTGTCTTTCACAGTGGCCGGCGCCCGCTACAGAGGCGCCCGGACGCGCAACTCTGGCCACAACACAACACAACTGCAGAGATCCGAGGCTGGAACAAAACGAATGGGAGAGAGTCTGGGCTTTCCCTTTGTGGTCGGGATTAAGACGGCGGAAGTGTAACTGGCTTAGCGTATCCAGCGGCCCTATGAGATTAGTTCTCCTGGGCGTAATAAAACTACCTACCTACCAACTTCCCGCTAGATATGCAAAGAAGCAGAGAACCCCGATAATATACTATACCCCAGTACACGAGTCAATCTCCATCTTGCACGACGTTTTGAGCTTCATGATCCATTGAATTCATCCCACGTAAACAACTGCTTGCCCCCGCACGTCCAAAGATAGCTGTTTTTTCTGCTTACGTAAAATTTTTAATTGACCGAGGCTCGAGAACATGTCGCGATGGGGGATATGTCCTCGCCGAATGCCGTGAGTTGCGACGAGCGAACTGACTTTGCTGCGTTGTCGCTCCCAGCAGAGCAGGGGGCAGTGATAATGCCCATTCCACTTTCCGAGAAGGTATTGCCGCCCTGGAACGCCATGGGATGCCAGTCCACATGACTAACGTGCAGCGTAGCCCGCAGTAGTCGAGGAACGCAACGGCGAGATAGAATTCCGCGTCGTCAACAACGATGGTGAGCGGGAGAGTGTCATCATCCTGAGCGGGTTGAAATGCGTTTTCCAAAAGCAGCTACCGGAAATGTCAAAGACCTACATCGCGCGTCTCGTCTACGACAGAGCACACGTGTCCATCATCATCGTGAGGAGGCGATTGGAAGTAGTGGGAGGCATCACGTACCGGCCGTTCGAGGACCGCGGGTTTGCCGAGATTGCCTTTTGCGCCGTCTTGTCGGATGAGCAGATCAAGGGATACGGAACACACCTCATGTCACACCTGAAGGACTACATCAAAGCATCATCGAATATGATGCATCTTCTGACCTATGCCGACGACTTGGCCATCGGCTATTTCAAGAAACAGGGCTTCACAAAGGACATCATGTTGGATGAGTCGGTTTGGAAGGGGTGTATCAAAGACTATCAGGGCGGGACTCTCATGCAGTGCTCCCTGCTCCCAAGGATCCGCTACCTGGAGCTGGGCCGCATGCTCTTGAAGCAGAAGGCATGTGTCCAGGCCAAGATACAGGCTCTTAGCAAGAGCGACGTGGTCCATCAGCCTCCCAAAGCGTGGGAGAACGGCGTCATCCCCATCGACCCCCTATCCATCGACGCGATCCGGGCGTCGGGCTGGTCACCCGAGGTGGACGAGCTGATGAGACAATCGCGTCACAGGCCGAGCTACAGGCAGCTGTCGCGTCTTCTGAGTGACCTGCAGAAACATAAATCATCGTGGCCATTCCTCGAGCCTGTCAGCAAAGACGACGTCGCCGATTACTATGAAACCATCAAGGAACCTATGGATCTTAGTACTATGGAGGCCAGGTTGGAGGCGAAGCAGTACATGGCGCCTAAAGATTTCATTAAAGATGCTCAGCTCATCTTTGAAAACTGTCGGCGATTCAATGATGAGAGTTCTCCGTATGTGAAGTGCGCCAACAGGTTGGAGAGGTACATGTGGGAGCAGATACGTACGATCCCGGAATGGTCACATCTGGAGTAGTATGATGGTATGGATTGGCTAGCAAGAGATGCCATGGTAAAATTTGGCCATCTTTGAGTCTGTAGGCGTGGACTACGGTGTACCCGTTTCTTCTTTTTTTCTGAGGTAACTTAACTAATCTAGGTTGATATTGATTTGGTGCTAACGTGAGGTCAGGTTGATCACACTGGGAGGGCTAGTCTTGCAGAGTCGCGATTCGATTTATGTTTGAATGCTGCCTATGTATTTTATATCAATACTCGTGAACCCGTGATACCGATCGCAAGATGTTCCCAACTGTATATCTATACGTTATCTAGATGAATACTAGCTCGTACTAGTAATAGCGAGTTGCCTGGCGCAGGGTCGACGCGAGAACGTGACGGCCCAAGACGGCCGTTTCACTTTCCACTGGTTGCAGGTTGTTCTATATTTGCTATCCCCGTTCCAAACACAGCAGTTGGGTACGGGGTTCTACGGGAACCGCGCCAACTGTCTTAATCCACAAATGGGCACTTCCCTGATGGGCATTGCAACAACCACCGAGGCACCCACCTAAGTCTCAAGGTCCTAGGCGGAATCACATAGGATGGAAACCCTCAGGAGACTCTCATAGAGAAGGACGGAGCGATCGTGGACTCAGATATGACGGTGTCTATATTAGGCTGATATCATCTGTGGTCATGGCCTGCTTCTGCGTTGATGGGAGCATCAAGTTTGTAGCTGGCAGTTGGTAACGAGGTTTCCACCGCCGCAACCAGAGAATCCTGTGCTAGAAAGCTACCCACAGTTCCAAGCAGTGCGCCAGCTTGTGGATCATTTCAACTCCTCTGCTCTGTTAGCTTGAAATACTTGCAGGTAACACGATTACGGCTGACAGCTGGTTATGTGCTAACATTTTGTATGCTAAATCTTATCCTCCAAAGGCTCCACCACTAAGCGCCAGTTTGTATGTGCAGGCCATCTATGTTTCGTCTCGTTCCTACAAAGGTTGCATTACGGCTAGTGAGAGTTCACACCATGGTAGATTCGTGGGCAGGCCATTTTTTCGCCGTTCGACGCGGCCCCAAAATGTCCCAAAAAAAAAAATTGAGCTTGGGTGCTCGACAAGGCCGCACAGAGTCGTCGATCAACCAGAAAACCTTCCCGTTGGAGCCAGGGTAAGATTCGTTTATCCTTCACAAACAACCGCAATCGCCCTGCCACGGCCAGTTCCGGACCATCCCGAATCGACTTCGCGGTGCCAACTAGAGACACGAAAACTATATCAACCCGACGCCGCTCCTCAATCAGCTAGATCTCTCATTAGCTTTGTCGCCCACCTTGATTCATCAGCATTCCCCAAGTCTCTCAACACAGCTTGGTTGCGAAGTTACAGTCCAACATCATGATACTACCGGTCTGTCCACGAAGCCTCCAGAAAGGTGAACCTATACAAACGCCATGGTCCACTCATGTCGTCGTCAAGGAGATCCTCGTAACCACCCAGGTGGGCAATTTGACCTTTTACGGTGTCCGTGCCGAGACCCAAGACTCCTACCCTTGGGACTGGCTGAGCACAGAAAGCCTTCTCTGGGTTTTTGACGATGGAACAGGTCCTCGGATGTGGCAGCATCCGGCTCAACCAGTGCCGTACAGTTTTCAGGAGCCAGAAAATAACTTGGAGCGTATCGTAGGCCATTACGAGTCGAGGAGCGGGGAATGCTACGTTGCGGTCAAATGGAAGAACTGCTTGTCACCAACGTGGGAGCTGGAGGAGAATATGGGCTGTCTTGCTGACGCCCTCACGTGCTATTTCAATAACATTTCAGACCAGAGCTGGGCCGAGTAGGCCGGGGAAGGGTGTTTCCCAGCGTTATGCTGGGTTTCTCGAAAAAAAAAAAAAAAAAAAAAAAACTTTGTTCCATATGCTGCCAGAAGCTCTGGAACGAGGGCATCGGGATGTAGAAATCGCCCTTAACGAACGTGCACAACAAATAAGAACGCACTGGAACTCACGCCACGGCAGTTCCCAAAAAGTTCTGAGCAGTGGGGCCAATAACATGGTAATCAAGTATCATGTTGCAATGTAACTCATACGATGTGTAACGGTGCACCTAAGCCGTCACGCCACAGGGCAAAAGATTGGGCTATAATCGCCATTGTAGCATTTACAGAAGGTGATTCAGCTGTCTATAGGGGCTTGTAGTGCTGTTGCGGGGGACCATGCCGTAATAGATCCAATCTCCTGGATCACGGCTCACATCGCGATACCCAAACACCACCGCCAGTACATAGTGCACACTTATTGCACTCTCTTATGTAGTAGCTACCTCAGCTATCAATACATCTTAGTTACACTCAATATCTTCAGCACATTACCAGACGTGACTTATACCCCCTCGCTCAGGGCAACGCAACCTGATCCTCTGCCAACACAAACCCAGCACGATCGGTTTATCCGTTGGGAAATCACCACGATCGTCACAGCACTCGCTTGTCTGTTGCACTGGCTTATCACGTACGTTATATAGAATTCCAAGCTATTGTAGGCTTAAATTGGAATATGAAGAATTCCTTTAATATCTTATTTTAAGGTACAAACATGAGTGTGGCACTCCCTTGACTGCGGCGCTCGCTTGTTAAGTACGTTAGTTTGTTATAACGTACATGATAAGCGAGTGTTACAAACAAGTGAGTGTTACACTACACTGTGTAAGCTAAAACAGCTAAACTCCAATTTTCTAAAACTAACGTACATAATAAGTGAGTGGATCAAACAAGTGAGTAGATCAAAAATCCCTCATCCTCCACCCTCTCTACTTGATCAATTGATTCTTCACCACTAAGCATATCACAGACAAATTATAAGGCAAGAATCCTTCTAGCACTTCATGCCTATCAAAATAACCCCAATCTAGGTCTCAAACGCGCTGCAAAGACCTATAAAGTTAGTTATGGTACACTATGGCGCCGACACAATAGCATTCAGTCTCAGCGCGATACTACCCCCAAATCACGCAAATTATCCGATCTAGAGGAATAGATCATAGTTCAGTTCATCCTAGACCTAGACTCGCGAGGTTTCCCCCCACGACTGCGTGGTGTAGAAGAAATAGCTAACCGACTGCTCGCCGACCGGAACGCACCACCCGTCGGCAAGCGCTAGGCTTCCAACTTCGTTAAGCGACACAATGAGCTTAAGACGCGCTTTTTTCGTAGATACGACTACCAGAGGGCCAAATGCGAAGATCTAACTAAGATTCGAAAGTAGTTTAAGCTCGTGGAGAACATAATCGCCAAATACGGTATCGACCTAGCCAATATCTATAACTTCGATGAGGTTAGCTTTATAATAGGCGTCATTGCAAATAGAATAGTCGTCATAGGCACAGAAAGGCGTACAAGACCGAAATTAGTGCAGCCTAGAAGCCGGGAATGGATTACTATCATCCAGGCGATCAATGCGGAAGGCTAGGCGATCCCGCCGTTCATCATAGGTGCGGGCCAGTATCACCTCGCCAACTAGTACCGAGACAGCAATCTCCCGGACGATTAGGCCATTACAACGTCTCCCAATAGCTAGACCGATAATGAGCTAGGTCTAGAGTGGCTAAAGCACTTTGACCGGTATACTAAGACGCGATCGGTTGGCCGCTATCGTCTTTTGATCCTCGACGGCCACAAAAGTCACCACTCTCTTGAGTTTAAGAAATATTGCTAGGCAAATAAGATTATTACGCTCTTTATGCCGCCTCATTCGTCTCATCTACTTCAGCCCCTCGACGTCAGGTACTTTAGCCTGCTTAAGAGGGCATATAGTCGAGAAATCGAGCATCTAATGCGATGCTCTATAACCCACGTTTCCAAGACCGAGTTCTTTCTAGCATTTTATGCAGCATTTTAGGCCACCATGACAGAGAAAAATATTAAGGCAGCTTTTAGAGGGGCTAGCATTATTCCTCTTGATCCGGAAAGTGTGATTTCGAAGCTTAATGTGTAGCTACGGACGCTGACGCCGGCTAAGGAGGAGGCCGGGCTCTCTACTACTTGGGTTTCAAAGACGCCAAAGACGGTCCTTGAGGCCGAATCTCAATCTAAATACCTCGATAGACGAATCAGAAGGCATCATAGTAGCTCGCCAGAGTCAATACTGGAAGCATTAAAGTCGCTTTCCAAGGGAATAAAGGCAACTATGCATGAGCTTGCCTTATTGAGGGCCGAGGTCCGCGATCTTCAGCAGGCAAATAAGACACTAAGCCGGCGGCGGAGGGCAAAACGGAGGCGACTACAGAAAGGAGGAGTGATAACAGTGGGGGAAGCAAGGGAAGCAATTAATCAGATGAATATGGATGGGTAGGTAGAGGGGGAATCGTCGAGAAGTAGTAGTCAAGGAGGGTCGGGGCGACCGAGGGAAAGGCGCTATGGAGGATGCGGCAAGACGGGGCATAATGCAAGAACATGTCAGATAGTTGTTGCAATATCTGAAGAAGAGTATAGCGACTAGTTTTAATTGATTAGATGATTTGTTGTGTTTTTATAGAATTTTCAATTGAGAAGGGTGAGGATTTTTGATCCACTCACTTATTTGATCCACTCACTTATCGTGTACGTTAACGTTAACCAATATATTAACACATCTAAGACACGATCCAAATTTGCCTATCCTTGCGCTGGGAAAAAAAGGTACCGCAGAGATATTGATGCCGTCCTCGCACGAGTCGCGATTTGGCTTGCTGAAATTATCGAGAAAAAGTGTACCGGTAATTCATCACCGCCGCGTTCTTCCTTGTCAGCACCGCCTCTCCGCTGGGAGATGGCACTCTTGGGAGAGGCAGGGCATACAGTAGCACTGCATGGCTTTAATTTCTAGATTCGGTGTTTTCTAATAGAGGAATGGTTCACCACTGAGCTTCTATAGTGTCATTCTACTCCTTTACCTTCCCTCCGTTCAATCCGCCGGATAAAGCGAGGCCCCTGGCCTTTCTTACCAGCTGTAAAAAACCAAAGTCCAACGGCCGGCGTGTCCTGCAGCCTGCCTTCAATCATAACTTTCAGAGCCATTGCGCGGCAACGTCACTGCCAGCTAGGTTTGCCGTGAATAACTACTTGCCGTACTTGCTTGGGCTGATCATCCGGGGAAGAAGGTCATGGGCCAGGAACATGCTAGAAAAAGCCAGCGTAGGGAGGCTCATGATCAAAATATCGATACTAAAGAAGCTTATGAAGTCGGTTTCATTCCTCATGTCACGATTTGACATAAACAGGCCCTCTGACTGCCAGGCATGAGAGCAATAAGCCCATGCCGACTTGAACTGAAACAAGTCTTTTCCATTGGCCCTTGAATTTTGAATGAATCTTGACATATTGTCTAATTTAGGACCTAGAAGCGCGTATTGCTGAGCGTAAACTGGCTGGATTTGATCCTGATGCGGGTAAAGTCCCTTTTGAGGCCATGGGGACGGTGGAATTCACGTGGGCGCTCGGCAGGGTCATTTTATTCCGTCACAACTCAAATATACTGATGCGTACTACAATATCTACATGAGAAGATAGATAGGGGCGTAATTAATTGACTGATAATACCAAGACAATTTTTCTTTTACTCCCGACCCAAAAAAAAAAAAAAAAATTCTCCGATACAAGGCATCTAAACCCCTTGTCAAGATGAATACAAGGGAGCCCAGAGAGGGGTTATTGGGATGTCCTGCGGCCGCGTCGGTTTTGAGTGGGAGGCATGTCAAATTCCCCTTCGTCTGGCCAGGCACTCGGCAAAGAGTCATCATTCATTGGCCCTTCATCCCGGAAGCAATGTTGCGGTATCTGGAGTTGGGGTACGGAGGTCTCTCTCAAAAGTTTTGTCCAGGAGCTAATAGCGCCAAGGCCGCTTATCCCTGTCGGTACCTGAGGTACTTTGGAGCAAATCTTTTCAGTTACTTACTCCCTAAAGCTATAGGGAGGGCTATTGGAGCCCAGGGGGAAATCTAGTGAAGCTTAGAGAGCTATATCCTTAGAAGATAGGGGCTTCAAAAGCAAAGAAAGAGGACCATAAGTACCGATGTAACTGTGCTTGGAAAATGGCCTCTGATTGGCTCGTGTATTTGTGTGGCTTGAGGGCCAGGACAAAACTTTTGAGATAGACCTCCGTAGTCAAGCCAGTTTTCGGTTTGATCGATCGATCCAAGGGATCTGAAGCTGGTCCCCACCAGCGACTCGGGCCCTGTTTTATCGCCCGAGGCCTCCCAGAACATGGTGCCCCCCAATCCCGCGTGCTTGACATATGCAACCTTAGCCTGAACGGCCTGAGGTGAGTCGTAGGAGATTAGCTCGCGCGTGGTAGCATCGTAGCTGTATGAGGCTTGCGCGATGTCGTCATAGAACATTTCCCCGCCCTGCTTAGGCAGAACCTTGTACTCCCAAATACCACCCTCCCAATTGCCAGGTCCCGAATTAGGCAGGCCGACGCCGGAATAGGGCTCGCCGAGGCCCGAGGTTGCTTGGAATGAGCGACCGTAGGCCGGCATGCCAAGAATGATCTTTTCGGCCGGTATGCCGCCGTCTAGATATGCCTGAACGGCATCGTGCGTATTGAAAGGGGTGGAGCCGGGTAGGCCCGAGTTCTTGTAGAGGTTGGAAGTATGACTAGCGACGGAACCGAGGTGCAGGTAGTCGTAGCTCATGAGGTTAACGTAGTCAAGGACTTGGGCGAGCGCAGGAAAATCAAGCTTCCCATAGTGCCCAGGACCCGCTGGTGCGGCAATAGAGAGAAGGAAGTGATGGCCAGGAGCAAATTCAGCGGCATAAGAGTCAAGCTCTTCGCGCACAGCCCTGAGAAGCAGAGTGAGGCTGGCCGCTTCAGTCTCATCCTTGGGATACTCCCAGTCGATGTCTATGCCGTCGAAGCCCCAGTCCTTCATAAGGGTGACGGCAGACTTTGCAAACGTAGAGCGACCCTCGGCGGTGTTGGCAGCTTCGAAGCTTCCCGCCTGTGACCATGTCCAGCCACCAATGGAAAGCATGACCTTGAGGTTTCGATTGGCCATTTTGAGGAGATAGAGCTGCTTGACACATCCATAAGCATTGTCGTCTCCCTCATTCCATGCTACGCGGAGGCATCATAATACACGTTAGCGAATGAAGAAAACAGGATGTGCAGTCAAAGTGTGGAGGGCAAGCCTGAGGACGGGCGGAGTCCTCATGTGGGTGAGGGTTATAGATGGCAGACGATAAAGTGGAAAAAGTAGGAAAGGCTAGACAGGTATCTGGAAGCCTACGGAGTGTAACTTACAGTCGTTTTCATAGTGTTTCTCCAAGTCGGCGTACGTGTCTGCTGTGTAGCTAGAGGCAACAAAAGTCAGATGCTCATACCCTTGAGTATTTTATACGGGACGTACACTGTTCCATTGGTTCCAACATTCATGAATGCGTAGAGAACGTGCGTCAGAGCTGAAGCAGGAAGATCGTGAGGTTGAAAGTTGCGTTGATAAATACCCCTGCCATCAAGCTTGGTCAGCCTGCTTCTTAGTCTAGTGTGTACGGTACCACTTGACTATGCAGCCCGTCAACGTCATTCGCCGTCTCCGCCTAGTTTCCTTTGAGCAACGATCTATCATCACATCCATGCGCAAGGTCACTTTCCCTAGGACGAGTCATCATTGAGCACCTACCAGTTGACGAAGTAAACAGCGTTTACATAGCTGACATCACGCTCGGAAAGACCAGCTCTTCGGGATGGCAAAAGGTCATCTGCGTGCCCAGTACCAAATAGGACTTGAAGAATCACGGTCCAGGCTATCGTCCTAAAGTTTGTCAGCCTCATGACTGCCATTGTGATTTCTCGTGAGATGGCGAGATGCAGCGTAGGGTTTAAAGCGCTCGGCTAGGGTGGGCTCTCTCGTTCATCTATATTATAGCTCAAAAGAATTCCGGCCTTTTTGTGGCGCTGACGGACATGAGGAGATTCCAACCCCGGGGCGGCCGTTTATAGTCGTTTCATAGAGTCTGGAGAGCACGACGTTTTGGATCGCCCGAGAACAGCATAAACACGGCGGTACTTGGATCTTTCGTCGGCTCGCTGTTGTTTGTACTCGATAGCAAGATGAAGCGGATGTCTGGTTTGTCAAGTGCCGCACGCTAGAAGCAGGCTCGGTTACATCCAAAGGTAGAATTCTTTGGAGACTGGAGCTCTACCCTAAATCAGCGACATCAACTCGTGTTAGTGGATTGTTCAAGGGACCTGAACTCTGTGCGTGATAAAAAAAAAGTCACGTCTTTGAGCGGATGAGCAGTGCGGGAAATCTTTGCCATCGAAAAGAAATGTTAACGATAGCTGTAGGCCTTTTTCGTCTTTTCTTTCTTTCCTTCTTTTTTACTTTCGAGAGTGCCAACGAGTGTATCTATATACCTATGTAAGGAGCTCCTTACAGTCATGTGTCGCTTGAGCCTTTCAACAACAACATGACCTGTTCAACACTCAGCAGCAGATTAGCCGAAGGCGGCAGAGACTGAACTCTGGAAAAAAAGAAATAGATTTAGTCTGCTTGAGCTGCGTTTCGGAGATATTCGAAATTTTCGAATCCCACATAGATAGGTAACGATACATCATAGCGCTAAGATGACGTTATATATTCTGCTCCCTAAAACTATGGCTTCATCCTACAAGACGCACCCCTGTCTATAGTCTGACACGATCAAACTGCATCTGATCCGGAGGACACAGGTCAAACGATACGACACCCTTTTCATCCAGAGAAGCGCCGCGGTTACACATGGAAACGTGGCGAGTGCCCCTCGCCGTCTGACGAACCTCCCAATCGCTTACCGCAAGATGATCCTTAGGTATCCACACAGTAGGCCGCCGAGCACGTAGGGCTCTGTGTTCAAAGGCAGTGCGGACGAGCATATCTCTCATACATTCAGGCACGTCTTCCAACCTTGTGGGAAGCTCGGAATATTCTGCAGTATCAGCGGCCACCTCAAGGTATCTGCGACTGGTGACTTTGTCGCTCAGGCTGCAGGCCTCGTCATTGACGTTGCACTCGGCAACGCGATGCTCCTGGGTGGATGAACCCCGGCGCAGCGTTTCTTTCAAGTAATCGCTCCCTTCTATTGGCAGATAATGGAAGAGAGGTGCAAAAGCTCTGTTGAGCCAGACCTGGTAGAGGACTATAGAAGTGAATAGCAGAATCATGATCACGCCCTGCGCCGTGCAAGCGAGCCTCCCATCTTCGTCCTTCACTATAAAGAAGAGACCGGCGAGGCAGAGCTCCATCACGTATACGCCAGTGAAGGTCTAATTAAGCGCGCGGGGGTAGAGCACCCCTCCGGTGTCGTAGTCAGACTAGTAGACGTAGAATATCATGTACCGCTGAGCGGCCCAGAGAAGGGCGAAGGTAAGAATAGCAAAGGCAGATATGAGGGGAGAAATAATACAATACGTCAGGGCGATACACGCAAAGTTTATGTAGGCAGGGAAAACAGCGCTCCATCTGACAGAGACGGGGCTAGTATGGCGGAGCCATTTGGCACGAGGTGTCAAATCGAGCAGCGGCCCAAGAACGTAGCGTATGATAAGAGTGCCTCCCTGCAAGAGCGTCGCGGAGCTAGCTGAGAGCGACTACAGGATCATATAGGAGAAGAAGTAGTTGGCCGCCTTAGGCAGATTCCTGGACAGCATGTCGAGCACGTCTCTTGCTCTTTGCAGCTCTCCCACGTTGGCTGCCAATTCGTCGATCGACGCCGTAAAGAAGGAGGCGATAGAGACGACGAGGAAGATCTAGATATACAGAAAGACGAAGTAGAATCTCTGGACGAACTCATCCCTTAACGCGTGGGTCTTGACGCCCTTGAACTCGGCCAGGAGTTCCAGGAACAGCGGCAAGAGGTAGAGGAGAAGTGCCAGCAGTATAGTAGGCAGGAGGCCTGCGAATGCTTGGATGGCCGTTCTGAGCATTTATCTGTCCTCCAAAAGCGACTCCCAGCGGCTCCCCTCGACAAGCTGGTCGATTTGGCTCAGAGCTCCCGTCCAGGCCACGGGAATGGACCAAAGCGAGATCATGGCGAGCAGAATGCCGTACGCCGCCATCGATCGGAACCAACTGGCCCGGTAGGATAGGCCCAGGTTGGCCCAGATGACTCCCTTGGGGCAGAAACCGATGATCCTGGGGGTCATCTGCCCCGGGAGGTGGAGAATCTCGCTCTGACAGGCCATGTGAGCTGCCACCTGCGTATTGAATTGGATGAATGCCGAGTCCAGGAGCGGAAAGCGATCTTCTAGGTTCTTCTGCAGCAGTTCGATTTCCGAGTTCATAGCATCCAGCTGCTCTCGGCACCAGTATATGGTGTCGACCCTCTTCGAGAATGGCGCGATCCCGGGAAGCCATGGCAAGCCAAAGAGCGGCAGCCGATGGGAGGGTCGGTCGTCACTGCTCAGGATCTCCCACCAAGGCCATACCTTGTCATGTTTCTCGCAGTCAGTGCCTCCGCCACCGCCACCGCTGCCATCACCAGAGTCTCTCATGGATAATTTCCCTTGCTTCTCGGAATCCATACGACTGAGGCCTGGAACTCGGGGCATCCGATGCCCAGACGTCGATTTCGACCTCTCGTACCCGCTGGTTGCGACTTCCAACACGCTGTCAGGTCTCAACACCGGCTTGCCCGCTTTTCTCCACGCCCGTTGGGTAGCCTTAACGAGGAACGTTTCGGCCTCTTCGAGCTTACGATGGATTGCATCGCGGCGGTCAATCTTCTCTGCCAAAGAGGAGAAGTCTCTATTCACCCACACGTTCTCCACCCCGCCGGGAAACAGGAAGAACAGGTCCCGCAGCTTTTCTCTGGTGCACAACGAAGCGGGGATCGAGTTTACCAATATGGTCCTTGCCGAAGGCCTGGCCCGGTGGTCGGCGCTCGTGAGATAGCTCTGCCGCACCTCTACGTACCTCTTCATCTCGTGAAAGAAGATGAAGCAGACCCATGTCACGGCGACGACAGACATTGAGAGGTGCGCCCAGTAGCGATGCGTGCTCGTCGGCCGCACATTTCCCCACGCCAAAGTGTCCAGCCCCGTAGTCTGATCCGGGTGCCGGCCTATCGAGTTTCCCCCTCCGTCAGAGTTAAGCTGACTACCCCGTCCGCCGACATAGTTTAATGGCACTAGCACGGGTATCACCACCACGGCGATTAGGACAAAGATAGCAAGCAGAGTCTATAGGTATCGGAGGAAGAAGTACGCATCAAGCCCACACCTCTTTATGGTGTCTTCATCACGCACGTTCCACAGCCACTTGACGGTGGTGACGAACCCGTAGCGTTGCCGTTCCGGCCATTCGTGCGGGGGAGCTAGATATAATTTTGACTTGCTGATTGCGCGTATCAGTATGTGGTGTGGTCCCAGGTGGAGCCCAGCGAACTCACAAAACACGGACTAGGTAGTTTCTGAGGAATAGAAACAAAAGGAACTAGATGAGAAAGATGATAGAGCCGCTGCCGACGGCGGTAAGGAAGCTAACAACGCCAATGCCTCGGTCGTTCTGCGCGCCACCAGGCAGTCTATCGCCCGCAGCTCTAGCAACGAGAAGAGCACCTAGAGATACTAGTTCTATCATATGTACGAACCCTACGATGGTGATGCGGCTGTCGCCTTCCGCCCTCTTGGTGCGCAGGGACGACTAGGCACGAGGTGCCGTTGGTCTTGGGTGCCACAGATCTTAAAGTATTTACATGCTCTGGATTTGTAGTCGTCTTAGCCGAATTCTACTGAACTTAGGCTTTAGTCCAAATTTCTGCGTCCTTTGTCAGACCCGTCGGCTAGTATGCAGGAAGCATGGGGCCTAGGGTTGCCCGGGATTGAAATACTGTGAGGTTTTAAAAACCTAGAAAGACGTTAGATTAGCAAGTCTATTTTGCACCAAGATACAACGGCCATTTCAGTCCCAAAACTCGAAACAAGGTATCCTATCGCTATTGCCGTAGTGTAGCAGAGAGCTGTTTCACGCCCTGGCTTACGGGATCGGGGGTTGCTGTTGCGATGTTACAGTCGAGACGTTAAAGAGTAGTCACCACTGCCATGAGGCAGTCTTTGTTCTCTGAAGCTAGAGTGTGACTCCATTGATGCTAAATTTGGTTTTATTTTTTCCTTATTTCCTCATCAGCAAATCCTACTGGCAGAGGATACTATGTAATCTGATAAATCGGGTGTCCCGCATCCACAAACTCAAGCCTTCGCCCTTCGTCTCTCTCTCTCCCTCTTGCTCCACAACAACCAGTAGCCTAGGGCCTTTAACACCTGAAAGTGTGCCCTATAGTGAGCGGTGGTGTAATGGTAGTCATTATGGGAGCTGATTGTTCTCCCATGGTGGTTGTGGTAACTCCATGTAGGATACACGCCTAGATTCGAAGCAAGCAGATGTATAATGTCTTCTGCGTTTGCACGTAGAAACCTATGCCAGGAGGGAGTTTTGCTACGCGATCGTTACCAATTCCTCGGGAAGGCTTCTCGGCTTGGCTCAATAGAGGCTCCAACTCAGCAGTCCGCAGCGCTTTCTGGTACACGCGGCGAATATCGAATAAGCTGCGAACTGGACGGTTGAGAGGTTCACCGTCAATATGAATGGTCTTAACCCCACGTCCAGTGACTTGAACATCAGTAACTCTCACTGAAATATGAAGAGTTTCATGGTGTGCTTTATTCATGTTGAAATGTATGCTGTGATGTGTTAGAAGTGTGTGGTGTGAGCGGCGCGAGGACTGGTATTTATCAGAGTGTGTCGATGTGAAGCGTCGAGGCTCGTACCGGCATCACTATTTGCACCTAGCCGAATTAGGCGGCTTGCTTCGCCAAAGTCAATGTGGGATACAATGGGCTATATTTAGAGTCGAAGATGAATGTCCAACACGCTCGCTCCAGCGATTCTATGTTGGAAATATTACGCAGGGGTGCTGAATGCAGGTATCGACTGAACTTGATTGTTATTGTTGAGATGAGAGTTCCTGTCGGGTTTATATCTCTAAGTGATTCCATCTAGGCCTTCGAACTCTAAGTCTAGGACTTTCAGACTGATGGTCTTAATCCTGAAGGGAAGGGGAATCCTCGGATTTCCAACAAGACCTATACATGACTCAGTCCAGATTCCATATCATCTCCAGCTCCTCCACCATAGCTATTGCCTCTTTGAAATCCTGTCTGTTTCTGATATAGACCGCACCTAGCTCATAATCATAGGTTACACCGCAGCGACTGATCGCAAAGAGCCAGCAGTCCTTCAACGTCACCCCGTGAACTTGGGGCATCTGCTCGATTTTCCTCAACAGCGTCGTCCAACTAATCTTTTCGTACATCACCACTTCCCGGAGACTGACCTCCTCCAGTATTGATTGATGGCGGAGAAGTAAGCCAACCAGTTCCGTTTCGGTGACCTCCAACCGGGTTAATTCCAGTTTCCGTAGCTAGGGGATTGACAATATGTTGTAAAGACATGGAGAAATAGTTTGGATATCGAAGTCGTTGCTGAAGGCCAAAGAAAAGTGCGCCAGGTGAGGAAAAAGACCAATGAAACGGGCAAGATTCTGACTCCAGGTAGGGGCGGAATCATTCTCCTCGGAGGTCTTCTCAAACGGTGGAGAAGCAAGTAACTTTAGAGTCGTAAGACTGGTGATGTCACTGCGACTCTCGGACTGCGCCATATGCCCCGGTGGCAAGTCGAGCAGGTGGAAGCCGATTGGGGACTTGGTCTGGGGCTTATCTTCCTGACCAAGGTAGATGCACAATTCCTCCAGAGGAAGCTTGCTTGCATTTGCAGCCGTAAGCATGACATGCAACACATGCTTCACAAACCGTTCGCTACCAGCATCGTCATAACCTAGGCCTCTGTCGAGTTCACCTATTTCCCTTTCTAATCGTGCGGCGCCCCAAGGAATACATGCATCGGCCAGGAGGAGTGTTTTGCAGTTGCTGAGGCGACTCATGGCTCGTCCAAGTGCTTCGATATCCGGGCCTGATAGAAAGTCCTCTTGGGCATCGAAGCATCGACGATATGTAGTTGCATAGGATTGGTTGAGGACGTCGTCGTCGTCATCATCATCATCCTCTGGCCACATACTAAGCTCCCCGCTAGGCCACAAGTCAAGCCCATCCGAGTCTGAGTATCCAGCCATAATGCTCCGGAGGCTTTGGCTTTCCCTCAAGTCATCTTCTGGTTCCGGGAAGTGATCGGTGCAGAGTCCCAACGTGCGCACTTCCGGCCCCAACAAGGGGTGTTCTGAGATGTGGATAAGCGTGTTCAAGCTTTCCTTTTCCAGCATTACATAACGCGTCTGGAAGTATGTACGCGCGAATCGACGAAAAGTCTTTGCATTTATATCTCGGCACGTTTGTCGGAACGCACGGAAGTCATCGGCGGAGAGGTATCCTAGTATTAACTGGGTAGTCTCCACCGGAAGCGATAGGAGGGTAGTCATAACGTGGGACGGGCGTGAGGAGTCGAGAAATATTGATCAAAACAAAGTCGAGCAAATTGGCTGGCGTTTGCGCGCCATGCGTTCTTCTTATGGTCTAAGCCGGTCGCGTCGCCCTGTTCATTGCCCCTGACCGGGGTATCCCAAACTTTACATGCAAAATGAGGGGGTGGGCTTCAGTAGCGGGCACGGCAAGACCCACGTGAATTGGGGCAGGACACTTGGTTTTTACCAAGCTATACACAGCAAAGAACTACATCTAAGCGAAAAGAAATAGAAGATCGTAATTATATGATTGATACCGCGAAGATCATCTTTCTCGTTCCTGACTAGGAAACTCGCAGCAGAAGGCCTCCGTCGCGCTGTGAAGAAGAGACCATGGTCTGAGCACAGGGGACTGCTTGCGGCTGCGCAGGCAATGCCAAGAGCTGACCTTCCCAGGCTGCTCGTCTCATTCACAGCCAGGAGAAGATCTGATCAGAAGCCATTCCAGCGCATGATCAATGATGGGTTTAGGTTGTCGGTTTTCGGTTATGTTTGGAAGGGCTCAGTCAACAAGATGACGGATAAAACGAAGTCTCCACTTAGTCTTTGCTGAGCGGCACCCCTGCTCTTTGAATGGTTGTGTGTGATAAGATAAGATAAACTATGCCGAGTAAACACGTGGCTATTGTCAATGACGGATCAAAGCTTTGCCGGCGGTTGCTCGGTCAAGGTGCTGGCCAGAAACGCGACATGCCACACGCGACTTTGGCTCTTTCTTGTCGTTCTGAATATGTCCCACCCGCCATGAGAAATGAATCGCAGGCTAAGGCCATTGAGGATAACCCTATTGGAAATGGCCTTGATGCCTTTCGTGCGTCCTTCAATTTGATATACAAAGGCGCGAGTATCTCCTCCGCTCCTGATGTTCTAGAACAGCTTGAACAAGAAGGTACGGCAACGAACTTTTCAGAGGCGCTCCTTTAACTAGCCTTTAGATATCCAAAATCTCGTTCTCGATCTTCTCTCCGCCCTACGAAACCTCCCCGCCGTTCGCTTTCTACCTTCAAAGACAGGTCACGGCACCCTCCGAAGCGATCTCCTCAGACTCATTTCCGCTGCCGCCTCCGACGACTTTGACTTCGACCGCGTTAAGCCTCTCCTGAAATCAGCTCTCGCCACCGAGCCCGATACCCTTATCTGGGATCAAGTCTACAACACCGTCGCCGAATCCACCCCGCCTCCCCGACCGATAGCCTCGTCCCTCCAACAGACCCCATGGCTGCGCAACACAAGCAGCTTTGCAAACTCGTCCGAGCACCGCAAATACGTGGACGACGTGCTGAAAGAGGAGCTTGGGTCTATGTATGTCGGGCTCCGTCACTTTCACAACACGTACTTTGGAGGCGTGGTCGGCCTTGACGCAGTTTCCGAGGCGTTCTTTGACCAGTGCATCGAAGGCAGCGATCCACTCTTTGAGGACGGTTGGAAGGGATGGCCCGAGGACGCGAACCAGGACGACGTGCTGAGCTGGTTTTCCGACTTCAGCGACAAGCTAGCGGCATTCGCAGACGGCCACGGGTCAATCTCGACGCATCAACATCGACGACGGCCTCTTGCACAGCCCAACAAGCCAATTCAAGGTTCCACCGGAGAGCGCAAGCTGGACGTCGGTTTCGTCAAGGACACGAAGGCTGGAAAAGACTCGCGGTGCCACTGGTCGCAGATCTTGGTGCCTGGAGAGCTGAAGAGCAACCCATCCGCCGACAAAGCCTCGATGGCGTGGCTTGACCTGGGGAGGTACGCGAGGGAAGTGCTTACTGCGCAGGACACGCGTCGCTTCGTCTTAGGCTTTACCATCTGCGGGTCCCTCATGAGGGTATGGGCGTTTGACCGGCTCGGGGGCATCGCATCGGAGCAGTTCGACATTAACAAAGATGGGCGTCAGTTTGTGTCCACGATCCTTGGCTTTCTCTGGATGAACGAGGAGCAGCTAGGGTTCGACCCGACGATTATGACGGCAAACGGGGAGCGCTTCATCGAGGTCAACCGGAATGGTTCGACCGAGCGGATCATCATCGACAAGAAGATGCAGCGGGCGCCTTGCATAGCTGGTCGAGCGACGACATGTTGGAAAGCCCACCCCGAAGGACAGCCGGAGATGCTGCTTGTCATTAAGGATTCGTGGCAGTATCCGGAACGAGATGAAGAAGGCGAACTGCTAGGCGAGGTGACTGACAAGGGTGTCGTTAACGTAGCTCGGTACTATCACCACGAGACGGTCCAGATTCACGGGGAAGATGATGACATCCGGAATAACGTTCGAAGGGGGCTGGACATTACGCAAGCTGCAAACTACCGTCCAGAACGACCAATGCGGCGGAGCAACGTCGCGTCCGGCACATCGAGAGGGGATCGCGGCAGAGCCGGTGCCAGCAGGAAGCGGTCATCTAGCCAAATCGGTGCTCCTCTTCCTTCTAGCAAGCGGTCCTGTTCTGTGTCTCCAACAAAGGCCGCCAGCATAGTACCAAACCGGGTACATCGGCGTCTCATTGTCCGAGACTATGGAATGCCCATCTACAAGGCAAGCTCCCGGTCGGCTCTGCTTGCTGCGTTAGAGCGCTGCATCGAGGGACATGAGTCTCTGCACCGGGCAGGCTTGCTTCACCGAGACGTCTCGATCAACAATCTCATGATCAACGAGGATGACGACAATCCGTCGTGGCCTGCTTTTGTGATCGACCTTGATCTGGCCATCAAAGAGCCGCGAGAGGCTGCGTCAGGGGCAAAGGGGAAAACGGGAACACGGGCTTTCATGGCGATCGGGGCGCTACTGGGCGAGCAGCATTCCTTTATGCACGATCTCGAGTCGTTCTTCTGGGTGCTGTTCTGGATATGCATCCACTACAACGGGCCAGGCGAGGATAGAGTCGTCCAAGAGTTCGATAAGTGGAACTACGTTGATACTGGAGAACTGGCGAACCTAAAGAAAGGGCAAGTATCCCATGAAGGTGATTTCATCAAAACTGTAGAGGAGAATTTCACATCATATTATCAGCCTTTAGTACCTTGGGTCAACAGGTTGCGGAAGGTAGTGTTTCCGAATGGTGGGAGGTGGGAGAGAGAGGACAAAGGTCAGTATACTCGGGTGAGGGAGATCCTCGAGCAGGCGGGACGGGACCCAAAGGTGTTGGGCGATGAGGGGGGCACTGTACGCTTGTAGCGCAAAGATAGAGCAACCACATATCAAGAATACAGCACATGTCATGGGCGAGGATTACAACCATCGTGAATAGCTTCACGGTTAGCGTGAACGCCACACCATAACTAGCATCAGGCAACAGCCTGCTGCCTGTGAGATCGGCAGACTGAACATAGGTATGAGAGACTGACTCTCATCCCTCCTTTAGATAGAATGTCAAGCGCTCATTTGATCCTCATGGCTCATTAGTACCTGCGATAGCACATAGTAGCAGCACAACGAGCGTGATTCGCTATAGTAAGATGGTGCAGATAGCCATAGCTCTGTCTATCGTGAGCTCTAATTTTCTCTCATTAGATGTGTGTATGTTCTAGGTTGAGTCAGGGTTGGAAGTCGATCGTATAGATCGATCGATTCATATCGAGCGTCACCTTCAATCGGTCGATATCGATTGACGATCAAATCGATCACTGCTGGTCTTCATTCTTCATCGTCCCTATCTACGGTTATCCTGCCCACCAATTGAAGTACTTGCCTCTAATTATCCCCCTCCAGGAGGCTAAGAGGAAGAGTCGGCTGATAAGTACCGGCTTTGTTCCACGAACGAAGGCACGAGGCGTGGGAGACTATTTGCTTCCTTTTCTACCTAGGGGCGGCAAAGGATCTTGTCGTTGGGATGGTTTGTGCACATACGCTGAGCTTGCAAGGGGTATGGGGAAGGATTGGCTGGCAGACAAGCGTGAGGAGGTGTCAGACGATGCCTCTAGTCGCACGATGGACTTTGAATAGCTTGGATCTCGCTAGGATGACTGAATTTGAACTTGATTCCCTTATTATCTCAGATGGAGAGAAGTCAGAATTCAGAATTGTCAATTTCCCATGAGATCTAGCAACTCCGCCACCGAGATAGGTTTGATGCGTGAGCTTATGCAGCGCCAGCGAGCTTGAAGGGTCCTCGTCAACTCAGCCAGCTATATCTCTCCCGGGGACATTGAACCAATAGACCCTTCTATCAATTGTTGACGGACCTCGTTTCTCACCTGTAGACTTGACATATTTCGATACCGTCGACGGTATAGCACCTGTTCATGCGATATTGGCTTTAGGATTGTAAACGGGCCGGGGTCTGCAACTCCACAGGAATGATCGACTTCTTTCTTGACGGTGGAAGCGTCCTTCTCGTCTTGCGTTTGCGGAGTGACAGAGGCGGGAGCGGACACAGTATTGGGTGACGTGGCGGCGTTTTGAGGTCCTGGCCAAGCATTGATACCCCTCAACCGAAGCGGGCTACGCAGTGATTGAGGCCAGCTGGGCTCAGCATCGGTTTCAGAGGTAAATATGGTCAGATAAGAGCCAGTTATTTGTGAGTTAGGAGACGCGAGTAACTAAACACCAAGTAAAGCAACCATATCAGTTGATTCTACAAACTATCTATTTTTAGGCTCCCACTTCCCTCAGTATTATCAACAATCGAGAAGTAAGTTAGCGAGAATAAAACAAGTCAAGTTAAACCAGCCTTTGTGGCCAGATGACCAACTTTTCTTTATACCTCTCTTACCGAGGTATTAAAACCTAATGCAACGGGCTCGTGCCACCGTTTTCGGCGTTTCGCGCGTCCCCTGAGTCCATAGAGGACAGTAGCATAGGGGAGTCATCGGCGGGGACATAATCGCTAGCGGAATATTCTTCCAAACATACTCCACTGGGGAATCGGCAGTAGTCTTTGCCACCTCGGTGACGACAATCGGCCTTTTAGCAGACATGCCCATATACGCAATTAGCCTTCCTGCACCCGCCGCGCCTAGGGCACGGGACCGAGCGCGCGAGGCACTCGAGGGCCAGCTTGAGCTCCTCAGCGATTAGGTTGTGCTCGTACTTGCAGTCGTCATTTTCGCAGGCGCCAGACAGCTGCTTATTATTGCAGAACCTCTTCTCGGCGGATAACGCCTTGAGTCGCTTGATAGAGTCGGCAGAAGGGGTGGGCAGTAAGGCATCGAGGCGGTCGCCAACGCGGTTAATAGCGACAAAGCCTTCCGGGATACCTTCCCTCTTGGGCAGTGATTCGATATTGCCCTTAGAGAGGGAGTTACTAGAGCCGCGGCGCCAGTCGCTATCGAGGTTTCTATCCGGCCTTGGGCCATCACCGATAGAAAGAGGCGACGAGGTGCTATTCTAGCTCGTATGAGACGAAGTTTTAGTATCGATATGGGCCAGTCGGCAGCTATTTCCATATCGGCATTTACCGAGGCTATAAAACTAACAGACGGCATTGCCATCGTTGCTAGCAGTTCCCCCGTTAGACGGGTTCTTAGATGCCAGGTTGAGTTTAGTGGATAGGTTATTGCGCTTGCTCTAAGATAAAGCAGCATAGGTAAGGGGAGTCTAGCGGAAGACGCCGTGTAGTTCCTCAATATTCATACCGAGCTTCTCAAACTCCTTATAGAAGAGCAGGCTCGGAGTGCGGATCAGGGTAAACCTATCTTGGTCACCCCTATAGGGAGTAAGATCCGAGACATAGCCCACGTCATAGCAGGCGGCAAAGTAGATATGCTTGCACTAGGCATTATCGGCATAGAGGCGGAGGATAGCTTTGAGCTTAAAGTCGGCATTTTCTTTTAGTTCGCCGGCGTCGACAAAGTCAGCGAGGCCATAAGATCTATTAAAGCCCGCGACAAAGGACGAGAGGGAACGCTTTTCGACACCGCAGAGCCCGTTCTTCCAGAGGGACTTAGACAAGCCCACGAGGTTAGCATAGACGCGCACCATAACCTCGCAGCTTTCGAGTCCTTTGCGGCGGAGGCTTCTCTTAACGCTATCGACGAGTTGCTTCACAGCTCTGCTGCCGCCCTCTTCTCCCTTTTCTCCCACGCCGACAAAGTGTTCGTCAAAGACATAGCCGTCTCCGTCAATAACGACGAGGGCGAAAGGGTTACGCTCCTGGCCGCGGGCGAGCTGCTTATATCGCTCTCTTCCCTCGCGCTCCTCTTCGTAGTCGCTCTTCAGGCGGCGGTAGTCTTCAATAAGGACCTAATACTAGTCCAGGATCTCGGAGAGGGAATCATTACTCCGATACGCGGCAAGCTTATTAGCCGCCCTGTTGATCATTTCATCAGGAAGCATAGTCGCGACAGAATACCCTTGGCGATCGGCCCCGCATCGCCGGTTAATGCGCAACTAATCTCACAATCTCGACGAGATGAATGCTGTCGCAAGTATACGCAGTTGATGATGCTCTGCTAGAAATGCCCAGGGAGAGAGACAAGATGACGATGTCGTCGCTGCTGATGCAGTGTTCGGGACAAAGGCTGCCTGACAACGAGGTGAGAAGAACAGGGGAGCCGATAAGTTCGCGAATTTAAAATTTCGCGGGTATCGCGAAAATGACTAAGCACCGTCGCCGTAGCGATTTTCAACCACTGACCTGGCGGCCTGCGCCACGACGCGGTTACCTGTTGTTGTGTCACGCAGGGATGCTGAGTGCACTTGACAAAAAGGTAGTTCTTATTGTGGTGATTGTAATTATTCTCAGTTAAGTTCTATGATCTCAATAAGAGGCCCTTTGGGGCCTTATATCTTTGAATGATCCCATCTAGGACTTTGAACCACTAGGAATTGACCCAGGCACCGCCGGCGGTGTGATTATAATCCGTTATGTAAGCATGATAGTTACGTGGCACGGCCCCGTACACTGCACGGGGCGGCCAATACATGGGCACCGACACAGACTAGCCAAATAGACGCAAGCGACAAGCGCAGGAATCTTTACAATCTTTACAATCTTTATAATCTTTTTAAGGGATATAGAGGTCAGTGCGACCATAGGCGCGGTGTCGTGAAATAGACGCGACTACTAATGAGATCCTAGTGCGAGGTAGAGATTCAATTACCGTAGCGCATCGGTCCTCGAGACCCGTGAAGCCGACTATAAAACTATAGGAAAGGCTATAGACGATTAAGAAGAGGAATAATATAGTAAGGAGAAACGGGCCATAATAGTCGCGGGATAGTGAAAATGAAGGCGAGACTAGATTAGTCGACGGGGCCAGAGAATCGCAGATAATAGAAGGCGCGACGGGTAACCACGCATCGCCTATGTAGATAATATTCCGAGCTATGCTCTAGGAGATATCGACCTATTTAATGAGTAAGTAAAGGAAGATACTAGAGAGGCTCTAGGACGCATTAATAGAGAACCAGCGAATGGCAATGCGGATAATAAGCGAATAGCTAGAGATAATACGCTAACTCTAGTAAGAAATCTAGACAATTAAGGCCTAGGCAGCCGAGGAATTAAAGAAGGCGGACGAGCTCAGACGCTCGCATAAACAAGCCACTAGGCAGCTCAAAGCTATGCGTGAATAAGCTATAAGAGACCTTAAGTAGATGCGAGAGTAAGTTATAAAGGAGCTAGGGAGAATATAACCCTAGACGGCAGAGGAGTTAAAATAAGTAAAGGAGGAAATAAAATAGGTGAAGGAATAGCTAAATATAATAGCCGATAGTATCTCTAGCAGTGCTCAGACGAGCCTATAGCTATTGTATGCCGATATAGCCTGCACCCCGCCTACGAGCTAGCTAAGTAACGTCCGCGCCTTATCGTCTATGCGCATAACCCTATCCTTATTCACGGATACCTTATTCTATACTATCGATACCTCGCGGGTTAGCGAAGAGGATAGAGGCAAGGCATAAGTTAGAGAAGTTCGTTAAGCGATCGAAGAGAAGGTGCGGGTTAGGGAAGGCTAATAGAGCTAGCGGTATGTAGCCGTGGTGAAGGATACGAGGAATCTAGACCGCATCAAGGTGGTGTGCCGAGACGAAGCAGAGATATAGCTTATTAGAGAGGCGGCGGAGAAGATAGTGGTTAAGGGCGCTAAAGTGCTTAGAGACTAGCTATACCCGGTTAAGGTCGACGGCGCAAATAGGACTGCGGTGCTGGACTCGTCTGGTAATATGTTGCTAGGTACGGCGGAGGTACTAGGGAAAGAAAATGAGGTAATGATCGCTAAGATATATTAGCTTAGCGATAAGGTAAATAGTAAGATGTATGGCTTAATAGTGATCTATATTATTAAAGCGAGTAATACGCGATAGCTACTTAAAGAGAGGTATTTTTACCTTGCGGGAGAGTTAGCTAGCACTAACGTCTTTAAGCGGCGCTAAGCCCCGGCTCAGTGCTATAACTACTAGGAGATTGGCCATAAGGCCTTCGTATGTAGCAAGGCGCAACGATGCGGTAAGTGCGCGGAGATAAGCTATCAATACCGAGACTGCTAGGTAGTCGAGCTAAAGTGCATTCTCTATAGAGGGCCATATGAGTCACTTAGCCGAAACTATCAGATGCGATAACTATATATGACCGATGGCTATTAACCTCTAGATCCTATAGCTCAATATGCGGAAGAGAGATATAGTATAGCTAAGTATAATAAACGATAGGGACTTATAGGACTATATAGTACTAGCGGTGGCCGAGCTATATGCGCTGAAGGTCGAGGGGACGCTGATAATAATACCGAACTATTATAGGAACTAGATAAAATTCGTACTATTAAAGAGATACGAGACGTAGTAGCCGATCCGGAGTATGCTCTGGATATATAGCGATCTAGAGACTGAGTAGGTGCCTATCCCTTTGGCTGACCTAACTAGGGCGATACTTAGATAGCTTAACCGAGAAGTCTTAGTAGTATTAATATATATAGTAGGAAAAGATAAAGATGCTTTGTATATAGCTATGAGATAGTTGTATATGATAATTATAAGTTTTCGTAATAATATGGGGAAAAGGATAGATATTATCCTGGCTGGTGATTTTAATCGCTACGACTAGCTCTGGGGAGGCGATAAGGTGATAGGCAGGAGGCAAGGCGAAGCGAGCCCGATTATCGACCTTATGGATGAATATGGCCTACTTAGTCTTCTCCCGCGAGGGATGAATACTTGGGAAGGGCTAGATTGCGAAAGCATGATCGACCTGATGCTTATATCGTCCGAGTTGGCAGAAGAGGTGGTCCACTGCGGTATCCACCCGACCGAACACGGGTCAGATCATAGGGCAATCTGAACAGAGTTTGACCTCTCGACGCCTGAAAGGACGGTTGAGCTAAGATTACTTTTTAAGAACGCACCGTGGAATGCGATCAGGGAAAGGGTGAAAGACAAGCTCGCACCACTTCCGTGGGACGACGGAGTTCAGGCACAGACGGACAGGCTGATGGAGGTGGTTCTTAATGCGGTCTACGAACTGGTTCCACGGGCTAAACCATCGCCGTACGCGAAGAGATGGTGGACAACAGATCTTACGAGGCTTCGAAGGGCGTATACGTTCTGGAGGAACCTGGCGAGGTCCTAGCGCCGTGTAGGCCACCGGATCGATAACCTAGAAAATAGAGCCAAGGAAGCAGCCAAGGAGTATCACGATACTATTAAAAGGCAGAAGAAGGCCCATTGGGATGATTTCCTCGTAGACGGGACTAACATCTGGTAAGCCGCCACGTACCTCAAACCCGGAGGTGGGATGGCCAGTAACAAGATTCCCCTATTGAAAAGAGCGGACGGGACGACGACGCAGGACAAGGCCGAGCAGGCGGAAGAATTGCTCAGTGCATTCTTCCCACCGCTGCCGGTAACCATAGAAGACGAAGGCCCGCGACCGCGGCGGAGAGAAGTGGCCATGCCGAACTTGACGATGGAGGAAGTGGAGGAGAAGATCATGGAAGCCAAGGCGTGGAAAGCGCCCGGGGAAGATGGGCTGCCGGCGATGGTGTGGAAATAGCTGTGGCCGGTGGTGAAGGAGCGCGTTATGTATCTGTTCTATACTTCACTGGGCGAAGGATAACTACTAGACTAGTGGAGGAGCACTAAGATTATTCCGCTTAAGAAGCCGGGCAAGGCTGACTATAGAATTGCAAAAGCGTGGAGGCTGATCTCGCTATTGTCGATGCTAGGCAAGATCCTCGAAGCAGTAGTGGCGGATCGTATCTCATACGCCGTCGAAATATATAGACTTCTGCCTATTAACCACTTCGGTGTGAGAAAGCGGCGGTCGGCAGAGTAGGCGCTATTGCTCTTCTAGGAATAGGTCTATAAAGCATGGCGGAACCGCAAAGTGGTCAGCCTGGTTAGCTTCGACGTCAAGGGGGCTTATAACGGCGTGTTTAAGGATAGACTGTTGTAAAGATTGGAAGCACGGGGCATCCCTAAGGGGCTAGTGAGATAGATAGACGCATTCTGCTCGAGTCGCATAGCTACTATTACGATAAATAGCTATACCTCTGCGCTACGGGAGCTGCTATAGGCTGGCCTTCCGCAAGGATCGCTATTATCGCCTATGCTCTTTCTCTTCTTTAACGCAGACTTGGTTTAGAGTAAGATAGATATAAAGGGAGGCTCGATCGCATTCGTTGATAATTACTTAGCCTGGGTCATAGGCCCGACGGCGGAAGCGAATAGAGATAGAATATAGGCTATTATTGACCGCGCACTGGAATGGGAGAAGCGCAGCGGGGCGATATTTAAATGTGATAAGATAACCATCGTCTACTTTACACGCGTGGCCGAGCGTATTAGCTACACGCCGTTTATGGTTAAAGGGAAGGAGATTAAGCCGAAGTAGGAGGCTAAGATCTTAGGAGTGGTTATAGACGCGAAGCTCAGGTTTAAGAAATATATGGCCGAGGCGGCTACTAAAGGCCTCTTAGTAGCTATGTGCCTGAGGAGACTTAAGATGCTGTCCCTATGTACGGCTAGGTAGCTCTTTATTATGGCTATGGCGCTGGCTATGGACTACGCCTCGGTCGTCTGGTCGCACGTACGTGGCGAGAAGGAACTGACCTGGCTTAATAGGGCTTAGAAGATGGGAGTATAGGCTATTATGGGAGCCTTTCGGATAGTGTCGCGGGCGGTCGCGGAAGCGGAGGCCGGTATCTAGATAGTAGACGGATGATACGCCTAAGCCGGTATGAAGCTGTATATTAACGTCTGGATGTTGCTAAAGATGTATCCGCTCGCAATGCTTAAAGTATTAATGAGCCAGAGATATTTGTTACCGCTTAAGAGGTTAGCACTTATATTTAAGAAGAGCGGAATTAAGCGAATGGAAATGATCTAAGCCTATGTAGTACCGCCGTGGTATAACCGAGTGTCACTAGTATGCGAGGCCGACCGTGAGGCGGCGATAGTAGTAGCTAATAATACTAAAGATATTATTATCGCGACTAGTGCCTCTGATAGGGAAGGGCTTGTAGCTATGGGAGGCCTCGTTACGTAAGAGTTAACTAGTTAAGTTAGTAGGATGGTAGCCAGGTACTTGGTTACCCTTGGGTCGCGAGACGACTAGAACCTATATACGGCCGAACTGGAGGTAATAGCGATGGCGTTATGATGTATGCCTAATGGACTATAATATCGAGAGCTCACCGTGGTATTAAGCTGCTAGTCATTACTAAAAGCAATTGTATGACCGCGATAGCAATCTGGCTAGATTACTATCTGATAGATCTACGAATATATCGAATGACTAGCGAGAGGAAATAATAGGGTTAAGATGGTCTAGGCTTTGTCCCGAAATAATGGTTTCGCTATGGGCCGCAAGGCGAAGAGATAAGCTAAGAAAGCGACCAAAGTAGGATATACCCTAGAGTCGCCGCTATATTAGGCTTGGTCGATATGGACTAGGCTGGCGACGTCGTAATTGCGGCGGCAGCGG